CAATAGATTACTTCCAAACTTTGAAACAACATAAACATTGGCTTTTCTCAGTGAGTACACAGATATGCCATAAGGATTTTTTGCCAATTTCTGTAATCAACTGTGTTATCAAGAGAAAACACACATGAGCCCAAAACTGCACATAACATTACGGGTCTAATCAGAATATTAGCATACAGATAATTTTTCATCTGTATTAGCCAAAATCAAAATGGGTATTTTTATGAGACACACTACAAATTCAGGTGCAAAGTAGCTTTCTTCACATACCTATCTTGAGGTATCTTTTTTCTGTTGTTAATGCAACTTTATCCGTGATGTATCTGTCATTTCCTGTCCTGCAGTCTCAAAACAAACAAGATCTAGCAGTTATTTCTAAAATGGGAGTTGAAATTGCCAGGACATTGCAGATTGACATCTGTTTTCAAATGACCTAAAGAAGTTCATATCAGTCTCAGACCACAGATGTGGTGCTCTCCGGGTTGATTCGAACCGGCCTCGTGCTCTTCCTCAGGTCCTGCAGCTGTTTTGCCGGCTTGCCCACGCCCTCCTCGAACCTGCGCTCCACCACGGGCAGCACGGTGTCGTGGAGGAAGGAGGCGTTCTGCATGATGAAGGCCTTCTTCTCAGGATCCTGCTCGCACCGGAGGCTGTAGTCCACGTGCTGCACGGCCACCAGGATGATCTCCCTCAGGCTCTCCAGCAGCACCATGTGCAGCTCGGGGAAATAGAGTTTCAGGCCTTCCTCCAGGAAGCTCATCATTTGCTTTGTGAAGGCCACGATGGTGTAGCTCAGGTTCACCCAGCAGTCATCGCCGGTGTACTGCTCGAAGCTGCCCATGCCACAGCTGCGCATCTCGTCCTGCAGAGAAAAAACGCACATTCGGTGAGGTTAAAACACCATAAACCAAAAACGGTGATTCATAACAGCAATACACGACAGCATTTGTTGTTAATAAAACTCAGTATCTATGTGTTCCCAGCTAAAAATCCTCTGCACACAGGTTGAAATCACCACCTACAGAAATGAAAAGAAGACTTCAAGTAGATTTTTTTTTTTCAATCAATCAGTTAGTGTTTAATTTATAAAAATGAGAAACAACTGTGAAAAATGCCCATCAACACTTTCTGTCTAACATTACTTCTTCAAATGTCCTCCACCACCACCACGCACCTTGAGTTTAGCCAGCGCCTCAGGGGTCATGAGGTTCATCCTCCTCCACATCTCCTCAGAGTTTCGGTGCTTGGTGGCTTCGATGATGATGTCCTTGTAGCTCTGCAGGGCCGCCTTGATGTCTTTGACCAGCAGAGACTGCAGGGTGAAGGTCAGGTCCAGCCCAATCTCTGTCAGCTGTTGACAATGCTCTTTAGCCACTTTAACACACTCTGCTGCTGTCGACAGGCTCTCCTTACTGTCAAACACCTGGTTCAGAAAAGAAAAGGGACATTTTTTTTTTTGCATATTCAAAAGACATATTGCAGTCCCTGTTTGCCATATGCAACAATAAATCATCTTTTCTGGCCTTCAAGAGCCTCCGACTTGATCTTCTCCTCGTCCTACCTGTTTGCTGAAGGCGTCCACAAACATCCTCATGGCTGATTTGGACCAGACCACGAAGGCAGAGTAGCAGCCCGTGTTTCCTGCGAAATCCATCTCAAACTCCTTGGCCGTCTCCAGCAAGCTGGTGAAGAAGATGTTGCAGAGTTTGTGGATGTAGAGCAGCGTGGCTCCCTCGATGCGAAGCTGCCGTATGGCCGTCTGGACTGCAGCAGCACGGTTTTTCAGAAACAGCTCACAGGCCTTCGTGGACTGGCCTGCAACGCAGGAGAAAAGTAGAAAACTATTTAAATTGAGTGCAAATGTATGACTTTATATAGTGATGTAGTCCAGATTTTTTATATAATTCTAGATTTTGACATTTTAATCTGTCGTCAAGGTTATAGATATGATTGATGATACAAAATTCATGTCCTGGGAAATATTTCTGGCAGCTTCATGACGTGAAGAGGTGTTTACAGTCTATAATTACATACAGACTGCAACATGTTTTTACAAGAGGCTGATTCTAATGTTTTTGGCGAAGGATCTTCATATTTGACTATTTAAAAAAAAAAAAAAAAAAAAAACCTGAATGGAATTGAATATTCTCTACCATCATACAACGAACATGGCAGTGTGAGGAAGGTTTTGAGAAGATATTAGAACATAACAAACAATTTGCCCTTTTTAATAGTCAGGAAATGTTGCAGAGTTTGGTTGGTGGTAAAACAAAAACTAATTACTTTCTGGGGCAATCTGGACTCACAACTTCAGTATTTCTAAAATCCATCTCTTGTGTATCTCTTATCATTTGTATTGATATCATTTGTATTTTACATCCTCTTCCTTCCCTCCTTCCTTCCTCCGTCAGTATGTTCCCAAGCTGTGATTTTGATCATCCTGGATATACACTCTACTTGTATGTTCTAACACTAAAACTGTGTGTTGAGTTCGGTCCAAATAATCTAATGAATGTCCCACACTTCTGTGGAGACACTGTACAAAAATGATCCAATCTAAGATGTCTTGTCTGCTATATATTCTGCACTAAATCCTAATGTCAAATATCATATTCATTACATTTGCCATTAAAAAACACGATTAGATAACTACGATAGATACTTGAGAAACTATTCTGACAGTATAAAAAAGTTTATAAAAGAAAGTTTGTGTTGTCAATGCTCCACAAACAAGAATCTTAATATGCAATTATCCTGCAACTGAGACGTTTAAACCCTGAGTGACAGAAAAAGATCTAAGGAGAGATACTCTTTACTCAAGTTAAAATGATTAGTTGATTAATCAGTTAGTGTATCGACACAAAATAAACCAAAAACTAGTTTGATAACTGACTGTTAAGTCATTTTTCAACCAAAAACTGTGCAAATGTGAAACAAATGTGAGTGTATTCAGCTGACTTTTTGTTGATGTGTGGTGTTACTGATGAAAAAAAAAAAAAGAAGGACCTAATCTGATCAGCTGGGAAACAGCCCGCCGGGTGGCTTTGGGTCCCCCACGAAGGGACCGATCTGGGGACAACTCGAAAACCAGGACTTCAGTCAGCTGCCGCACACGCTCATCCACCTTGGACCTGAGCTCTTTGACCTTCTGGGTGACCGGCTGGTCTTTGAGATACTCGTTGAGCTTGTCCAGCAGGTCCACAGCGCCCTCAAAGTCTCTCTGGGCGATGCAGACGTCCAGATCCTCTGGCAGCTCCTGGATCCACTCAAGGCTTAGGTCCACATTTTCTTCAGCATCAGGCGGCTGGTCATCTTCCTCATCGAAAGGATTGGTGGACACCTCAGGTCTTACAGGAGAAGTAGGGACCTCCTCCTCTTTCTTGTGCTTGTCCTTGGTGACTTTGTTCTTCTTGGTCTCGTCCAGGATCTCCAGCCACTCCTTCTTGATTTTGCTGTTTTCTGCCTGGAAGATGCGGCTGTCTGGGAACATGAGGATCTTGAACATGTCCTTCATGGGAGGATTGTCTTTTACGTTGACCACAGCGAAGCTCTCCAAGTCGTACAAGGCGTTGTATTTATACTTCACAGTGCCTCTACGGTTTGGCAGCCAGGTGGCGATTAACAGGCAGTCATTCATGAGGAAAGCGTGCACCTTCTGAATGGGGGACATGTTGTCTACATCAAACTCAACAAGGTCACCATTGTAGACAAGGTGCCTCCCTGGGGTGTCCATGATGTTTTTACCCCCTTCCACTTTCTCCAGCAGTGAGGTGAGCGTCCTCTGCTTCAGCTCCTCTGTTTCTTTGGGGAAAGCAGCCTGCATCTCTTTCGACGTCTCATCCTTGTCAGTGGACAACAAGGCCTGAGTGATGCTCTCCATGATGCTCTTCTGCTCTGTCAGGATGTGGCTCAGCTGGTACATTTCACTCTCCAGATAGGAAATCTCTTTGGCCGTCTCGATAAACTGTCTATAGTTCTTGTAGACATTTTTCTTTAGGTTTTGAGCCGTTTCGTCGGCCAAGTTTTGGATTTTTTGACGGTGCTCCTGCAAATCTCTGTCGCCATCGGACTGCTGTGACAGCTGCTTCACGTAATTTTGCGGGTCGAAATTAGGTGATTCGAGCAGTTTCCGTAGTCGGTTTCCCGTTTCCGACATCTTCCGTCGCGCGGGTGTTCGCTTACTAAAACAAAATGCTGACAAAATGGGGATAAATTTAGTCAAGAGAAGAGTTTACAGAGGCTCCTCGGTTCATATCCGCTTTGCAACCCAAACAGGAAGCTGTAAATTGGTTTACACCCAAACGTCACGTGATTCAGGAAAAAAAGATGGTCAACAAATTTCATCAAAACAAGAATTTTTAAATGATACGTTTTCGTTCGTACTGGTTCTTACAAGCTAATATCGTTATTGATCACAGCACTTAAATTATAAACTATATATGTCGGACTTGTTACTAATTTTCATGAATTTAACCACTAAACGACAACAATAAAAACCACGGTTGGATTTTATATTGGCCAACGACTTGAAATTGAAGAAGACTACGCATCCCAGCATGCACTCCTTCGAATTCGTCAGGTTCGTGAGAAAAACCTAGAGCGGAAACTCTGCAGTGGTATAAAGTGTAAATATTCAAGTAGTAAGTAGTAAATACCAGTACCTCAGAACTATACTGAAGTACAGTACTTGAGTTAATGTACTCAGTTATGTTCCACCACTGCACAGTCTTTTCCTTTAAATCCTTAGCGGAAATTGGTTGTGTTATGATTAACTAAACAGAAGAGTTCTCAAAAGATTAATGAATATTAAATATATTTTTTTATTTGTATTTGGTTCAACTTTTATTAATTGTATCATGGTTAAATAGTTTTAACTTAAATATAATATAATATTAGTTCACACTCCAGATCAGTGGGTGGCGCTAATGCACCCGGAAAATGTTTGCCAACGGCCACTACAACCAGAAGAAGAAAAAGAACTATTGGTGACTGTTAGCAAACATCTTCGGTCGTCAAGAAGATATGATGCATTTTACGGTGAAATCATGACTAAAGGCAAAATATTTTAACAGAGAATATATTTTTAACAGAGGGTGACTCGGGGTAGCTAACTTTGGTTACTTCCATCGCCATTTTCCTTTCTTTCCGTCATAATGGATGAGGATTTTCTGCTCGCTATTCAGCTACAGGAGCAGTTTGACAGTGAATATGAGACGTCATTATTTCCATCAGACTGTTTTGAGGATAACGGCTTCGGACAAAGCAGTAAGAAACGAAAAGTGGATGTAGCCCCTGGAGGTGGCAGTGATGTTGTCCCCTACTTTAAGCCCGCTGCCCAGCCTGAGAGGCCGCTGTCCATCGTGGACGAGTCCTGGGAGATACTGGACCCCAGCCCCGATGTCAGAGCCATGTTTCTGGAGTTCAATGACATGTTCTTCTGGGGGAAACTCAGCGGTGTGGAGGTTAAGTGGAGTCCCAGAATGACACTGTAAGTCACTTGTTATGGTATAGCTTCTTGTGTTGATATTGCCGTAAGGCTAAGATCACCCTGATATCTAAATGCGGTAAAGTGGTGTGGGAGTAAGAGTGCGGGATGTTTTTTTCCCCACTGGGCTTTATGAAAGGCCTGTGTGTGTTGTATTTAATGTCTCTTTCATTTTATCTTAGGTGTGCTGGCGTGTGTTCTTACGAGGGCCGAGGTGGATTGTGTTCGATCAGACTCAGTGAGCCTCTGCTGAAGCTGAGACCTAGAAAAGACCTGGTTCAGGTGAGGTGGATAGTTACATTGATCTAGTATTTTATCAAATCTAATCTTCTCTAATTCCTTTCTAACAATTTCTGTTGAAATATTTCAATTTGCAGATAATAATTTGTGCCAAAACGTTAATTAAGGGGGAAAAATGACCACAACAACACAACAATGAAAACATACACACAAGGCTGTATCTTTACAAAAGTAAAACAGTTTATTTTGAAGATTGAAATGTATATAATTAGTTTACTAATACTGGAATCAGAGGTTAAATAACATAACAGCCATAATACATGAACAGCTAAAGAAACATTGTTGGTTACATACTATAAAATACATCCAAAATTATTTTAACACACAAGAGAAACTCTTTCTCTGAAAGTCAGGACATATTTTCCTTCAGATTCCAAATTCCAACTGTGTGTTAGTATATGTGATTGTATCTGGGATGTTTGTGTGTGCTCAAACATCCCATGTGCTCAGACAGATATTTACAGATGTATTTTTTTTTTTGTTTCCCCAGACGCTCCTCCATGAAATGATTCACGCCCTCCTGTTTGTGACCCAGAACAACAGAGACAGAGATGGTCACGGACCCGAGTTCTGCAAACATATGAACCGAATCAACAAGGCCAGTGGAACAAATATTACTGTAGGTATATTTTATTTTACTCATTTTAAGCAGTTAGCCAATATTTTACGTTATTATACGTTAAACAATAAAATAACCACCTGAAATTTCTCTCTGTCGTCTCATCAGATCTACCATAGCTTCCATGATGAGGTTGATGTGTACCGGCAGCACTGGTGGCGATGCAATGGGCCCTGTCAAAACCGCAAGCCCTACTTTGGCTACGTGAAGAGGGCCATGAACCGGGCTCCGTCTTCTTTGGACCCTTGGTGGGAGGACCACCGGAGGACGTGTGGCGGGGCGTACACCAAGATCAAGGAGCCTGAAGGATATGGCAAAAAAGGCAAGAAGGACGGGAAGACCTCAGATAAGAAGGCCTCAGGAAATGGCAAGGCTTCAAGTACAACTACAGCTACAGGTGACATGCACCGACCTCCTCTATGTATTCAGCTGAAAGAGATTATGTATTTTCCAAATGATGTCAACTGTGTACTGAAGACAGAACAAGTTGGTTGCCACTTCTGATGAACGATCTCACAATAAAAGCCACTCAGTTTTGCACCAGTGAACTACTTTTCATATGAAGCAGCAGCCATAGGAAAATATTGAGTCTGCATTAGCAGCAACTTATTACAGCTCTGATACTGCTGCAGAAGAGTGAACAGTAACGAGCGGCGCTGTTATCAGTGAGACAAAATCCCTCGCTGTAATGCTGGATTACATACGTGCATCACTTCCTCTGAGCCGCTCGTGTATTCAGGTGGAATGGTGGACGCCACAACTAACATTAAAAACTATATAGTAAAGTAATTGTAGCATTGTATTCTTTATTGTATGTATATTGTCAGCCTTGCTACAAAGGTCATTTTTTTTTGATCTGATCTAAATTACTGAATGTAAATACACTGAGTGGATATTGAAGAAGTGCTGATCATAAGTACTATCAAAAATGAAGTCTGATTTAATGTGAAATTGTAAGGACTGTGACTTTCTATTTCAATTCTATTTCAGCGTATTAGAATGATTCATCTGCACAGACGTCTCAAAGAAAAATTTGTTGCTTGACTCATAATTTGCTTCCTTTCTTCCGTCAGGTTCTGGATCACAGGACATAAGGAATATTATCCCATTTAGTGGCAAAGGCTTCGTACTCGGAGTGAAGTCACAGTCCTCTACGTCTTCCTCCCCTTCTCACAAACCACCACCGATGCCTGCTGTGAAATCCCCTACATCCAGCCCCGTCTCCCCTCCCAAGAAACTCCCCACCCCTTCATCCCCAGCTAAAACTCTCACATCTCCTGTTCGCTCCGGCCCTGATAAAACAGGGATCTCCGCTGCCTTTCCCTCCATCAGGCCAGCAGCCTCCACGGGGCAGAAGCCACCTGTAAAGAGGTCTGTCAGTAATACGAGGGTTTTTGTCAACATCGGTGGCTCACCAGTCAGAATCCCTAAACCCCACAGCGGCAGCAGTAGCCTGGGAGCAGAGAAAATAAAGCAAAGGTCCATTGAAGACCTTTTCAACAGCATAGGTGTCAGGAAATCAGTTGGGCCGTCCCCCTCAAATACAGAAACTAAAAGAGATTCACGGACATCACCAAAGAGTACCATGAGTGCTACCTCTGCCTCTTCCTCCTTTCCTAAACAACAAAGTTCTTCCTCTGCCAGCACATCTAAACCTAGTCCAAGCAAATCTAGTCAAGGCAGCCCTGCTAAACCACTACAGTCAAAATATTTCAATCATTCCAACAGTGACAGTACACTAGGAGCTGCCGGTGGGGGTCAGACATCAAGGAAGAGGCCGTGGGACGACCGCAACAGCTCAGCCAGCATCTTTGACTTCTTCCAGAAAACGTTAGGCAGCGATTCAGCAGCAGCGTCGAGGGAGTCAACAAAGACAAAAACACCTGCAATGCAGCAAAGAACTGCCACCACCACCTCCTCCTCCTCATCCTCCACTACATCTTCTCTTCCTTCCTCTGCAGCATTGCACAGCGTTACCTCCACCTCCTCCTCCTCCTCCTCCTCCTCCTCCGCGCTATTGGTCAGCTGTCCTGTGTGCCAAGCAAAGGTGCAGGAGTCAAAGATCAACGAGCATCTTGATTCCTGCCTCTCGTGAACAGGGAGGAGCAGATTGCTAAGGAGGACAATGCAGAAGAGATGTTGCTATAAAACCAACTTCAGGAAAGTCAATAGAAGTTTCAGGGATTTTGCTGTTTTGATATTGGATATTCAGTGTTATTACAATTACACTTTTGATTTTAAAGCGTTGGTTGGATGGTTTTACTACGAGATTGGATTGTTTTTCTTTGTGGTTGTCAATATTAATGATAATCCTTCCATCACGAGTGCCTGTCTGACAGCTCGTGCCTTAGGAGACCAAGAGAACAGGAGGGTTTAACAGATAATGTACGTTAAATTAGTTTTTATTCACATCAGGTAAAACAAAACGAAGAAAACACAAGTAAATTCTGGTAAAACTTTCACCCGAATCCTTAACACTGTTGTTTTAACTTTAGAATAATTCATGAATAGCATTCTCATGTTATTTTTTTATCACACTGATCAGTTCTGTGTAAATCTTATGAATTATTTCACTGCAGAGCTTCCTACATTGGGCTGGAATACATTAGAAAGCCATGACATTTGTAATGCAGTGAAGCAATTGATGAGATTGATCAGTATGATGATACCAGTTAGGGTATAAATTCACAAGCTGCAGTGTCGTGTGTGTGTGTGTGTGTGTGTGTGTGTGTGTGTGTGTGTGTGTGTGTGTGTGTGTGTGTGTGTGTGTGTGTGTGTGTGTGTGTGTGTGTGTGTGTGTAGAGAGAGGTTATTTTTGCCTCCTCTGCGGGTGGATGCTTGTGGACTGGTTCCTGTAGTCTGAAGTGTTCTCCACCTCAGTTCAGCACGAGACGCCGACTGACCTCTGCTGATGTGCGGGAATCAGATTTCACACTCGCTAGCTATTTATTTCAACACCGCACCCATCTTGTACTTCATCAGTCAGGTCGACAGTGGAAAATTTGAGGACGGCTTAAAATGTTTTTGCTCACTTATTATTTTTAGGGAAATGTTTAAATTACAAAATGCAGATTTTAACTGCGAAAACATTAGGATTTTCTATGTGTGTTGTTTTATGTGTTGTTGTTGTTGTTTGTTTTAAAGGAAATTGCTAAGAAGTTTTGTTGCCAAATAAAAACATTTTTACTGTTCCATTTACCTGAATGTTTTGTGTGGAGTTGAAATTATGCCAGGACCTAACAAATAATCATCGCTCCTGATGCTAAAAAGTGTTAAGTGTAATAATAAATGAACACAACACCTAATGCACACATGCATGATCAAATATTCACAGCATTAGTTTTTGCTTTGTTTTCTTGTGAAACGTTGGATTCTTTCACCTCTTCAGGCCTGTAAATCTTAACCTTAAAGTCCTTCGAAAGAGACAATCTGTTTGATTGAACTTGTCACAGCTCATGTTGCAAGTAGACACTGATTTGTTTTGTCGGTCAAAAAGGTTGGTAATCTCGGCTTTAGGCAAAGCAAAACTTTCTTAATTACATTACATAACCTTAAGTGATTTAGAATGCAAACAATGAAGTGGTAGTGGTCATTTTTAGCACTATATTTCAGTTGAACAGCCATAATTGAGAATAGTAACATTAGTTGTTGATACTGTGTCAGTGTTGCCTTAAGCAGCTTTAACCATCTGTTTTCATTGCGCAGATTCTTGTAAAGTGCATCAAAAAAAAAAACCCAGACAGCTGTGCACACCCTAAACTGTTCATAATGACAGGGGGCGTCCAGGAGGCAGGGAGAGGAAGGCAGACCTATAAGTGGGCGTTAACAGAGCTGGTGGGTGAACAGAAAGAGGGGGGAGGAGGGTGAGGCCAGAGGTCAGACAGCGTGAGGCCAGCTGCTGATCAGGACTACGCCTTCCTGTCCCTGCAGGCAAGACTGGAGCAAGGCCAGGGGCAGTGACAAAGCATGTCGAGTACACCCATCCCATTTCAATTAACCACAGTCTGCTGCTGCTGCTGCTGCTGCTGCTGCTGCTGATGCTGCCGCCGCACACATCTTTCATTACCATCTGGTTGCACATGCATCACCCTCTGAAGTGATAAATACATCAGGGGCAGAAAGCGTAGGTTTTCTCTGACGCTCGAGATACTGAGATGTGATGAAGAATAAGAAAAGAAAAAAAAAACATTTCTTACAGGTCGTGTTTTGTTCTGCACTCGGAAGTAACAGCTTACAAGGAGCATTTAAAACGAGCACAAAAGCAGAACATGTCATATTTCTGACTTCTTGCCCTCTGAAATGTAATGGTGTGGAAGTTTTTTTTTAGTAACATGAAATGAGAATCCTCAAGTAAAGTAAAATTACCTCAAAATTGTACAGTACATGTAATTTGTTACTTTACACCATTGACTTCCAAGCCCGGAAGTAGAGGTTTACAAGGAGCCATTGAAGGCAGCATGCTGACTATTGCACAAATTAGTCACATACCAGTGACAAATTACTAATTGTTTCCTGCCAACAACACAAGGAGGAAGTTGTTTTATGCATCCAGTGGTTCTGCAGCAGGAGGATGTAAGGTCAGTTTGGGTCACCATTGGACCTCAATGTACCAGTGATGTGTTGTTGTATTTTTATTGTACACATGGCTTCCTTTTTTTTTTTGTGATTTCATACTCTAAAACATATCAGTATACACCCATTGCAGCACTATAATTACTATAACTCACGCTGATCCCATTCCTGTTTGACTCAGGCAGGAAGCTGTCATCATCATCCTCATCCTCTCCTGGAGCAGCTGTTCTTACCGGCCACTCCTCTTTCCTGACCTGCTGTACGCTGACGCACTATAGGAAGCTGACCTATTCCAAATGTAGACATGCACACAACCTCCTTCCCTCCTTCCTCTCAAACCTATTGTCTGTCTTTGGCAGTGATACATCCCAGACAAGCTCCAAGTTCAATGCAATTCAATTCTATTGTTTGTTGCAGCGGTGAGGCAGCACTGAAGCAAACTTTTGGGTAATTATGACAGGTGTCCTATTTATTTTTAATCAATCAATCAATCAATCATTGACTCCATAAAATGAAATAATAGGAAGTAAAAATGCCCATCACAATTTCCCACAACCAAGGATAAGGTCATTACATTGTTTGTTTCGTCCCAACAACCGCCTAAAACCCAAAGATATTAAACCAACTGTGATATAAAACAAAGGAAAAGCAGCTGATCATCATGTTTTAAAAAGCTGGAGTCAGCAGATGGCATGTTGGTGTGGCATTTTGCTTGATAAATAACTAAATGATTAATTGATGATCAAAAGTGTTCAGTATCAAGTATGTCGATCAATTTTTTGTAACTATTGTGTAGTATCTTTTAAATACAATTTGATATTATGAGTGCTTGAAATAAAACACACAAAAGCATAAAAAAAAAATACAATAACAAGGATAATTGAAAATAAAATGAAGACACAAAATAAAAGACAAGCAATGAGAGAATGTGTGACGGGAGAAGTGGCCTTTGTGCCTACATGTATATATATTACATATATACTGTAATTTTTTGGCCTTTAGGCAAGCTATTGCATTTCCAGCAGGGACATAAGCGGATATCCTTGGACCATTATTAGCCAGCCTATGCAAAGTGATGCAAACTCATTGTGCTTTTTAGCAAGGCAGATTAACACCACCCTGCTATGGTTATATGTATCCCCAGGGGGTGCCATCATACGCCTAATCCTTTGATCGCAGGCAGCAGCGATGATGATGATAATAATGGTGGCAGTGGTGGTGAAAGCTTATAGAGGGGTCCTTCTGCTCATGAAATCCCCAGACAAAACAGATTGACCTTGATCAGTCTCTTTAAACTGTGCAGATGTGGACTGTCAGCTGATGGCTAATTGTTTGAAGAGCATGGAATAAGCCGCACAGTGGGGGTGTGGTGTTTTCCAAGGGCAAATATAACATATGATACTTTGTTGATTGAATTTGAGACACATAAAATGACCTTGTTAGTTGGTTATCCATCACAGAAAACACCTATTTAGCAGTATATAGAGTTTTACGTTGAAAGTCAACACGGAGCATTCACTACTTAATTTATGAAGGTGGATTTAAATACAAATATGAACCTGTGATAACTATGAATTCTTGTCATTGACTAAATGTAGTAAAAGGTGTAAGAAAAAGGGTGTTCAACATCAGTGGATAAAACAAGAGGATTGTGGCTAGCTAACACCAACACAGAACACAGTCTTTCAGCTAGCTAGTTGATGCTAAATTTCTTAATAAAACAACACCACAATCCATATACTATAACACATACTGCTGTAGCATCACTGTATAAACTCTGAGCAGTAGCTAAAGCATTTTATCCAGCACGCTAATGCTAACAAAGACAATGCTACTTGACAGTTCACAAATGCTTTGTTCGTATCTTTAAGCTCATGTCTCTGATGTTCATTAAGGAACAAAATACAATGTGGATTTGACTTTGTTTTACTTGACATTTTGTCAATGTGTGCAATGTGATTTCTGTTTTCTCATAAAGTCTAACAAACTCAGCTAGCTAACCTTGTTTGTGACTTCTTTTTTTTAAGTTAGGATTTTAACTGAGGATATTATTTGCTGATGCATTTAGTTATATTTCTCAGGGCTCAATACAAAACTTGGGCTGCAATTTAAGATTATTTTACTGATTGATTAAATAAATGAACATTTTTTGAAAACAAAACAAAAGAAAAACAAACAATCAAACAAAAAAACACTAATCACAATTTTTCAAAATCCAAGTGGCATCTTCAAATGTCTTTGTCTGACCAAAAGACCCAAACCCAAAGACATTCAGTTTCTATACAGTATGTCTTTATATACATCTATGTAACCTGTCCACATGACATAGGCCAATGCAACATATCCTGCTATTTTAGAAGCTGGATCAAGAGAATGTGTAGTTTTTCACTTTTTTTTTGCTTAAAAAGTGACTAAAACAATTATGTGATTATCTGAAAAATGCCAATAATTTTCGATTATCCAATTATGTCGATCAAGCAATCAATTAATTATGATAGATCTAAAAGAGAGCTAAAAGGAATTTTTTTTTTTTTTAAAGAATCCATGTTCTGACAGACCAGGATTAAAAACACTTTCAAATCTTAAATCACAGTTGAATAGTTCCTCCCTGTGTTACAGTATATAACACTCCTACATTGTTTTCAGCCAATACTTTGATCTATGAAAGAAAAATATAATCAAATCACTATTCTGCCAAGAATTATTAATGTTTTTGTCTAAACTGTTGGAGTGAAATGAGTCTTATATTATTCATTTAAGCAGAGTGATTAGGAGTACCAGGCTTCAGGCTTCATCCATCTGCCTGACTATCTGTGTGTGTGTGTGTGTGTGTGTGTGTGTGTTTGTGTGTGGTATAGCACATGCTCCTCTCTCTCTAAAGAGCGTGTGATGCTTTTGTGTGTTGGTTTCAAGGTTATTGTTGTGTTATTGTTGTGTCGGTGCTACAGGCTGGGGGGGCGGGAAGTGAAGCCCACCATCTGTCCTTTGTACTCAAACTATTGTTCCGCACACGCACTCCTGTCATGACTGCAAACACTCTGTCTACACTCTGGTGTCATGTTGGGGAAATCTATAAATTTGTTTTATAATATTTATATATCAAATGAACACAATCTTCCATTAAACCAATAGGCAGACAGTTAGTTTACTCATTCTACTCATTGTTTATTAATGATTCAGTTTGTCTTTATATAGCCTAGTGTTTCATTTAGGGTTTACAATGAAGTGTAAAGAACTAATTTTTATTTGGACTTATATTAACTTTTTCTATTGATTATTAATTTAATTCAAAACTAAGTATTTATCAATTATCAATCAGCAAGCCCAATATTTAAAATTGATTATATATCTTTCTATATCTTTCAACTGTTCTGGTTTTCAAATCACTTTGTGTAATGATCAAATATATGTAATATTAAATGATGAATCAATAAACATGATTGCTGAAACAAATTAATAAAAAAGCAAGAAAAAGGAGACTGTTTTCCTGCCTCAAAGTGTTGGGAGACGCCCAGCAGCCAGGAAGCGGATTTTACTGCTCAGCCACAATCCAGAAGCGTCAAACGTACAACAATCAATCATAACAGAGCAGAAGTTAAGTTCCAAAATAAAGGCTCAAGAAAACCTCCTTTCCAAGCTGTACAGTACACAGCAAAGACGTTACAGATCAGTTAGGTTTGATCTGGTCTTGAAAGGCCAAACAATTTAGATGATAGATTTATTGTTTCAGCCAATTTTCAAGTAAAAATGTCAGACATTTTCTGGTTTAATTTGATAATTTGCTGCCTTTCTTTGGCATAATGCAGTATGTTTTAGATTTGGACTGACAATCAAGTCAAGCAATTTCAAGATGTCAGTTTTGGGCTGTGAGAAGTTTGGATGGGTGTTTTCCACTACATTTGACATTTCATAGACTACACAAATAATTAATCATTTGAGAAAGTAACAGAGAGATTAATTGATAAGCAAAAAATTGTTAGTTGTTCATAAAATGTGTTTTAATGGTCTGGAATATATTTTATGATGAAATGGTGTGAATATCTTGATTTCTTTTTTCTTTATTGAATTTTCCAAGTTATATACAAAATATATATATATATTCCAACATAGCCTACACTCAATTGAATTAGCCAAATCATATCATCGGTGGAGACAGTCATTGTTCGGAACAAACCAATGCTGGGGGTTCAAATAGCACACTGGCAGACCAACTGGCTTTATGTCTACCCTCCCAACCCCTGAATCAACATCAAAATTTCAGCTTTATATTATGATATGGTCGTTGTGTTCATTTTTTCAGAACCCACAAATTACATGTCAAATAAACAATTATTTCACGTGGTACAAAACACATACCACTTTCACCAGCTTTTATTGTGTTATCGTACCGGAAATCTAATGACATCATTACGCCCAGCTTGACGTGGCGTCGCTGGCTACCCAGAGCAGAGAAAACCACGGCTGTTGCTTGGATGTTTAATAGGAGAGACGGTCGGACGTCCCCGCTGTTTGTAGTATTTACAGACTAAACAATTAAATTCAGTGTGAAAACTTACCTTACTTCGTTCACTAACACACAAGACGATGAATGGTAAGTCAACAAACGGTAATGTGGGGGGAATGGCCTGTATCGAGGGTCTGCCCCCGCTGCCGAAGAGCCTGAGCGGCTTGCTGAACTCAAGCGGCGGCTCCTGGAGAGAAATGGAGAGGATGTATGTGAAGAAAACCATGATCCAGGACGACTTGAGCCGAGGCAGGAACAACGCGGACAACTTGCTGGCGAACAAGCCGGCCAACCTCGACGCTGCCCTGGCTCTTCTGCGGAAAGAGATGGTAATATTTCAGGGAGTTTTCATTTTACTGGTCGACGGTAAAGTGCTCTGTTTTCCACCCCTAGTTTCATCGAGAGCCGTTTAATCCCGACGCGCTCTGTACATTCGTATTCAGCCAGATTCCCTGGAGAAATTCTGGTAGTTTGAAGTTGTCTGGCTTTTGGTCTAACTTCACCGCCTCTTGGTGCACAACTTAAGGCTTCTTACAAATTGTTAGAACCCTCTGATAGATTCGGCATACAAACCATTTACCATGCACCACATTATGTAAATAAAATATCGACTTTCAAATATGGATTTCGTTTTTTTGCAACAGCCCACTTAGAGTTTTTAATGGAGGAGGATATTACAATCAAACAAGCCCAAAATGATGAGCATTTTTAATATATTGTTGTTGGTTCTGTTTAAAGAATTGTTTATTTTCTAAAGTTAAGAAAAGATTATCATACTGTATTGCGTTGTTGTTCTACACAGTCGTTTGTAAGCATGGGAAGATAAAACGCGATGTTTAAAAATGGAGTCTGGCATGAAGAATACCCTTTACAAGAGAAAGCAGGATCAGGGACAGCTTTGCATTAGATGAGGCAAATTAAGCCATTAGGCTTGTGCAGATTTTCATTCGTAAGCTCAATTTAATACCTTTTAGCTTGACCCCAAGTTTCTTTTTCCATGACACAGGAGCCAGCAGAAAATCCTGTAGTGAACTAATACATGATATTTCATTTAGTGAGGTGCAAACAGAGTGAGACACTTATTACATGCTCTTTTACACACCCTTGTCAGCAGACCAGACTTCATTATCATGGTGGCTCTTACTCAAACCATAACAATAGCCTGTTTCCTCATATCCAGTAATTTAGAATTTAGAACGGTGAAACTGTTGCTGAAACTCAACCCTGTTGCCTTTTTGTTTTTTCTTTTTTTGTGACAGGCTTTGCTAAATCCTGTTTCTGCTTCATGTGCTTTACTCTCCCTACACCAAGTCCTCAACTCGAGGCTTATTGCTTTGTTGCTGTTAATGTATTATCAAGAGTTTGTAGTTCACGCTGTTTAATAAATTGTCAGTGTTCTATATTTTAGCAACTATAAGCCGCTCCCCAGATTATACAGCACAGCGCTCAGTCTCAGCTGTTTGAACTGACTCTGACTTGCATATCTGTCCACTGTAATTTGTTTGGAAGACAGTGCAGTGACCCCTCATTTCATACTGCATTGTCAGCAGAGTGGTATGCAGTAGAAATGCCCTTTTCAACCCTGCTTACAGTCACGTTTCATCTTTATGATGTTATGCATGTCATGATATCAGATAGGGCAATAACTAAAGATTATTTCATTAATTTGTTTGTTCAATCAACTCAGAGATATTCAGTTTACAAATTTTTTTTTTGTTGTTTTTTTTTAAAAAAAGGAGAAATGTAGTGAATTTTCAAATTTGAGCAACTTTAAACATGATGGAATTATTTTGGCTTGTTTGATGAATCAGTTTTTTATCTGCATCAAATTAATTAACCATTATTTTGATAGTTCATCAGTCATTATGGTATTTGTCAAGCCAAAAATTCCAGTCCCTTAATTGTGAGGCTTTCCTACTTTCCTTTGTCTTATGTGATACTGAATAAAATGTCTGTGGGGTTTAAACTGTGGAAAGGACAAAAGACACAATATGAGGACAGAAATTGTGATGGACATTTTTGCTTTTCCGACAATTTATAGACCAAACACTTAATCAGTTAATGTACAAGTTGAAAAGTAGCAGAAAAAAAACAAAGAAACAGCTTTAAAATGCTGAATGACTCCATCAGAAAATGTATTTTGTATCATATATTAATCAGGATCTTGCTTCTGCCCCCTCCAGGTGGGTTTGCGTCAGCAGGACATGTCCCTGCTGTGCCAGCTGTGGTCTCTCCACGAGTCAATCCAGGAGTACAAGGGCAGCTGCCAGGACCTGAGCGCCGCGTCCAGCCTCAGCATGATGGAGAACGGCTACTTCGACGAGGATGACGAGTATTACCCGGAGCCTGGCGCCACTCCCACCGGGGAGCAGCCGGACGGGGAGGTTGGAGACGGGACAGCAACAATGGCAGCAGCCAAGAATGGGAGCAGCAGTGGCAAAGATGACAGCTGGGACTCCTTTCACGTTACCATCTGAGGCTTCATTCTCAGCATTTATCTGCAGATGGAAAGACGTTTTTTGGGGGGGGGGTAACGGACTGAAGTAAGCTGGAGAAAAAGTTGAGTGGCTCTGAGAACCTTTTGCCCCTGGAGAAGGGAGTGGTTGGTTAGAGATAGCAGCTCATGGTGTCTCTTTACCGTAATAAACTATAAATGTAAAGCACCAGCTCCAGCTTAACTTGCGCTCCTCCTCGGGTGAAACATATACCTGCTTGTGCTGCAGAATGTTTTTTTGCAGCGTGACCAGGAGCTTCATCACACTGCGGAGCTGAGCGGCCGGGTGTCCTGCTTTCTAACATCCTCTGAAACACTCAGGAGTTGAGATGGATTGTATTCAAAGACTCAATATACTCAAAATTAGGCAATATATACAATGCATTTCTTTTTATAATCAGCTCTGCTGCTGCTTCCGTATCAAGTGGTTTTGCTAACCAGTCACCCTTTTATGGTAGAACGTTTTTTACATATTCAAAATATATGAACAAAGTTTTTATTATTTATTATATAATATAAATAACAAGATATTTGCTTTCCTGTTACTTTCAATGAACGTTTTGTGCTGCAGCTCCACCCAGGCACAAGGGTACAGTATTTACAGGCTGGAAAAGTGAACACACAAGATGGGATTTCTGAACGCTGCGAGCGATGTTGGTGCAAAAAAATGATCGACTTTGTGGACATGTTGATGGGGATGGTGTGTGTGTTACTTTTAAATGGTGAAATAACTCATTTACGTAAATCCAGAAGGTCTGGGCAGAAGTTGTCAGACCAGAGAAAGAGGTGGAGACCTTACACCTGTTCACAGTGTGAAAATGCTTGAAAGCACAGTGATGTTTTTGTACAGGGGTGAGGTTGACACTTTTTTTTGCCTCTCAGCTGAAGCAGGTATTTGCTCAGAAAATGTGAAATGTTCAAAATGCTGGAAACAGTTTTTTAAACTGTTTGCATGGGTGAAAAACCTGGAAGCCCAGTGTAGCAGGCTGCAGATACAGTAGAGTGTTTCCCTGATTTCAAAGCTGTCACTGCTTGAACACATTAAGGGTAACTGTGATGTGGAAGGCCCAGGTTGTATCCATGTAATAGTATGAAACAGTATGACTTGGATCTTGCGAATTCTAACTTGTTCATTACAGCTTCGGGCCTATTTTGTAGTCATGGGCTTTATTTCTATCAATGATAACATTGTACTCACAAGGTAATTGCTGATTGCGGCAAAAAAAGTCAGATGAAATCTCAGTAATTTATTTGTTGGGTGCAATATTATTATCATCAATAGAAATGAAAGCCAAAACTATGACAACAAAACCCAAGTTGTAATAAATGATAATTATCCCTCTATGTAGCTAACTGGCAAGTGCTAACACATTTGCAGTAATTGAAAATAATCAGGAAAAAACTGGATAAAATTAAATGTTGAGCCATTTTCCACATAGCCACCTTTGTGACATTTATTCTTAATATATTCTATCAAATAAATGTTGCCAAGAGTTGAGAAGCTGTGACTGGCAATGATCAACTTCTCACATAATTTGCACTTGCTAGTTTGAACGTATTTTCCTTAACAGCCGTGACATTGATGGTGAATCAGAGGTGTGTAAATCTGATTGGCCCCTTGGTGGTCAATGAGTTAGAATAGTTCTGTTTTGGTCAAAGTGCGTTGGGGGGGGCTGTATTGACCAGGCGGGTTTCTGTTGTCACTGTGGCCTTCAAATATTGCTCACAGTGCAAACACAAAGCTGTAGCTCTAAACCTGGTAGCAAATATTGCATACAGGGTACTTTATAATACTTTGTATCCGAGGTAAAGATCTTAACCAGTCTCATCTTAACAACACATGCTCTGCTGCAGCTAGCAGATGCCTGCAGTTACTCTGTACAGCCTCATGGTCAGGCTGGACATTATTTAAGACATGTCAGAGAGATGCAATTGATATTATATCAGTGTTTCATCACATCTGCAAAGCACCAAGTTTCTGTTTAACTATCTGAGCCTCATCTTGAAACTGAAGTAGTGAGCCTTCCATGACTACTCAATACTGCTCACTAATAAGATTGTAACAGCAAGTGTTTTTTTTTTTTTTGTCTATTATGCTCAATGTTTGCATGTGGACAAAATAGACAAAAACCCTCCAGTACACTGACATACTGCTCTCCTGACGGATCTCTGCTCACAGTCTGAAGAGCGTTTCGATTGACATTTCTAACAGAAATACTCCTCAAACACAGCCTTACTTCAAACTCTAGGTTTCTTCTCTTGCTGTCGTCCTGCGCCATGTATCCTACAACAGGCAAAGACATTTGGATGTGTGAATATTCTTAATCTACTACTCATATGTATGGTCCGTGTGGTCTTCCTTAACTTCTAAACTCTACAGCAAAGGTCTCAGCTGCTCAGTACACAGCAGCTGATCTGTCACTCAAACTGCAATACTGTCAGTACCCACCATCACTTTGAGAAAGGTGTAGAAAGTTAATATTTTGTGTGTTGATGTTGTGTTTATATAGATCATATGACGTCATCCGTTTGTCAACTGGTCCGCTATCTGTGTGCTAACGGAACACAAACCAAAGAAAGTAATAGCGCTCAAAATGAAATGTATTCGGTTTAAGGTGCTGAAGAAAACTTAATTATCACAAATGGTTAAATTTTACTTTAAAAAGGTACAGTACATAATGATATCTAATGTCTTGAAGAATGTCTTTACAAGTTATGATGAAATGAGTAGGACACTTAACTCTGCCTTGAACCCACTCATAGGAACACTAATGTTTTCAGTCAGATAACACACAATGCTTGATTTCTAATTACACGCTTATTGTGAAGTTGATGTCAGCGACTGACGTTTAGACTGAGTCTAAACAATTCGTTTATTGTTGAACGCTGTCGCACCTACACACATTGTTTAACGAGTCAAAGGTGTAGTAACAGAAAACTGTACAGAACGTACAGTAGTTAATACAGCGGTGTAATGTTAAAGGAACAGTTTGACATTTTGAGAAATGTGCTTATTTGCTTATTTTGCACAGAATTAGAGAAGAAGATCGAAACCACTGTCGTGTCTACAGTAAATATGAAGCCACTGCTAGCAGCTGGTTAGCCTAGCTTAATTTAGCACAATAACTGGAAAGAGGAGGAAACAGCTAGCCTAGCTCTGTTTGGCAATAATGAAATCCACCTACCAGCAGCTCTAAGATTAAGTTTTAAAAACAATATTGTTTTCCTGGGGGTTATGCGTGGAACTAGAAGAAGGAAAGATGACAAGGAAGCAAATTCGCATTTTTCACAAAGTGTCAAATTATTCCTTCATCAGTTTGATCATTTGTATCTCCTTTTCCTTTGATCTGAGTGTGAGTTAACGCCACGAGGTATTTACCTACTCGGTCTTAAATCTGAGAAGTTTCCATAATGCATCTGTAAGTTTCTAAAAGCAACCACAAAACTAGTAGAGGCCTCCGTAGAAAACAATGGTTTTATTATCTAATATCTAATAAGTTGGATTGAATGTCTGCCCTCTGTTATTTGTTATGGATCTTTCAAGTCTGTGAAGGGCCACAGTTTTATGAAACTCAACATTTTGTCTGTACAGCAAACCTGGATCTGGATCAGTCAAATTACCCCATTCAGGGTCAGTTAAAAACACCTGTTTTATCGCTGCAATCTGTTTCTAATCTGAAGCTCAAAGCACATTTGATCAAACAATCTTAACTGATACCGTTTAAAGCATTTCAAAAAAATCCTGACCCAGGCCTTTTATTGGATGTCTACACAATTAGTGCCTTTAAAACTGTTTATTGATTCACTTGCTTGACATGCACTTGGATTTTAAAGCTGCCCAGTAGTGTTTCAGATTTGAAGAATTAAGCAGCTCCCTGAATCCTCTGGTGGTGTTTTATGTCACTGTCACAGAGGATGACTCAATGTCTGGGTAACCAAATGTTACCAATGTGTGTATTCTGCTCCAACTACAAATCCAGTAAATCCCCCAAAGAGCTGATTAAAAGGTGTGTGCAGAGATTTGGATAAATGTGTTTACTCAGTGGAAAGACTGAGGTTCACTGGTGTTTTTCAGGCTTTTTTAAATCTCCTATCAGAGGCTCCTTTTCCATTTTATTGATGAGGATGCAGCTGCTGGGAATTGTGTATTTTTGATGCTTCTTCCCTCTGAAATCTGAGTTGGCGACATTCATTCTGTCAACATCAGTGTTAATCTTCTACATGCTGCAGCTTTAACCTCCAAAAACTTGTAACAGCCTTAAAATCAGTCATGTCATTTGCAAATTGAACCACGTCGTGCACGCCTCACTTCAAGTGTTCAGCTATGGCTTTGCACTTGTTTGTTTGTGGCTGTTATGTGTACAATCCCCACCCCTCACCCAAAACTACCACCACCTGATCCTCTTGGAGTCGGCCTTTATTACACAGGCACACGCTGCTCCTTTAACATGATCGCTACTGTAAATCCAGCAAAAAAGATTTTGAAAGGAGCTTTAAACACCAGCAAATTATACCCAATATCGTACCATTAGCAATTGAATAGTGTGTGTTTTCTACTTTTACAAAAACCCCTCTTTTCATTATTAGATTATTGGATGTGTAACATGGTGACGCCTTCTCAGGGTAAACTCGTCGCAAAATGTTGTTTGTGTTGTTGGCTCCTGTAAAAGAAATAATTATGTCTTCACCTTTTTAAGGGACAAAAAAATCTTGAAACATTTCAACACAATTGTAAAGTGACACTTTGTTATTTGGTTGTGTTTTTTTGTGCATTCACATGAGTAACTGGCCACCCCAACACTGGATTTATTTCCATGGAAATTCTAAATGTCATATTTTTGGTGTGAGTTTCTCTTAAGTCAAAAAGCGAGGGCTCCTTTCTAGAGACGTCATTTTGCACCAAATTTGATCAATCACATGGAGAATTTTTCTACTTAAAGTGGCCTCAATAGACCAGAATGCAATGCAACCACAAAAACATGGTGACTAAAGTGGATGGTATTGCTATAGTGTTCAGGCACCTGCTTTAGTGGTTGTTAGGAAGCATTCTGGGAAATACAGGAGGGATGTACAAGTGGGTGCAGCAAAAATAGCATATTGAGACACTTGAAATTCAAAATAACTTGATCAAAGATGATGATATTTAATAAGTGGGTGTCAGAGGGGTGATTTATTCCTACAGTATCTTGATCTATACTCACGGGCCATGTTTCTGCCACATGAAAACTTTTGCGCCTCCCTGAAAAAGCCTCATGTATAAAAAAATTTTTTTTAAAAAAGGTTCATTGAAACAAAAGCTTCTTCCACAGCTGACTGAAATGCACCTGTGTTGAGACATCAGTTTAATTTCAGCTCATATCTCAGAAAAAGAAAAACACAAGACAACCTAACAGAATCATTTTTGCAGCAAATTATTAGCATTGACATATTCCACCTTTTCTATGTACTGGCTGTAGCCATTAAATTTGTAACTTAATGAGACCAGGAACAAGAAGATTTCTACTTTATATCATAATCATTCATTAAATCGCTGTAGTGAAAAAAAAGGTTTTGATGTATTTTGTGTTGCATAGATGAAAGTAATTCGTAATGTGTGAAGGCTGTGTTGTTATCATCCATCATTACTCATTACTGTTCTTTAATCCATGAATGACCATACTACTGTTTCTTTGGACAATAGTCTCAGTGCTTTCCTCTTATAGTTATTATACTGATATTAATTTAATAAATTGATCCCATACTTTTCAGGTCCGGCGTCTGCTTTTTTAATTCCTCTACATGAAACACTATATGCAGAATAGAAACTAAAGCAGTGTATGCCTTGGTAGAAATAAGTTAGATGTGTGTTTGCAGCTCAGAGTTTGTCCTTTACAAGAGGAACTGTCTATGTGCTATAGGACGATTGTCTTCTTTGCACATTTTTCCTGCCATTGAATAGCTGTTATCTTGTCTTTAAACACCTGGAGCCAGTTGCACAAAACACCTTAAGTTTTCTACTTAAGTATAAGACTTAAGGTTTATTTTCTCCTTAGCTGAGGGAGTTACTTAACGGTGTTGCACAGAATCTCTTCAAAGGTTTGCTTTGTTAAGGAAAAAAGTTTAGTAATTCACAGCAGTGAAAGAGATGCTACAGTGGTAAAGTTCTACTGTTTCCATGGAGACAGTATGTTAGCTTGTGATACCTGTTATCACTTTTAGGAAGCTGGTAACACTACAGGAGTGTAAAAAAAAAAAAAAAACATTACAGGAGAATCAATTCCTCATTGTTACGGGTGACCATTGAGTTCTCCCACTGTTCTTGGCATGTGTTCATTTTCTTGACTTATCACCATAAACTCAGCTCATGTTGCAGTTAAGATAGAGTCAGAGGTATCTTCAGTTTTTTTTTCCTTAGTTTGGTCAATAATGTCTTTTGTGCAAGGATGTAACTGAGTTTGACTGATTCATTAAGTATAAGACTACGATACGCAGAGCACCTTAAATATTTAAGTGAACATTTTAAGGAAACCTTAACTCAGACTTTAAGGAAAATCTTAATATAAGGTGTTTTGTGCAACTGGCCCCTGGACCGGGAACCTTACATTTAAAAAATACATCCGTCAAGGTTTTCTTTTGAGTTTTAAAGTAAAAATATTATTGCACAAAATTTAAATTTGACCTGATGATGACACAAGTTGAAACATCAGGGGATCATTACATTTATATTATATATAAATTTAAAAAGTCAGATCACCAAAGTCAGTAGGTGTTCATCCCCTTGGGAGATTATCTGAATTAAATTTCATGCCAATCAGTCAAAATGTTGAGATTTTTCTTTAATGGTGAACTGATTGAAGAAAAAAAAAAAAAAAAAACAGCCTCATTAACAGCTCTCTCAGACCAAACAGCAGCCTTCTTCTTCCTCTTCCTCCTCCTCTTTCTGCTGCCCTACTTCTGTCTTTTTTTTTTTTTTTCCTGAATGCATCTCTCTCTCTGACCTGCATTTAAATGCACCAATCTGCATTTCGGTCTTCGAGCCGCTGCCATGCTGGTGCGGCTCCGCTTGCTTATTTGATCATTTCTGCAGCAGGATGTGATGGCTTTGATGTAAGCAGCTCCTCACGCTGCAAGCTTCAGATGAATGAATTACTGATGATGATAACACTGTTTATACTCAGAGACTCTATTTGAATTCTCACAAACCTCCCTGAAGAGACTGAGGAAATGGGTCATGCAACTAACGTTTCATGTTCGTGTTTTCTGCATTTTTCCCAATGCATAAAAATGGCAAGTATTCAGTGTTTTTTTTTTTATCAGGTTGTGACAGCTTTCCATTCAAATTCAGGAAACTACAACTAGAACTGAAAAGCAAATCAGTGAAAGTGCACTGTAGCTGGACTACAGCTGATCCAACTTCAAATTAAAGGGCAGAATCGGCCTTATATCAGAAAACAAGTAGGATTTAAAAAAATATTTTCTTTCTATAGAGGCCCACTGTATAGACAGTTCTTCAGTGTGCACGATTTGAAGCCCATGTTTTCCCTCTCTGCTCTGTGCTCTGGTCTCGTGCTGCCTGTCTGAGCGTCTGTTGGGAGATTAGAGCAGATTAACATAATCTTGACTGAGCGAGCAAATCCAAGGTGCGCATCACTCTCTCCACAGGGGACAGGCTGCCACATCCGAGCTGGGCTGTGAGGACCAGCAGAAGGCTTGTCTGCCACAGTAATGAATGAAAACTGTGCTGCTTCTTCTTCTTCCACAGTACAACACTGGAGGATGGTGTTGTGTGATGTCACTTTTTCTGTGTAAATCTCATTTTTACTGTGCCCTTTCTGTCTCCTTTGTGTTGGTCTTTTTATTCCATTGGTCCCAGTGAGGCCGGGTCATGACCGGTCACAACATACAGCTGCTTGTGCTTCAGGTTCTGTGTCGACCTGTTTTGCTGGTGATTGAATATTTACGTCCTCAGTCCTCAGCTGATATCACGACTCCACTGCCCCCAGCACAGCCTGTTCTTTATACCTAGCTGCTGATGAATGTAGCTGCTCTTAATGACAAGTAACACAGTGTTTCTGGGTGTGGCTGTTTTAAGTGACGGCAGTGTCAGGCATTGTCATTACCAAAGACGACCTCCTCTTTAGAATCTACTTCGATTATTGGTTTTAAACTGAGTCCCAGATCGACGAAGTGATTATTGGTCGCCTTTGTTTTTATTCAGGAAAAGACAATGATGGAAAAATGACATCAGCTGTGACCTCCAGTCTGAACTGATGAATAAAATCAGACGCACTTTCAGCAAAGGCAAATTGTTTTATAGCAGCCTGCTGTACAGGGAGGACAAATTGGCATCAGGTTGGTCTTATCCTCCAGCTCTGGCCCTTGGCTTGCACACTGATCCGGGCCTGGTAACTGGCTGTGAGGTGACTGCTGTTACAGTAATCTGATTAGTCAGACTCAGATTAAACCGCTGCATGCCACAGTAATTGACCAACACTTTCCAGACTCCACATTTAGAAACTCTCTCAGGAGTTTGTTCACAAGAATTTTGTGCAGAAGAATCAAACACATTGGGAACAAGTTACACCGACAAAACATCAACGTTGATTCCTGTGTTTATTTCCACTCTTGTGCATCATTTCAAGAGATCAAAGGTGGTAGAGTAGATCACTTTTTTTCTGCATCTCCAGCAGCGATCTGCTGCGGATCGATGAAAATACCTGTTTATCTCTGTCAGAATGAGATGAGGTGGTTTGTTATCGTGGCATTTTTGCAGCGAAAAACTTTCCATAGAAACTGGAGAACAGATCCACCCAGGGTGAGGACACCTAACAAGCATTCCACATTCATGTGCTGTCTCCTCAGCTATTCACAGACCTGTAATAACATGCAGCCATGTGCAGAGGCAGCACACACACACATATATATATATATATATACATGCACAAAATCAAATAGTCACATACAAAACGGAGCAAATAAAGTATAAACATTTTATTTTCTTTTTATTCCTTTAAAAGATCAGACTGCACATGGTAAAACCTTTGTTTACAGTGTGTTTCCCTGCTGCTTGTGGCAACTCGCTCTGCAAGTTTGTTCTACATAATTCATCAGAGAAGCATATGTCCCTCCCAAACGATGAGGGCTGGTCTGTGACAGAAAGCCACAGCTATTTCAGCATTACATCTTCTTAATCACTAAATACTCAGGGTGTACTCTGTGATATGAAACTTCATTCTTTGTTAAAACGTGTTTATTATGACATTTATATATTATTTTTGAGACATCCAGAAGACTGGCAGCTTTTAACTGGATTTTTTTTATTTTTTTTTTTTGTATTTCAAGGACAGTTTGCTGCTTTAGGAGATGACACCCCAACAAGATATATAGCACCCAGACTTTATGGTGATGGCAGATGGTGGAAGGAGTGAGATGCAGAGGAAAAAATGTCTTTTTTTTTATAGCATCTATAAAAATAAAAGACACCAAAGAAGGGACATGAAAGACGAGACTACTTTCAGAAATAAACCCTTTCTTCATGTCTCTGGCTGATAGATTCATTTAAATATCTGTATCCTCTCCACTGTATATATTGTGTTGTTTATGCCGTTTTTTATTCTTTCTTTCCTCCTTTCTCATTTTGTATGATGTCATTTTTGTTTTTACGCAGAGCTGGTTAACATAAGCCCTCGATGGGTTTCTTACCTCACCTGCGCATTCTCTCCTTTATAAAAATTTTTTATACAATGTATTTGTAATGTTTTATGTGTGTGGGCCGGGGCAGGTTCAGCTGTCCCCTAACACTGTAGGTAAGCGCGGTTAAAAAAAATTCCCATCATTCCACAGATGATTTGATCTGCTTCGGACGTTTGTTTTACTGGCTGAACATTGTGCTGGTTACAGACACATAAGCCACATTCCAGGTGCTGCAGCTGGTCAGCGTGTCTCACAGTGATTTTTGTAGATCAGATGTCTGGTTTGATAAATGCCTCCCTCTGCCTTCGCTTGTAAATAAGAAACCTTAAAGAATGATCAGTTTAGATGTCAGTGATGAGCTTTAGTGCCGTGAGATGGTCTAAATGTTCACTTCAGTGGCTTCACCTTCGCTTGGATACAGGAAAAAAAAAAAAAAACATACAATAATTTTGGCAATTCTTAACCAGCTTGTCCTGAACACTGTTCAATTTGATAATTGATAATCTAATCATTTAAGTCAATTATCAAACGAATATTGATAACATTTACAGGTTCCAACTCCACAAATATGACCATCCATTTGCTGCTTTTATTTGTTACATATAATTGTAAATGCGGTAAAAAGGCCGTTGGTCAGACAAAATATGTATACTGAAGATGTCACCTTGGGCCTTCAACTGAGCTGTGTGTTTGCATGGGCCAACCTGATGTGGAGCACCTGGGCCCAGTGCTCCTGTAAGATGTAAAAGTCCCAGCATTCACCATGTCTCTCTCTCTCTCTCTCTCTCTCTCTCTTCCTTGGCTGAGACACCTTTTGCTTAATCTTAATTTGCTGGCATTTGTATGTCCATTCCTGTTTTTGTTGTGGCCCATGGGCCAGATTACAACAGTAAATAAGAAGAAGAAGTCAATAATGTCTGCCTTACTTCGCTTGTGTGTTAACATTTATCTGATGTATGTGTGTGTGTGTGTGAGAGTGAGCAAAAGTAAAGACTTCACCAATGAACTAAAGAATGTGAGGAGTGCTGTCTGGGTCCTGTCCAAACAGAGAAATAGTTTTTGTCAATTTACAGCCTCAGGGTCTGTGTTTGTGTCATTCCTGGAGAGCAGCCCTGGAATTAGAGCGTGTAAAACAGCAATTTAGATCATGAGATATTCCCACGTTGTAGTTCTTCTCCTGGGCTTTTCTGAATAAAGTAATCAAATTAAATCAAAATCTCACTGGAATCTTGACTTGGAGCTCATTGTCCACTTTTAAACCAAAATGAAAAACAAGATTAGAGCATTCCCACCTCTTCAGTACGTAGACTGCTTGTTCTGTAGACTGTTTTTGTCTTTCTTCAGTGTCTCTCCTTCTTTTTCAACTTGACAGAAAGCCATCAACATTCTCTGAGAAATAAATCTCTTTTCTGCCGGTCTCTTTCTCCGACTGAGCAGCGTAACATTTTGTCAGCCTGTAGCCAGTTCATTAAGGCATTTGCTTTGGCGGTTTCTGCCACACAGGAAGCTTCTCATGTCTCCAGTTGTTTTGAAATAAACAGAAACAAAACAACAAAAGAAGAAAACTTGAAGAATACAACTTCTTCTCCAGCCCCGTGTGCAGATGGTTCATTAAAAACTGCCTCACTCTGGCACAGGCTGGCATCCACGATCAGTTGTTCATCCCTGAGAGAAGTGACTTTAATGTCAGTCTGACAAGAGCAGACATTCATTCAAATGTCAACATGTCCTGGATGCTCCATGGCAGATTTTTCCAGGCCTGAGCCACACAGGTCTCTGACAGCAGACCTAAACACACAGCCATCAGTGACAGACGTCTGCTGCTGTTCAGGATCACTGGAAGACAAAATAATAAGAAAATCAGAAATAAACACGTTTTCCGTCGCCAGTTTTTGTTTGCATAGTTACAGTACTTTAAAAAAGAAAACCTAAATCATACACTGAGGAAACCAAAAAAAAAAGTGTGAACACAGCTTGTGAAAACTTCTATTGACCTACAACTCAAACATCAGCAAGCACCTTCCTGCCAACTGGAACGTAAGTGCAACAAGACATAAAGTCAATATGATATTAAAAAGACAGTTTTTATATAAACTTTAGAGGACAGCAGTGAAAGGCTGAATTTGCTACATCATTGCACTTGGCATCAGTTACACTGAAACTTTCTCTTTATTAATATGTCGTAGAGAAACAGCTCATCAGAGGAGCCGACCTTAAATTACTCAACAGTATCTCATTGTTTGTTGTGCACAGGCTAACTGCCAAATACAATGAGCAGATTTATGTTTCCAAAGCTGCTGCTGCTGCTGCTGCTGCTGCTGAAGAAACAATTGTACAACACTAGAAACATGGACCCGAACTTTTCTGTTATGTAACACATTTATCTTGAATGTCTGGGTCCCTCTGTAGTTAGGAGCACAGGAGCACAGGAGCACAGGAGCAGGGGGATTTTCAAACAAAGGGAGAGTTAGTTGCCACCTGCTGGTGTTTTTAAATGTTGCCTGAAGAATGAAGTAGCAGCACATCCCTGACGTCTCACGAGGTACAAGCTGTTCTGCTTCGGGACAAAGAAACTCATCGAATGAAAAAGTCACGCCTAGTTTCCTCTGTTCTTTTCCCTGTCATCGTTGGGTGGTTGTGAAACTGTCTTGATTCTAAGACGACATTAACACTATAACGTAAACACAATAACAGTGATGTGTGTAATTATTATTATTATTATTATTATTATAAATCATTACAATTTGGTGTGGGAGGATTATAATCAGCAGCATGTACAATCTGCTTTGCTACACTTCTGAAAATCTCATGTTCCTGTTCTTCATTAGAGAGTTTAATTGTTCTATAAAGGTCGGAAGCTGTTTCAAACATGTCTACATAACAATAAGATAAACATTTTTGGAAAAGCATTAATATACAGTATGTTTAATATACTGAATATTGGTACAACACATCTAATCTTTATCCAGAATTATTACTTGTATCTTTTTTGCAGGTATTTGCTCATTAACCAAAGGATCACATACAACATTCTGACCTGATGATGGCACTAGAGGGATCAGTGTTTTTGCAATTCATCCTGTGGGACCCATAAATGTGTAAAAATTTCATGGCAATCCAACTAGTAGTTGTCGACATATTTCAGTCTGGACCAAAGTGGTGGACTGGTTGTCATCTCTAGAGCCACAGACACAAATAATTGAGTTTGGGGCTGTTTATTTTTTCAGTAGAAACTGGTTTCAAAGAAACCTGTTCACTGAGAGTCTAACAGAGTTGTCAAACTGAGTTCCATTCACCTGCACTGTATTGGGGTAAAGGCAGAAATCTCAAACCTTGAACAAATAAAACCAAAACTATCTCAGTGGCTAACACCACTGGAGGTTAGTAGGAGGCTGTGTTATCCTACCTCTGATAGCCTGTGAGTTAGAAGTGAGCACAAACAGTTTGATGAGGCCCAGACAGAGTGGGGAGTAGTCATGTTCCCAGATGACAGCAGGAATGAGGAGGACCTTCCCGTAGCAGGACAGCAGCAGGGCTCTGATGAGCAGGCTGAGATCTAGGTTCCCACCCTGCAGGAGACCCACCACCACCCAAAGGAACCACAGCACACTGCCACAGAACGCTGACAGCTCTACAGGGCGAACATAAAGACATCTCAGGGACTCAGAAACCATATCAAATAGCATAGACATAACCATTCATGTGATCCTGGTTGACTGATGTCTCCGGAGATCTGAGCTTACATACACTATGGTTGTAATTCCACACTGATACAAACAGTATCTATTTAACGGTTATATGATTGAGCTCTGGTTGTACCATGAAAGCATCTTACCGAGGGCGGCCAATCCAAACATGCCGTAAAACTCCCATTCCTTGGTGTACCTGATGATGTCAGCAGGGTCACTGCTCTGCTCAGAGCCATGGAGCAGAGACCACCTCAGGTAAGCCTCACACAGCAGGCAGAACACACACAACTTCCAGTGGATCTAGAGAGGTGGAGGAGAAAATGCAAAAACACTACCTGAAGACAGACACTCATGACAGCATATGGGTGACAAAAAGCTGGATATGAGCCCAGTGAGCCGGACATGATGACTAAACTCATAGAATAAGACATTATACTAATACACTATACTATATATTTGGTAGATGTTTTGTCATCCGAACATGCATACATCCACATAAAGTTGTACTACCTACGTTACCACAAGGTAAAGTAGTTGGGGTTACTTACATTCAAGCTTGTGTTGAACAAAATGTGTCTGAAAGCCTGTGTCTTGCACAAAATGGCATCAATCAAGATGATGACAGGGTCATATTCTATGTACTTGTCCACTGGCTTTTGGCAGGACTCCTGGAGAAACAGACACACAGGCAACGGCCACCCTTTTACCTATCTGTTGTTTTTATGTTGTTGCTTGGGTATGACACTAATTTTAAGGGATGCTACATATAATTCATAGAAAAGCGTTTGTTTGTAATATATTCTGAGTTCAATTAGTTCAACTCTGTCGCCACATTCAACCCATACAACCAGTCCTGAAGCTACAGGCGCAGGTGCACCTGTCAGCCGTATCGCTGCACACTGACAACGTAACCAAATATAAAACGCAAGTAAACATTGACCTTCATGTATGGCTACAAAAATAATTTAGATTAAAGAATGAGCAATAAGAGATATAGGCAAGTTAAAGTTACATCTTCGAGGCAAATCTCGTTAGCTAGCATCCTCATCATAAACAGTAACGTTAAACACTAACCAAACCAAGTTTAAGATGTTAATAATTAACCCACACATATAGTTATCTTCAGGATCCCGTTACTGTAATCCCGGTGCAGCTCCGTTGCTTTTTCGTTACATTCAACACACCTAAAGACACTTTTGCCCATTCTTTCCTCAGCTTAAACGGCTACGAAAAGCTGCTAGCATATGAGTCACTCTTACCGGAAGCAAGCGGCTACATACAGTTCCGCCCTTCAAAATAAAAGTATATTTGTAAACAACTGAAGGATTGAAAAGAGCTTGTATGTTCTGCGATTGACATTTAAAAAATATTCACTTTTACTATGCAATTTATTTTTCATAGTGGAACTTTATTATACTGCATGTCATACTAGTCATATTATACTATACTTTACTCAGTGTATGTAACTAAGTTAACTAAATCGCAGTACTTGGGAACAATTATGAGATAGCTAATATAATACCACTTTATACTTCTATTGTACTACCTCTCAGGGGTAAAGTTTTGCCATTTTTTACTCCATTACATTTATCTAACAGCTGTTGTTACCAATTACTCAGTTGATTTTTTTTTATACATAAAACATATGATGCCCTTATAAAATACAATGCAATGCTACAAATTAACCATCCCAACAACCGACTGTACATTTTTTTTATTAGTTCTCAACTAGCCACAGCAATAAATGCTGCTAGCACATCAATGCATCAACAAAAATACTATAATATATAAAAGTCTCAGACCACTTTCCTATTTGGAAAGTCCCAGACTTAAGTCAAACCTTACAACCCAATTTCACGAATCACGAGTTTGGACAGGACTCCAGTATGTGATCTTATAAGAACCAGAGGCTAATTAGACAAAAAACTACAGGTTTAGAATTAAACCATAACCGCTAAAGCTGGCAGTTGTACAGTTTGAAGAGTATAATAATTTGAAAGGTAAAACGGAAAACCATTTCGTTGGTTTTGTCTGTCCGGGGACTTGACCTGACGCTGGAGGGACCGGTTTGACAGCCACAGAGCATGTCGGGACTTGTAGTGTATTGTTGTTCGGTTGGTTCCTGGTTGGTTCCCGCAGGCTCGCGCGTGAGGGGGGTGTGTTGTTCGGTTTGGTCGACCTACAGCAGCTTCCGCTCGCTGGCGTCACACATGTAAAGAAACATGGCCCCTGCTAACAGGGCTGTTGTTTTGGTAGCGCTCTCACTACTCTACCTGTCTCGGGCAATCTTCTCCACCGAGTATTTCTCCACCCTGACTTTGTTCAACAATGAGCTCCACAAGCAGGGATGCAGCTCGCTCTCCGAGTGGGAAGAATACGCGGCTGACTGCGGTATAGTGTCTCTTTTCGCTGTTACTTTGCCACGTCCTACCCCGGTCCAACTGTCACTGTGTAACCCGGCTAGCTTAACCGTTTGTAAGCTAACGTTAAGAGGCTAATAACAACAAGCGGTGACAGCCCAGAAGAGATTACTAAAAGAAGCTCTTGCTCTAACTGCGGTAGAGGTTAAATAGGATTTGAAACCAAAGATCGAAGAAAGAGAGTAGTGAGAGTAAATCAATGTGTATCTATCAGTAAGACAACTCAGGATGTACCCACTTTACAAACTGTATATCTTATCTTACCCGAAGAGGTCTTCACCAGAGTACGATCAAAAAACAAGCAATTTTTGGTGTTCCCTTGACCGTCAGCAAAATGTAACGGAGCAAAACCGAAAGATTTTTCTGATGGTAATGAGCTTCTGGTGAATTCTGCATATACATTATACGTTGGCATTTTACTAGGAACACCCAGCTAAAACCAATGCAGCCTAATACAACAGCTCTGCAATAAACCTACCCTTCATGACGGGTATAATGTTCAGTTTTTATTGACAAAATGTTTGGAGAGGTGTTGATTAAGCTGTATGATCATTTTGGAGGATGTAGAGTGTGTGGTGCTGTTAAACTGCATTGTGTTATACATAGTGTTTCTGTTATTTAGCTACCCTTACTGATATAAATGAGGTGGACAAAAGGACAAAAATACCTGTCCTTATAGACAGCACCACAAACTGCAGCCTCCAAAATGGCCATAAAGTTGAATCACCACCCCTCTAAAACAGTTTCAACCCAAAACTGAACATTACAAGGAAGGTAGGATTTATTGCAGGACTGTTGTATTTCGCTAGGTGTACCTAATAAATTGTCAACTGAGTGTAAATTATGCACACAGCTCTTTACTTTTTATCTCAGTTTTTGGACACCCTGTTCCCTATAAGTGGCAGGTGAACTGGTTGCACAAATGACATCCTGTTGAGATTAGTGCTGCTTGGTTTAACAGATGTGTGCTGAACTGAAGAGATATTCTGAGTGATTTGTAAACAATTTTAAAGCACCACAGCAGTGTTGTTGCGTGTTTTATCCCAAGTGCAACACAAGTTTGATTATGAGTTAATTAATTAAGTAATTTTTCCAGCAGAATGTGGTTGCAGCATCTCAAATGTGTCTGTGGATTTTACCACACACAAATAACTGACAAAATTGAAAAGAGATGTGGTGTTATGATGGCAGCGGTTGTCATGGACACTTTGGTTTATTAGGGCCATTCTTGAGCAAATGAATTGCCCTTGCTGTAAATGGACTAAACTTTTTTTTTCCATTTAAGTAATTCATTTAATGAAAATGCAACTTTAAACTGCCAAGATTTTATTGTAACGGGTGCGTGGTTTATTAAAAATGTTATTTTTGTACAAAACTGTCAAAGAATTCAACATCATTTGAAACCAAAACCACTCATCCATTGCCTTTTGGTCTGAATAACTAGGCCTACATGGAGTTATTCAAACCACATTGCTGACATGCCTTGTTGGTTTGGAATCCACTCTGAGTGGGGTGGGGCCTGCTTGTCATCTCAGACATTTCTCCTTTGAAATATTAGAATATTAATGCAACTTAGAAGACTATTGTTGTGACAGGTTGGGAGTGTGCACCTGCCTTTTTTTTTTTTTTAAATTGATTAATCCATTCACATATGTATAATGGTCTCAAATACATACATACAGTAACAAATATTGTGTGAAGTGCTTCCCTTGATTGATACTTTGAATTCTTGTCTTTTCAGAGTCCTCAATTTTACAGTTGGAGGACCCAGACTGTGAGGAGGGAAGCAACCCACCCTGCGAGTCAGTTTTCTCACTTAACGCAGAGAAGATCCTGGTGAGATGACACACACACACACACACACACACACAGAAAAGAAGGACTCTAGTCGAGTCTAAACCACTTGTTTTGTATCTAAACAACGCAATACCTAGCTCTGTACTAAATTTGTATGACAAGCCATCCACTATTTCAGCTCTGAATCCATCAAGAAAGTTTATTGGCCATTTATTTTCTCTGCTGTTGAATAATGTTTGAAAGACTTCACTATGTTAACGTGATGTAGCGTTACACTCTTGTTATCAGTGCTTGGTTCATGGTTTGTAGTTCTGATAGAGCTACACCTGAAAGAAGGAAATTATCTCACAACATCTCAAACTACAAACAGTGTACAAAGTGACTGTAGGTATGTTCAAGATAAATTAGTTTAGCAATTTAAAACCAAGCTGGAAAGTTTTGGTTCACTGATCTCTCCTAGTTGAAATTTCAAATGTGTTGCAGCTCAGACTACACCCAGCATCAGGGGCGAAGGGCGTGTTTATGTTTGACCAGAAGCTTAACCACACCAAGCAGTGGTGTGAGAGTGTACAGACCGTACCCCAGAGTACACTTCTACATCACTGCAGCACAGTGAGAAGCACTGGGGATCAGCAATAAAGAATATTTTGACCATAAGTTAAGAGGTAATAGTGAGAGTTGAAAAATAGCTGAGCATTCAAGAAAGTATCTTCCCTAACGAGGAGGGAAAAGATTTATGCCAGAATGAGTTAGATGTTTTGATGATGTGGCTACTCTTACTTATTATGTAAGACTATCTGATGAATTTAAATTTTGCAAGGCTGTATCTTGTCAGTTGTCCTGTTGCTGTTTTATAAACCCAAAATGCTGCCGCAGCAACATTTGCATGCTTTCAAATTTGCATCCTGTAATGGTGTATGAATTGCTTGGCAGTAGTAAGCATCCATGACCTTTAACTGGATTTTCTTCTCCGTCCTGTCGGTCTTAATTGCAGAGTATAACCTTGAGATATACTGGAAAGCTTGTTAAGAAAAAAAACCTTTCACTTGTAAAAATGTCCTGGATAAATGTTTTAATTTATGGCTGTAGTTCTTTGTCACTAGATTCTAACCCTTTCAAACAAACAGAAAACATACGATTTCAGTTTTCACACCTCTGAGACTCACAGTATTTAGAGTCTGTGTTTATCTTCTGCTCTTTCGATGTGTTACTGGTTTCACACAGGAAATCATTATTTTGTTGTTTCCTCAGCTTTGCGTGTCTGCGCTCTCCCCTGATGTATGTCTCTCTTTTCATGTAGTGTGTTTTTTTTCTTTCCATCTCTCACAGAACCAGGCCAAGTTGTTTATAGAGCAGAAGAAAATCCCCTTCCCTGTAGATAACCACAACACAAATGAAGAACTTGGTAAGTTGGAAAGTTGTTCTAAACTCAAATCATATTCATGCTGAACTGAGTTACATGATTTTGCGAAATTGTTTCGTCACCATTTGTTCTGTGATTGCAGCTATAGGCTACGTTCTGATAGGCAACGGTCTTTATGATGAAGCCATCAAGCATTTCTCACTCTTACTACAGGTGTGTTTGGATCCATTTAAGCTACTAAACCTGCCTCCTGCAAATATTCACTCTTAATGCAGCTTTCAGGAATGAAGCACTTTCTCTCAGAGCTAGAAATAAAACCCAACTTAATTTCTTTGGGTTCAAACCGGGAATATTTTCTGACATGTTTTGTCTGTGATACAGGGTGACCCAGAGCTCGTCAGTGCCATATATGGGAGAGGGATAGCTTATGGAAAGAAAAGTCTGCAGGTGAGTGATAGATCTTTTTTTTTAAAGAATTATATTTTTCTCAATGGTTTTATGTTTTTCTTTTATATTTTATCTGTTTCTGTTTGACCATTCCTTCAAAATCTTGTTATATTTTATAAGACTGTATTTGCTGTGATGCCTCTTTGAATTTTGGTGACAGCAGCAGTTTCAGGTAAACACAGAATGACTCAGCGTGACATTCAGTGAGTTCAAATTCAATCTGCCAGGCCTCTGCGGTTATGGAAGCGTGCCCCCCAGAAAAAAAGTCAAATGCCAGTTTATGTGTGTTTAGCTGTTTGTGGCCTTTTTCCTAGTTTTGCTCACAGTATTTTAAGCTTTATGTCAACAAAATGAAACTGCCGCCCCCCTCCCCTGTCTCCTTGCCAGGATATAAAGAATGCTGACTTGGCACTGTATGAGCTCAACCGAGTCATCACCCTCGAGCCAAACTGGCCGGAGGTCTACGAACAGAGAGCAGAGGTAAGGCCCGACCATGTACAGAGGTCAGGTGAAAAGAGGAAGTGGCTTAGTGCCAAAGCCCATCGATTCAGTGTAGTTTTCTCTCTGAAGTTCTTCCAGTATCTCAAAGTATTTTTAATGCTCCAGTCGAGGAGCTTTTAATTGACAAAACAACCTTTATGGGTCTCCAGCTCTTGGCATCAGTGGATCTAATTTAGCTGATAAAATTTCCCAATTTGGAACTTAGTTTTGCTCCATTAAGTAAAGTGTCTAATTTCTGTGCTGTTTATGACCTGAAACGAATCATTAATCACCAGTGTATCTGATCAGTTTAGATGTCTAATCAGCTGAGCATCAGTGGCTTCTCAACAATGTGATTTGTACCGAGTCTAAGATTATCTCTGATGCAATTAGAGCCTGTGATGTGGTAAAGAGTAGGAAATATGTTCTATCGTGTTTCTGGATTGTGTGCAACTAGAAAAGAAGACACCTAAAGTCCAAGACAATGTGCGAAAACAGTGCAGTTTATAAAGTGGCGATGCAAAGCAAGTTGTGGTAATTTTCTTCAGCATCAGTGTTAATTCAATCATGAGATTGGGGAAAAAAAAGGGGGAGCCTGCTTCAAGGACAAAATGTTCCCAACTTTATTCTTATGAATATTCAAGATGTGACACATAGTGTGATGTCGGTGGTTGAGCTCTCGAGGCTCTTCAGTAATTATAATGCACACACACGCAAAGCCGTTAAGTCATGTGAGTTTATGCTTTGTCACTGTGTCCGCAGCACTGAAGGCTCAAAGAATCACACTTTCTTCACCACCTGGTTTCACTTTGAGCCGGTTTACTCTCTGTGACCAGTATACCACTTGAATGAGTCACTGGTGTAATCAATCTGACGTGCACATGCCAGAAAAAGTAGTTGCACAATGCTGTGTTCATCCAAGGACCACTGTCTTTTTGAGATACTGAATGTTACTCTCTTACATTCTTGTTGTGAATGAATCAGACAAACTCTATACAACATTATGCAACCCAAAAGCCGAGTTTATGATCCAATTAGATTCTTCATGAAATCCTGTTCTTCAAGATCGTACCTATTATTTTTAAATCAAAAATGTTTAGGTCTATTTAAAAAAAAAAGAAAATGCTGGATGGAAGAATAGACACTGTATCCCTGTACAATTCAGTATGAACCAAAAAAAATATAAATATATAAACCTGAAAAAATGTCCTTTCCTATTCCTATTTCCTTTCTCTGCTTTTTCTCTTGTCTTTCTCAGAAAAGAGGAACATCAGTATGAGATTCCTCAAAAGAAGCCACAAACTTGTTTTCTAGCTATAGTGACTAATTTGAAAGTTGAACTATGGGAAAGACAAGGTCCTTTTTTTGTTATATGAACAAATAAATCTGTATGATTTGTTTTCTTTAATGTACATTACCTGTATGTGTGTTGACGTGTGCGTATGCGTCTTCAGATCCTGTCTCCTCTGGGTCGTATCAGCGAGGCTCTGGGTGATCTGACCAAAGCCATCCAGCTGCAGCCCTCGGCCCGACTCTTCAGACACAGAGGAACGCTGCTTTTCATTTCAGAGGTTCGATGCTCAGCTGTTATGTAAGTGCATGCGTCCATATACACACATGTATGCATCCATGCGCTGACCCTGTGTTATGCCTTCCCTCCAGGACTATGTGGCAGCTATGGAAGACTTCCAGCAGTCTTTGGAGCTGAAGAAGAATCAGCCCATCGCTATGCTTTATAAAGGCCTCACCTTCTTCCACAGAGGCATGCTTAAAGTAAGTTGTTGGCTTTTTTTCTCAAAGAAATCTGTGACTTTAACTGTTTATGTTGTGATTATTGAAATAAGTGAGGATCAGATTTTTGAAAATACCATTTGTAGCACAAACATCTCATTTAATGTTTTTTTTTTTGTTTGTTTTTTTTGCTTCCTTAAACTGACTCTAGTGCATAATCCTCACCTCATTTCTGTTTCTATCTCCATTTGTCTGTTCACTTTTCTGTTACTGGAAGCCTTTTCCGAGCTGTCAACGGGACAAGAGGCCATTGTTTTCTGTAAAATGCTGTGGCCAGTGTCCTCTTGTCGATGGAAACATAACAGCTTTTGTGCAATAGGAACATGAATCTTCATGAAAATCATTTGAGAATCATCTTCACCGTTTAAAAGTGGTGTGAATCTGTGAAAAAAACGTACAGTATGCCGTATGAGGACATAAAGGGGAAGTTGAAACGAGACAAAGAGATTAATAAAAAATATCAGTTAGGGCATGGACTAAGCAGAAACTCATTGTGTTGCATGTGTACTGTATATATAAGATTATTTACTATTTTTCATTTGTATAGATTTAATTCATATATGAGCAGTTGCAAGGAATTTCCTGGTTTGTAAGTTTAAACCAAGTTTTCAGAGATTATGACATCACACCAAATACAGTTTTTCTTTTTGTGATCTGGCCTCTCTGAAGGAAGTGGTTGCTGTTGTTCACACCCGAGCTTCGTGTAGCTGTTTGCTGTGGAGGTAGTTTGTCTCCTCTATGTCATATCATGTCATAACACACAGTAACAAATAAACCGGGGTGTTATTTCACCCATGAAAAGGCCAAACTTTAAAATGTATTGTGCTGTTTTGCGGTAAATTGGTGACCAAAGTAGAGACACTTTGTGTCGGGGTTGCCAGCTAAATAGTTGACATCTCACCTCTGTCTGGACACTTCTTCCTTTGTTCAGATTACTTTTTAGAAGAGCAGTTCAAATAAAACTAAATCTGTTGCTCCATGCATCATGAGGAAGGTTAAAATGATAGATGTCTCCAATTTTACCTTTTAAAGAAACCTTGAGATCACAGCATTTCTCACACTTTGATAAACTGATGTCAGATTAAATGGAGTACAGAGCAGTGTCCACAGCTACGAGGCTGGTCTGTTGTCAGTCTGCACCTCAGCTGTAGTGTTTCATATCCTGTCATGGGCATGTGTGGTGGTTTTTGGTTGCATTTGCCACCTCTGCTAACCAATTTCCTCGGGGAGTCCCTGCACAGGACCTTCAGACAGCTGACAGTTGACTACAAACAACAACACACAGTATACAAAATATGGAGTCAGTAGTGCGATTTTGATACTAGTTGTAACTCTGATTGTGAGAGTTGAAGTGCTATTTCATAATTGTTGAATCTGCTGCACCGTGTACTCAAGGAAACAAAGTCAACATTGCACAATTGGCTTTTTATCAGCACAGACTGTGACTGAGCAATGTCTTTTCTCTGAGGAAGAAAATTGTTGTGAACAAGCCCTTTTGTCTAATGATTCATTAGGTGCTCCTTGGTCACTTCATGAAACAATCGCAAAGTCAAACTTTAATTTACGAACAATGAACATTCTTTATACTGCTATTTGGAAAGAGTTTTCAGTCTGTAAGGAAGCAAATACTGTAGGTTGCTGTGCCAGGAAAAAGTGTGAACTGAAGTGCACATTTTGTAGATGTAGCCTCAGTTTGACTTAGTTTCAGTGCTAATTAGCAAATGTTAGCTTGCTAACATGCTAAACTAAGAAGATGAACATAGTAAACATTATAACTGCTAAACATCAACATGCCTTATCGTCAATGTTACCCTGGTACATTAAAAACCTGCATATTCAGACTTCTGTGAGAAAGCTTCTAAGTTAAGCTCAAGTTGAAGCATGGGCATGATATCATAATATTATAAGGTAGTTTTCTAAGAACAATATTTTTGATGGTAGGATAAAACCCTTAGAAATACTTTATATTATTTGCAGTCTTGATGATGAAGTCTGTTTGGTTGCTTGGTCTTTAAATGACTTCATTTGCCTCCTCTCATGAGATTCCTGGCTCCCTTTATACTCTGATGAACTATGGTGAATTAAGTTGGTTGTATAGCTGCTTTCAGCTAACAGTTTTAAAAGCGAGAGGCTTTCTAAAGTTTTAAAGACATTTGGTCTTTATGACCAAGAACAAAAGGTCAAAGTCAATATAAAATGAGAAAAGTAGATGATGCGTATGACAAGTTAATTGGCAGTGTCTGTCATCTCTCCAGTTCTCTGGTGGCTCTAAAACATCTGCTGCAGAGATGAAGATATCCCTAACACATTTGACTTGCATTTGCCAAACAACTCAAGTTTTTGAAGTCTATGCTCCAGGGGAGGCACCATAGTCTCTTCTCTGTCTGTGTGGCCAACCATAAAACTGGTAGTTTCTCTGTAGCAGTATCTGCAGTTCCCCATACGAAATGAGAAATGTGAGCATTGTGGCAAAATTCTGTTTGAGGTAGTCACTTGACCCACATTTGAGTCGCATTTTGATGATGGTGTGAGCTTCAAAATGTGGAGAGAATCTGCATATATCTGAAACAAGGCCTGAATGATCTGCTGTGTTGGAATTTTAGGTCTATCTACATGTTCCCTATTGCAATTTCCTGTTATGACTGTGTGAAAACTGTGTTCTCTCTCATCAGGAAGCCATTGAGACATTCAAAGAGGCATTAAAGTTGAAGTCTGACTTTATAGATGCATACAAGAGCCTAGGACAGGCCTACAGGTACAGAGACCCTGTGGTATTGTTTTTTTCTTCCAGTTGAATTCACTGTTTATTTCTAATTTGTATTTCTCCACGGAAGAATATAGTATAATGAGAGTCCTACATTTCCCCTCTGCTTCACTAACAGTATGTCAATTGTTGTTCTTTTGGTGTCTTCTTCCTCCCTCTAGAGAGCTGGGGGACTTTGAGTCAGCAATGGAGAGTTTCCAGAAAGCCCTCATGTTGAACCAGAACCACATCCAGTCTCTCCAGCTCCGAGGAATGATGCTGTACCACCACGGCTCGCTGCAGGAGGCCATAGGGAACTTCAAGGTAGAAGAATCCGCCTGATTCATCCACATTTGAATAGAATAACTTGGTCCGTCACTCTTCTACCAGGCTGTAATAATTTCAGACAGTCCTACATTGTTTCTTTTGTGCTGTAATAATGGAATTACATTTAAGCGACAGATTTAAACTGCACTTTCAGCTGGGTTGGTAGTAACTATCTACCAGTTCAACGACAAATGTACAGTGCACTCATCACGTTCTCCTCTTGTTCTCTCGTCCTCCAGAGGTGCCTTCAGCTGGAGCCTTATAACGAGGTGTGTCAGTACATGAAGGGGTTAAGTCATGTGGCCATGGGGCAGTTCTATGAGGGCATCAAAGCTCAGACTAAAGTCATGTTGAACGATCCTCTCCTGGGTCAGAAGGCCAGCTCTGAATACCTCAAAGTGAAATACCTCAGAGGTTGGTGTGCCACCTTACACACACAGTTGGGCAAACACCTACATATTAGGTTCCATAATAGACTTGCACACATTAAAACTTTATTGAATGCACTTGAAATGTTCTGTTTTTTTATTTTTGGAACTAAATCTTGTGTATATAAACTATGGAGAACCTCCTACTCTGAGATGCTGTTGTAACAACCACTCAAATCGTGTTTTAGAAGAAGATAAAACAAATTTAATCCATTACAGCGTTTCACCAGAATTTATATCTTGACCACCAAATATTCTTGATTCTGATTGGCTGATTTCTACTAACTGGACGGTATAACCAGGCACTTGTGACACTTGTTTCTAGGCAATGACAGCCACAGTGAGGCTTGACTAAAGATCTTGTCAGTTGAGTTTATCAGTGGTACGAGGATGGTGTATTCCTTTCTTAATACTGGATAATTCTCTAGTTTAGACTATATGAATGTGATATAAAGGTATGCTCAATCTACCACCAGTCATAGAGAATTTATCTGAAAGTCATCTTGAAACTGTATATTAAGCAAAAAATGTTGAAAAAATAGATTTTATGTAATTATTGTGCAGTGTCAATTTGTAAAAAAAAAAAGAGTCAAAAGTAAATTTTTCCTTATCTTACATACTTTTACATTTCTCTTTTAAAGGGTCAGTTAAGATAAAAAAAAAATGTCTTGCTTCTGAAAAACTTTAACTTCCATGGCTGTTATTTTAGATTATGTCTGATATTTTCTCCCTGCTTTGCCCCACATTGTTTTTCTACCAGAGTACTCTCGCTACCTGCACTCCCACCTTGACATCCCAGTAGCCGAGTACAACGTGGACCAGGATTTACCGGGGAACTTCAAGAATCACTGGGCCAAGAACCTGCCTTTCCTAATAGAAGACTATGAAGAACAGCCGGGCCTGCAGCCACATATCAAGTAGGTTTGATGGGTCTGTTACAACTGATTCACTCCTGGAACAATAACTGTGATCATAACTGTAAGCTGTAATACAATGATTTCTGTTCTTGTCCCTGTAAAAAAAATTGCTCTGAGATCAAATCAAGTGAGTTGCAACGAAAACTATTAACGGATAAGATTCATACAGTGTTTTGAGTTTGTTTGAGATTACAATAGGTTGTCTTATACTTGACCTCAGTTGTGTCATCGTGAGGAAATACCACCCTAATTTCCTGAGCTACAGTTGGTAGCAGTTTTTATGAGCTCAGAGCTGAGGCAGACAGCGTTTAGTGGTTGAAAGCTAACACCTGCCATCTTTTCCATGTGACATGAAAGCTCCATTTTTTTTTTTTTTTTTTTTTTTTCCGGGAAATGTTTTTATATGCATCTGTCAGCAGACTGAAGCTTCTGTTTTATAAAGATGTTTCAGAGGTTTGACAGGTCGCCACAGTTCAGTCCAGAAGAAATAAAGTCTGCACACAGTATGAAAGCTTTGATCAACTTCATCCTCTACTTCCTCCTCTTCTCTGTGGTTTACAGGGACGTGCTGCCACAGAACTTTGACAGCTACAGCAGTGAAGTTCAGAAGCTGATATGCACAGCCGACCATCTGGGGGCGCTAATGCAATATGACACTCCGGGTTTCTTACCTAACAAGAGAATACACAGAGGTACCAGTGACAACTGCTGTAGCTCATAAAGATCATTAAAGTATTAACAACAGCAGTAAAAATAACTTGTTGCTTGTTCTTTTTTCCAGCCATGGGTTTAGCAACCCTGGAGGTCATGCAGGCCATGCATCGAACATGGAGCAACTCCAAAGTGCGAGTCAACGGCAAGACCAGGCAGATGCAGTGGAGAGACATGTTTGATATAGCCGTTAAATGGAGGAGGTGAGGACTTTTTTAAAGAGGAATGTAACGCCACTTTTTCAGCTTGAACATGCTGCAAATTTCACATACTCAGGAAATACATTGAATCCCAGATTTATATATAAACGTTGTGTTCAAAGGTTTGGCGTACTAGTTAGCATGATAGTTCTTCACAGATGTTTGGGGGTCTAGATGGAATTTTCAACCGGATTTTTTGACCCAATTTTCTTTGGATTGTCTGTGTTGTTATGAACTTTACAAGCCCCTTGGAACAAATGAGTTTAATACAGTGACAGTTTACAGACTCTCACAAAAGAAATGTTAGGGTTGAGCTACTCTTAAAGCATCCAAGTGTAACTTTGGTTTGGCTGGCTGAGAACAATGACCGAAACACGTAAAAATTTGTGTTTCCATCATATTTCCAAAAGAAATTGCACCTCAGGAGCAACTGTGGAATCCTAATCATCTGCAGGAAATAACCCGAAAACTCAAGGGATTAAGGGAATAAAAAGAAGACAGATGTTGATGCATGGTAGTTAGCAGTTCCTCATACTTCAGCAGTCTTGCAGAAAAAAATGAAATCTAGGCTGGAGCCCATATTTGGTTTTACTATGTTAGAGCCAGAAAAGTTGAAGTACAGCACATTTAACTGAGAAGTTGGTCACTCAATTCTCTAAACTGTTTAATTTAATCACTTTTGTTTACACAACATGGTTTGGTTACAGTGATGAATGAAATAGACCAAAAACAGAAATATAACAAAGTAAACTTTTCCTCTCTCCTTTTGACTAAATCAGATAAATTATGTTCCTTCAAACAGTCTTTGACTGAGTGGATTTCAGTGTTGAGAAACTAAACTGGCATTTCCTGTGCTGCTAGGATCGCCGATCCAGACCAGCCAGTCCTGTGGTTAGACCAGATGCCTGCCAGGAGTCTCAGTCGAGGCTTCAACAATCACATCAATCTCATCAGGTAACAAGCTGGCACCAACGACGGTGGCAGGCACTCTCATGAGTCCATTGAGGGACTTGTGTTACCATGTGGCCTCGCTGAAGGTTTCTCTCAGCTTTGTAGTGTAAAAACATTTATTTAAATCCCTTTCAATGCGGCCGAGATCTTCTTTCACTCTGGCCTTGGTCTGACAAGCTCACTCAAAGCGCTTTTATGCCAGTCTGTTGAAATCCTTTCCTTTCTCTCTTTATCCCTACAGAGGACAGATTATCAACATCAGATACCTGGCTTACTTTGACAACATCCTCGACTTCATCAAAGACAGAATACTTGTGTACCACGGGTAAATCTCACCAAAACGTTGTCGAGTTTCTTATGTAGCGCATGAGTTTTCAATCTTTCCTTTGTTTTCCATCACTAACACTCTGCATTCACTGAAAAAACTGATCTTATCACCTCAAACGATTCCACAAATCAGCCGAGCCTGAACCCAGTGATAGCTGCATATGTGCGACTAGCATCAGCATGTCTCACCTGAATGTTTTGACAGCCATTTTTTCCAATCTGATGTTTCCTCAGTCTCTAGTTTTCTTGCTGCTGCTCTGTAACTAATATGTTCTTATGATCTGTCTCAGGGCCTACAACCCCAGAGGCTTACTAGAAGTCCGTCAGGCTCTTGAAAATGTCAACAAAGTAGAAGATCTTCTTCCTATAATGAAGGTAAAGAGGGATAAGACTGGGTTCATAGGGATTTTTTTTTTCTCATGTCAAATGTATAAATGTGTAAACGACACCATCAGCTGTTCAGCAGTGAAAACCCAGGATGGTTGTCTGTTTGTGTTTGTGTGTTTATTTCCTGAAGCAGTTTAACAGTAAAACCAGAGATGGCTTCACAGTCAACTCCAAGGTGCCGAGCATGAAGGATACTGGGAAAGAATACGATGGTTTTACTATCACCATTACTGGAGACAGGTACCATTTGTGTGAAATTTTACAGCAACACTTGTTGAATACATGTTTAATTTGAAAAACAAACATTTTAACATTATATATATAAAAAAAAAAAATTGAATGCATGGAGCTTGTAGAAGGTAAATAAAGGTACAGGGGAGGACAAGGGAACTAGATATATGCAGGTATGCACTATGTTTAGTCATTTTAAACCTGATTATCACAGCAGACAGTGGCATTTGACATATTTTCCTTGCATCCTTTTGCAGAAGCTTTCCAGTTACTTTGGATTATAATGACCGAGTTTCTGTCTGCTAGGGTGGGCAACATGTTGTTCTCAGTGGAGACCCAGACGACGGAGGAGCGGACACAGCAGTACCAGTCAGAGATAGAGTCCATCTACAAAGACCTCACAGCTAAAGGAAAAGCATTAATGCTGTCCACTGAGCTCGGGGTAAGATTTATCTCTGCACTTAGCTTGAAGCTTTTCCTTCAGAGTTCTATAGATGATAGAAAACAGGAGGATGTACAATACAGTGGTATATGAGATGACATGATGCACAGATCACAGCACAAACAAACTTCCATTCACCTCAGTTGTGTTGAAGAGGCAGGTGTCTTTTTTTTACCTCTGAAGATAAATGTAATGGGTGGGGCTGAGAAAATCCGTCGCCAACATTTTTAATAATCGTTTAAACATTTGTCAAATATGAGGATTCGCTGCTTTTCTCTGTAAATTGAATATCTTTGAGTTTTGGACAGTTGGTTTGAGAAAACAAGACATTTGAGTGTCATTTCAGGTCGTCACTCGGCACAGCAGACAGCCAGCTTCCCCTCCTCTCTTACTCTCTCCTCTTATTTCCCCTCCTTTCCTCTGTTCCCTTCTCCAGGCGTACCACAGTTTTCAATTTTCTACACAGGCAAAGTCAGGGAATTGAATGAATTCCCCAGAGATTATCACAATAATTCTACAAATAGATCATTTTACAGTGTTCAGCAGAATGTGTTTTCCAGCTGGTTTTGCACATCCATGTCTGTAAGTGACTGACAGGCTGAGCTGCAGTGAAAAACAGTTTTTAGAGACATATTATCGCACATGACAGAAGCATTTTGACTTTATAAGTCTGTGCTGACAGCCAGCCCTCCCTGTGTTTCTCCTGTTGTTCAGCTCCTCATTTATACTGATAACCCAACAGTGTCCTTGTTGTTGTAACTGCTAGATAAAATCATTCACTTTCCTCTGAAACCGATACTTGGAACAAAATGTACATTCCTCTTGTGTTTTGATTCTTGGTTGTTTTTATTACGTCTGCTTTCACCCTGTCTAGATAAACGGTAAATGAAGACAATACACACAAATTAAAAATGGACGACACGTCTGTAGAAAGCTCTGCTCCGTGCCAGTTAAAGGACTGTACAGTTGACTCTGTGACTAATTGTGTTCTTTCAGGATGCAGATGCCTTGTGTAACCTGATCCTCTCCTTGGTTTATTACTTCTGCAACCTCATGCCCCTCTCCAGAGGATCCAGGTAATTTCTACGTTGAATCATCCACAGGCGTAACGTTTAATATTCCCACAGTGATAACGTCTAGAAGGCCTCCGCCAAGGCCAAACAGTCCCACACTTGTCTGTGAGATCGTGATTTGTGAGAAGTCATAGATCTCAACACCATAAATATGTCTGGTTTTTCTTTCATCATGATCCAAACATTATGTCCTGAGAGACTAGACTAACGAAACATCGAACAATTCCCTCGCTCGCAGTGTTTAGGGAAGTAATTTAAAAATCCAAGTTCGGTGCAAATTAATTCAGTGTTTTTTGCGCATTCCTGCAGACAAACAAACAATCAAACAAACAAACCCAAGAGACAGGTGAAAACATAACCTCCTTGACAGAGGTAATAAGAGACAGTGAATTTGTGCTGTGCCATGTTGTTGTGGTAGGTTTAATTATTGTGCCAGTAACCGTCAAATCACTTTATGTTTAGATTCAGGTCTCCTTTGGCATTGATGTCTGAAACTTATAGGAGCACTCTGAGAAATTCAGCATGTGTATTGGAGGTCTCTCGTGCTGAAGCCTTGTGGATGTCATGTAATAAAGTTAAACATGAATTGAGGAAGGCTTTCTTTCCTCCACATGGAGTTTCTGGCTAGGCTGCAGGTTTTAGTGCTATAAATGCTCCAGTTTGATTTATTTTCAAAGACTAGCATGTAACGTAGCTGTAATTATGATGCTAGTGTGTAACAGAGGCTCTCCCTGATCCGTTTCTCCTCAGTGTGGTGGCGTACTCGGTCGTGATGGGGGCACTGATGGCCAGTGGGAAAGAGGTCATCGGTAGGATCCCTAAAGGAAAGGTAAAGATAAAGCTGCTTCAGTCATGCACCTCTTTACATAAATGTGATTTTAACATTTCGGTTTCACGTCTGAATAAAAGCCCGTAGCATTTTAATATCAAAAGGTATTACTAGGTCGGACCTGCTAACGTTTCTGTAACACCTCTAACACGGCAAGTCTGAGCTGATCTTGCATACCTGATTAAGATCAGTCTAAATATCATCTCCTATGCTCATGGAAAATAATATTGCTTTAATAAACTACAAACTAATGTGAATTAGTTGATTTGACATTTAACAAGCAGTTGCAAAGGGGAAAAAAAAAACTTGTTCCACCACAGTAATAATAAGACCATCTGTGTCCCTCCTGTATTTTCAGCTTTCATCCAACTGCACTGATGAATAAATGAATATCCAGCAAAATATTTTTACATAGAGCATGTGAAAATGGGAAAATAAATTAAATTCTAGTCCCAACTTAATATTTGATCACAACAGAAAACACTCCTCATCCTTGATAACTTTATACTTTCCAGCCCAACCCTGTCTTTGGTTCTGTCAGTAATGAATGAAGCTGAAGAGGCAGCTATGTCTAAATGACAGAAAGGCATCAGTTTTTAACAGCTTGATGGACCCGGTAATGTATCCCACATCTTGAAAGGGATGTATTGTTTCTGAGCCAAAAAACACTCTGTGTAAAAGATTATTATGAAAGGTCCTTTTTGTGTGTGTGTCCAAATGAAACGAAACACCTAAAGCAGAGCAGGTGAGAAGCTTGTGTAACTCTCAGAGGGTAGTTTCATTTCACAAGCATTTTTTTTTTATTAAAACAATAGCTAGTCAGTCAGTGTTCAGGTGTAAATTACATACAATAACAGTCTGCTTGTAACTCCACTGATGGATACAAAGATTTTATTTATTCCAGACATCTAGAAGAAGAAGAAGAAGAGCCGGTCAGCTTGTCTGAAATTCTCACCTATTTTGTATTTGCCAAGAAGACACATTGTTCCTGAAACAGAGTCACAACTGGATGGAAACAAGGCAGTGCAGAAATGTGATCAGGTGTTAGTCAGAAAGCTGAAGTTTATGAAAAGTTCAGCTGAGGTCAGTCAGGAAGCTCGTTGAGTATCATCCAAGTATCATCCAAGGTTCTGTTTGCTTGACTAAAGACTGTCTGGTAACTTGAGAATCTTATTGAGGGAATAAAACATCTGAATCGGATTAATCAGAGAACAAAGAAAACATACTCTGAAATGTATTGATCCCTCAGAGTTGAAATGTGTTTTCAAATTAATCTTTATTTACATGGACATGGCCTCGGGCAGTGAAATGCGTGTACAGTGTGTGTGTGTGTGTGTGTCCTCTAAACTGTGTATGTGTTCATATTGTTTCAGCTGGTGGATTTTGAAGCCATGACCACACCCAGTCCAGACAGCTTCAGTAAAACAGCAAAGAGCTGGATGAATCTGAAGAGGTAGGGAGACAAAACACATTTGTTTTCTTTCTTATTACTCCGCTTTGCAGGGACTCTCATCTAGAACTGTTCTTCTTCCCCAGTTTACCGAGCTGGTACCAGAGTCTTCCATCTGTAGCAGAGACCTTCCCGTCGACCAGAACGATGATCGAGGTTCTCAATACAGACTCGTCTTCACACTGTCCAAAGAAGTCTTAACACAGCTTCTACGCAGGAGAGAAATCTGTTCAATAAAGTCTTAATATTAATAATAATAATAATAATAGAGCTTCTACACTGGGCAGAACAAAGGGACTGTCTTCTTCTGCAGCCCAAACACAACTGGACTAAAAAAATTTATCTCCGCTTTAGTGTTTATTGTTTAAATTTTGAGAAAGAAAATCATCGAGCTGCTTGACACATTTGGGGAGAGTCTGTTTCCCCTACGCCCTGAGGCTTTTCCTCTGAAGTGATGAATCTGTTTTATTTTATTTTATTGTAGTATCCCAACACTTCTCCAGATCCTGCTTCGTTTGCAGGATATTTCAGTTAGTTTGGGATGCAGAAGTGATTCTGTCCACCCTCTCTCTTTCTCTGCTTTATAGGCCTCACGCTGAAACACCCAAAGCACAAACTGCATCTCACGAACCATCAGCATGAACAATCTTCCACTGCATAGACATGCCGAAATCCCTAGTTTTAGATTAGCTAGAATGTTAAATTGGATCTTAATTGTTTAACTTTTGGATCAAAGTTTTTATTTAACATTGAAGATTGTAATTGGCACTTTAAACTTTTTTTTTGTTTAACCACTGCTGTGCTCACTCACAGTCCAGCCTATCAGCAGAGAGGGAGTTCAGGGATCTTAAAGAAATGAAACAAAAACCTTCAGGGCTATTGAATTCCACTCGGGATACTTGAAGCAGTCTCTTTTTTTATTTTTGCTTTCTCAACACTTGCAGGAAGGGTCGCTTCTCTTTTCGGGTATTGAACCCCACTTCCTTTTAATGTGACCAATAATGGGCTGGTGGAGAGACGAGTTGGCTGCTGAACTAAAATGACAGTCACGGTCAGAGATTTTAGAGAAGTATCAGACCCAGTTGTTTGTTTTTTGCTGAAAAGATTCAGTCAGTTAAACAGTTTGTTGATCGACAAACTATATCATTTGCGTGATTTTTCAACCAAAAATACCGAAAGATTTCTGGTTCAAGCTTCTCAAATGTGAACAAATGTGAGTTATTTCTGCTTTTCTCAGTTTTATATCAGTGTGAATTGAATAAATGTCCCTTTTTTTTGGAGACATTTTCTCTTATTTAAATATTTTGTTGAGTTTTCTTTATAGTTTTTTTTTTTTACCATTTGACATAACAGGAAAAGAGAAGAAAACATCAGATTATTAAAGCAGAATCAATATTGATAACAGTGCACATCAACTAGTTACTATAGGCAGTAGATACATGTATGTCTCCGTCTCCGTCCGTTTATGGAAAAAGAAGCAACAAAAACCCAGTTAAAGACAAAAAAAAATAAAACAACAACCAACAGTTTTCTGATATTTTATAGACACATTGATCACTTTTTTCTTTTAGAATTAATTTGTAATGGAAGTAAATGATCAGCTGCGGCCCTTACCCATCTGTCTCCTCCAACCAAAGTGAATGAAAAGTAAAAACAACCTGGTTATTATATTGTAGTGAGATTTAAAGCAGTGAAACTATACTTTTTCCATTTTAAAGTTCTTTTATTTGATTTAATCTCACCTTTAACATATAAGACATAAAAAAATTGAAAACTTGAGCAACTCTAATAGAAGCTAAAAAATTTAAACTCCTGAACGTTCTCTCATATCTCTGACTGTTGGATCTTGTCAAGGATTAATTACAGATGAGGAAAAGCACAGCACATACTGTTATTTCCTTTGTTAACATTCCTTAAGATGGCATCGAATGACATCTGTGTCTTTTCTTTGGGTTTCCTCAACATCTCGTGCTTGTATAAGATCTTCTTCATAACAACTCACAGCAATAATTTGGGAGAAAAGAGCCCATGTCCCTTTTTTTCCTCCTACATATGTGACCGAGTCTTGTCAAGCTCATGGATATCTGGGGAAAAAATTGAATAATGAGATCTCAGAAAGTTTTCTCTGTAGTGAAAGTTTATTAGTTGAAAGTTTGAGCCTCACCACGTTTTGTTAGTTGAATTTCTCTAGATCTCTTCAAGCTTGACAAGATTGAATTCTAGCTGCAAAAAATGAACGACTAAGTAGATTTTTAGTAAAAAAAAAAAAAAAAAAAACATTTCATGGAAATTGCATGTGCACAAATACAAATCATCAAACTGATGGTGTTTATTGTTTTCTAGAATTTGTTCTGATCTGGCAAATGGGGTGAACCTGTGAAGGAAGTTTTGATGTGACGTTTACATGCAGCAACCTGATGAAACTAAATACTTGAGTGTCAGATATTGAGGCAAGTGTGCATCCAGCTGCTGTCTCTGTTTTTAATGACTCCTCAATGGAAGTTTAAGCACAAGGAGAAAAAAGGGTCAGCAGGTAATTCACATGACATTATCTAAAAGCGTTTGAACAAATTTCATTTTTCAAATTGCAGCTTTTATGATTTAGAGGCCTTTAAATAATCATCCCTGAATGTCCAGTTTACTGATTTTGTCATTAAATTAGTTCAGTTCCTGCATCACTGACAGTGGATGGCCTACACTTGTTTTGCTTTGTGTCTCTTTTTCATATCAATGATTATGCCGACTGGTTGTCATTTTATTTTATTTTTTTGCACTCGGTGACCCAGTCATGAAGTGGTGCGGGGGAGCGAGGAGTGCACAACCTATCTTAAAGCTTAAAACTTGAAGGAGGGAATTTTTTTTAATGAATGAGTGAATGAGAGTTCAGCAGTCAATAAAACTGGTTGACAATTTTATCAGTGTCTCTTGTTGTTATTTGGAAACCTTCAAGAAGAAATCAAGATGAGAAAAACTTACATGACTGGTTGATTAGATAAGATAAGACTGTGATTTGGGGTTTTGGAGTGGACCCCTATTTGCCAGGGTCCTCCGTGTGCAGAGAGAAATCTGCTTAATAAAGTCTCATTAAAAAAAAAAAAAAAAAAAAGATTATTAAAAAACATTACCATGACAAATTGCGCATAACTAGAAAGGGAAAAAAAGAATTCTACAAACAACTGCCAATCTCTAAATAAAAAAAGATCAATACATTAGTCAGTAAATAAGAATAAAAGTAAATCACATGTTCATTAATATTTGTTAACAAATTAAGAATGGTCCTAAATTTTGAACAGATATCAAAAGAGTTGCTACTCCATGAACAAATCTTTAAAATGTGATAGAATTCTTTGTTTTATTATTATTATTATTATTATTATTATTATTATTATTTTACCCAAGGTAGATGTTTAAACTCTGTTTGTTACAGTACTTGTACTTTACTTGAGTATTCCAATTAGACGTGCTCTTATATTTCTTACTTATTGTACTGATTCTACAGCTGTAATTACAGTTTAAGATTCTCCCATATTCAAAAGTATTTGACTAAAACGTAGAATTCAGACTTTTTGCTCGTAAAAATGTGTTTCTAAATTATTGTTTTCTCTTCATTTAAATTTGTATTAGTTTATTTTTTCTCTTTCATTGTGTTTTTTTATTTATTTATATAAAATAAAGTCTGACCAGAAAGCTCCCAAACTCAAATCTCCCTCTCTTGCTAATCTTAATTCTCACCTCTGGGCGTGATTTTCGTCACGTGGTCAGGAAGTATTTGGGCTCACATGGTTGCTGGTTCACCACCAGTTCTCTTAGACCGGAGGCAGGAGCAGGTGATCATGGCTGAGGACGTGACAGTGTCAGAGGAGACTTTAACAAGTGCTCTGACTCTGTTGGTGAACCTGGGCAAAGCTCTTCTCCAGAATGCCAAGCAGGATGCAGAAGGTAGGACTGATCTGGAAGAAGGACCTCAGACTTCATTGAAAATCTGAAGGTTTTAATGTGTTTTGCTGCAAAGGAAGGAAGTAGACGAAAGTAGAAAACGACTTGTATGTTGAATGAATTTGGTTTGGTTTGGTTTTATGAGCACTTCCGCATAGAGAAGATACAAATGAACACTTATTGTTACGTAATTACAACTTTAGTATTTTCTATTAACGTTACGGGTTGAAGTACGCAGTTATAGCGGAAAACGGCGAGCCGAATTAAAGAGGAGACTAAAATGATTTAGTCATGCTGATATTCAGCACAACATCACGACCTCGAGTGTGATATTGCTTTTATACAACATCTTTGCAAGGTTTGTTACAGTCTAAGATAGATAACGACCGTTAATGTAACGTTAATTAACAGTTAGTAGAACACCTGTAAAGCGGAGGGATACATGTAGTTAAAAGTCCCACTGCCCAATCAAATTACTTGTTCGGAACTAACTTGTATAATTCGAATTAATGTTTTATTTTTTTGGTTAAACAATTTATGTTTAGTTCCCAATAAGCACTCAAGTACCAAAATGTAGAGAATTAGGAGCCCGGGGTTACATTTTCATCATGTAAACGTCAAATCCAGTACAGAAAATTGAGTAACATCCTACTAAGTTGCTGCTGCATCTGCTTTTACTATTTCATCAGTGTCTGCGTGTTTGTTACAGTTAGCATGTAACATGAATGTAGTTCACAGATCTCCTTTTGAATATTTCACAACCTGGATATTTTATGCCTTGCTGAAGCAGATCAGTGTGATCAAGTCACTGGATTAAAAGTCCCACTGGCAACACAGTGGTGTAACGTAATCCCTGTCATGCTTATTGCCAACATAATGACATTGCACAAATCAGCTCGGCCAATAATATGACCCATTGTTTTCACACAGCCTCCCTGGAGAACTTTGTCCCATATAAGATCACCACTTTATTTGGCCTGATGACAGCAGGAACAGACTTCTACAAAAGGTGTGTTTTGGTTGATGTGGTGTGTGGAGGGGCGAGGGTGGGGGGTTAAGTACATATCGTTATATTGTTGAGTTGGTTTGATGTTTTGTCATTGTTGCGCAGCCTTGGAGTGAAGAAGAAGAGTGAAGCGGAGGCCGTTTGGCAGAAGTCTTATCAGTAAGTATGGGTGGGATGGGTGGGTTGAACCCTCATCATGATTGCTGCTGATGGGTGTTGAGTGTCTCCTCCACGCAGTGGGGGAGATGGTTGTGGTCACTGTGGTTGGTTGCTGTATAATTAGTAATTAATGGAAATGCTACCTCAGCCTTGATGTCTCTTTATCACACTGTGTTTGTATTTGTGCAGCCATGCAGCAGTGAGAGAGCAGGTGGAGGAGCTTCTGCAGCTGGAGGTTTGTATGTGTGTTGAATTTGCATTTTCAACTGTTTTAATTGTTTTTTGAATTTGCATTTATTTGATTTTGCTTAAAAAAATCATGATTTATTCATGATAAAACCTGCATCCTGTTCTGGCCGGATTAAACTCTACATTACGTACGGCAAACAACCAAGTCCACACCAGTATATTCTGTTTTCAATTGAATATAATGCAACACGTTAGTAATTATCTTATTAAGAAGTTATTATGCATATGAAATGTGTATTATAGCTCATTTTAAGATTCACACTGTCCACAAGTTGCTACAATTCATAAATCCTTTATAATACAACCAATACATGTTTCTAATAATGGCTGATGAAATGACAGTATGTGGTGAATTAGTGATGTAAAAAACATCTAATATAGCTCGCATAAACCACGTATTCGCCCAGGCTAGTGCAGAAAATGACTCATCAACACAACATTACAAATATTTGCTGGTTTAAGCTTCTCAGGCTGGAGGATTTTCTGTCATTGTGTTGTTGTCATTTTTCATTATTTTCCAAATAAACTAAACTAAATAATTTATTGATCAATTTAGAAAATAAAGTTAGTTTGCTGCAGTCCAGACAGTTTGCTCTACCTGTTTGTGTGTGCAGAATGAGTGGGACTCCTTCCTGCAGAGAGTGGACAGAGATCTGCAGACCACAGATGGGCAACTCTCAGGAGTGAAGACCGCAGACAGTCTGAGCCCTGATTCTTCATTCACTGACGGACGGACCGGAAAGTGAGTTCACAAACTCCTGGTTACCACTTTAATCAGCCCGTGACCAGGGGTGTGAGTGTCTATACGGAGCAGGCAACAAAAACGCCAGCTCACACCATCCGTTGTGTTTTTTTCCAACCAGCCTTGGATGGAAATGTGTTTTATTTGTTAATGAAAAACCAAGACAATACACATTCCCGAGTGAAAACTTGATGTCCTTGTTGTGTCTGTTGTTGTGTGTGTTACAGGAATGTGACTCTGGGTGAGTACCTGGGTCAGGGTCAGAAGCTCCTGCTGGTTCTCATCAGACATTTTGGATGACTGCCGTGACGAGACCACGTGGCTGAGCTGGAGGCCAGTCAGGTCAGTTAATTAGCGTCTCTTTTCTGCTCAGGGAAGTTTAACGGGCCAGTGTGTAGGATTTAGTGGCATCTAGCGGTGAGGTTGCAGATTGCAACCAACTGATCACCCCTCCCTTTCCAAGCGTGTAGAAGAACTACAGTGGCCTTCAGCCAACGTGAAAAAGCTCCTCTCTAGAGCTGATAGGGAGATTATAGATATTTCGGTGAAGAAAGAGCGCCGGAGTCCAGGATGTCTTACGCTGAGGATGTTTATTGAAGCTTGAGCCCAAGGTGAAAGGAGGAATCATCAATCCAGTCTCCTGTGCATGATGTCACCTCAAATCTGAAGCAGAAACCCCTGAGGATAGTCTTTATACACTTAGAGAGATTACTACGGATAGCTTACGCTCCATAATTGGTCAAATATCTAAAAAAAAGAGGGAGAAGAGGCATGTGTGAATACACTATTGGTCCATTGACCATAAACAAGGAAACATGACTATACATGTCCAGGTGCTGATCTCAGAACACCCAGCCACTTGTTACTGACCATCCAAGGTCTGCTGCTATCAGCCCTGGCACCAGCAGCATCAGCAGCAAACCACAGCTGCACAGCTGTAAGATTTAATACAGTAGCTGTGGCACTGCGACCTAGGGCCTCATACTGACCTCTCACCCTGACTCAGTCATTCATGGTGGACAAGAGAAAATTCCCTCACAAGAGCCAGTGTTTGGTTTGCAGGGGAACTACATGTAGCTAAACTTGTACATTTGCAGTAACATGGTAGTTCAACTACATTCATATGTCCATGGTGACTCAAGTACTTAAATTACTTTTTTTGCACTTTACATTTTTATGTAGTTACCTACTGAAACTACAAACGATGTTGGCCCATCAAAGGAAAGGAATAATTTAATTTTTATTTTTTTTTTGAATAAATTGCTAAACTTGTAGTGACCCCTCTCAGCTCTCTGTGTGTGTGGCTGCACTGACACGTACACCGGTTGCTCTTCTGTTGCATTTCTCACAGAGAGGCAGCTCATGGTGTGTTTGCTGCCCCCAGTGGTCAATACATGTGTCATTTCTAACAGAACACTGTTTATATTCATATTGTTGAAAATGCACTTTTACCACCAGTAAGCACCATGTCAACCAGGAGCAAAATCATGAGCATGAGAAGTTTAAAGTTATCGTATAGTTGTCGTAGCCGCCATAATAATGCTCATAAGAAAAAGCAAGCAACAACATCCAGGCAGCTTTGTCAAAATTGAAGAGTTGACAGGAACCTGATGAGATCATTCTTACTAGCTACAACTATATAACCTGCTGTTTAGGAGCCATTGTTTCAAATGTAATTATAGATTTTGAGTGGTAAACTTTTTTTTCCCCCCGCCCTGTTTCCAACATCTTTTCCAAACTGACAGTCTTCACTCTGCCTTTCAGCCACTGCCCGTTTGCTTTTATATAAATAAGTTACTGGCATTTAAACGAAAATGTGGGAAAGTAAGTCTTAACAGATCCTTGTGTATTCTTAGGGTGGCTTGTAATTAGTGGTTATATGTCATTTTCTTTCATTTTGTTTCTCTGCAGGCTGTCCCGGAGGCTCGGCCACTGCGGGTCTTGGTGGTTTCTTTCGGCAGCTTGGAGGGAGCTCAGCTGTGGTTGGAGCAGACTGGATGTACCTTTGACATGCTGCTGGACCCACAGAGAAAGGTGGGGATGTGTTTTTTCCACCCTAATCAACCCGTTCAATTTGAATAACAAGATGCGAAATTAAGGGAATCCCAACAAAACGTGGATTTGGTTTCTGTAAAAATGGATTAAAATAAAAAGAATGTCTATTATATTGTCTATGTTTCTATATTCGATGCCGGTGGGCAGGTGCGTAAAAAGTAAAGAGGCAGCTGTAATTCATGGAAACTGCCTCAGCACAAACGCAAAATACGACCGCAGCTTAGGGAACCAGAGGGTTTACCAGCTGTTTGATGATGTGTCATAAAAGCCCGGCGAGCTGAGCCTCCAAGACCTTTTATTCGGAAAAGTCAGTCACCAGATGTTAGCAGATGTGAGATGGAAACAAGGGCAATCAACCAAATATGGAGACGGAGAAGATTTTCCACATGCCACAGAAGCGGTCATCAATCATGATGTGTGTGCGCAGAACCTGATAAGATCGTCCAGCAGATATTTTTCATATTGCGGAATCCCAAGCGGATGTTTTTCTTTTCTCTCGAATGTGTGTCTTTGATTATATAAACCTGCCAGAATGCGTTTTTGCAGAAAACCCTGCATTTGTCTGACGCGGTCGATGTCCTCTCTGTCACAGATCTACAGGAGTTTTGGCCTCGGCTCGTCCTACGCCAAGGTGATGAAGTTCGGCTGCCTGCTGCAGTACTCGGAGTACGGAGCTGTCAAGAGAGACTTCCCCGACGTCCCCCCTCGCCTGCTGGAAGACATTTACCAGGTACCGAATGGACAAGATGGGAAAACAAGTTTGACATCGAGGAAATATATGGTGAAATGTAGGGCTGGTTTTACCTGCGTAGGGAGCAAAAATCAATAGCTGGTTCCCTGTGAAACCCTGAAACCTCCTCTTGTCTGCGCATTGTATACATTATTCGATTTTTTTTTTATTATTTTTATTATTGGTAAACACAAATTTATTTAGCTGTATGCACCATGTAAGCTCAGTTACAACTGAAAACTATGTCTAATGCTAGATTTTAATACAAGATCAAGATCAGCTAATAAAGCAGGAACCACCTTCAGGCTCCTGTCATGTGAAAATAGATCACCAGTGATGGAAGGTAACTGACCTGTACTGTGAAATACTGAACTTCTTACTTATTGTAACTTCATTACATTAATCTGACAGCTGTTTGAGATTAAAATTCTACATAAAGACATATAACCTTATAAAATACACATTGTTAAAGATTAACAATCCTTTTTGGCTCATGAGCTCTTCTAAAAAAAAAAACAGTTTCTAGTCGAGGCTCTTTGTCATGTTTCATATCCCTATGAGATGTTTTCACCGAAGTTCGCGTGTGTTTTCATTTGAATAATTGTTTGGGGCCCAGAGATGACAGATTATTCAATATTTCTCAACAAAGCAAATGTTCTTCCTTCAGTAATCAAATTTAGCTTGTGGCTCCTTAAATGGGATGGAAAGCAGTGGATTAAACTACGTCACTGTATATAAAACAGTTAAGACAAACTCCACCCCGACCAGCTACAACAGTAAATTGCTGCTTACACATTATTGCATCAGTATTAACAATCTAATAATGTAATATGTAATTGTATATCCCACAGTTTTCTGTAAGACCAGCACTTACTCACTTTTGACACTTGATACTGATTAATGGTGAATGATGATAACACACAGTATGACTTGTTGCTGTGACTTCTCTGTATCACCAGCTAGTTAAAAATGTGGCTCAAATCTACAAAGATAAAATTACAACAAGGCATTTTATACATATGTACTTTAACTTAAGCAAATCAATATGTAGATTTTTCACTAATTTGTTTCAATGTTAAGATAAAAAAACTACATTCATGCGGCTTTAATGCGTTTACTGTTTCAGATGGGTGGTGACTTTTTGCTGGATGAAGCGGGGAAGGTGCTTCTCTCTCACCCGTCTAAAACCCCCATGGACAGGCTGACTGTGAAGGACATCCTGCAGGCCGCGGCCGCTGCAGGCTGCTCTGCCAGCTCCGCATAGACACATCAGTATGTGGAACAAAAGCTGTGAGAGCCTGGGGTTTGATTTAACACAGCACTGACACAACAGAGGAAGAGCAGCTCTTTGACTCACGTTAATGACGTCACGTCTCGCACTCATGGCGCCGTGAAGAGGTGTGACCGACGCAAAACTGTACGGCAAAGACAACTGATCTTCTTTGTTGTGTCAATGTTGTGATGGCAGCATTTTAAAACTAGAAAGAGACATACCTCTGCCTTGTCCAAACAATCCTACATGTATCTGTCTAACTCTTATATCCTTCATTATTTCCTGAGAAATTGATAAAAAAATGTCTTTCTGGCAGTGTTAAGGAAAGAGATTTAAAAAAAAATAAATCCTGAATCCGCCCCCTTTAATTAGATTCACATCAAACATTAATGGGTCTTCCCTGTCCATGTCCCAACCCTCCACCAGGTTCAGTGTAAATTGGTTCGGTACTTATTGTGTAATCCTGCTGACAAACAAACATCCTTGGCGGAGGTAATGAGTAGTACTATTTGAATGCATTGTAATTCAATATAAATGTAATTTCATATCATATCAATGTTATTTAACTTTAAAAACACACTGATTTGCTTTTGGAAATATAAGAAATTAGCCAGTATAGCATCTTAAGACTTTACTTTAAAGCTGCGTTCAGCTGCTTTGGACTTTGGCGGCTCCAAGTGGCAGTAAGAAGTAACATTTTAGATTTTTTAGATTGAGGTACAATTAACTACATTACCCAGAAATCATGCTACATTGTGATACAATTGACTACTTCATTGAATTAATTTTCTCCCATGTGGTCAGGGTAGAGATGATGATGGGAAGAAAAGTTGTTTCTAATTTCATCTTTTAATACAGTTACATTTTTAGGTAAAACTTTCTTCTACTGCACTGTGAAATGTTTACTGTAGAAAAGAAAAAAAGATATAATTGCTGCTGTGCTACAGATCTTATCTTTTCATATCTGAAATAAAATAATCATGAACTGTTAACTGATGTTAAAAATGACTCAGGATGAGTAGGGCTGGGTATTTAACTTAAATTTGACAAACGTGCCTGAGACGGTCAAGATTATTGAATATCTGGTCAGGATTTTAATCTTGTTTATTTGATGAAATTGTTCCTAATTTTATTTAGACAACAATTAATATTGTAGATTCTCTGCTTCTTTTGTTGAATTTAAAAAGGTTCTGTTAAAAACATGTACTGTATATCTCTCAATGATGTTTTGACATCGGACCGAAACTCAGCCTTACTGATGGGGAAATCTGTCTTTTACCTATTTAACATTTTTCCTCTAATCAGAAAATTACGCTGTGAACCATGTTAACACATAGTAAAGATTTATTAAAAACATTTACATTCAGACTTTTATGTACAGGACAACTTTCTCGTTTTACATACTGCAGGACTCGGGACTACAGCTCTGGAAATGTTGGTCTATTTTTGCCAGAGATGTTGGAGAATCAGCGGTTCAACAGCACAGTCACACTCTGTGCCAGACTTTGTTAAAACATCATCAAAGATCTGAAGTAACTGAGTAGTGCCGCCTAGTTCCTTTTAAACCCAAATATACACATTTATATCTTCAAGAGGTTCCGTTTGTGCTGATTCTGAAGAAAGTGGCTCCAGCTTTTCATGATTTCCCCTTTTTTTTTTTTTTTGGAAACTTTGTACAAATATTTAGAATTCTGTGCATGAAATCACAGCAGAGTCCTGACTGGCTTACATTCATATCACTGCAGCTGCATGAATAATACAATATTTATATTAGTAACATAATCTGATAAAGTGTTATTCTGTACTTTCAGAAGTTAAATAGTAATACATACATTTGTGCGCATGTGAGACACAAGTTTCACCTTAAAAACCTAAAATTCTGTGAAATATTATATATTGATACTTAAACAATGCTACACGAATTGTATATTCAAATTAAATTATACTGGCTATTTATATTAAAACAGTTGGTTTCTAATTGAGAAAGAAAGACTTCTTCACCTTTGAAAGCAACCAATCCAGGTATGTTTAAAGTGTCTTTTAAAGGGAAATAAGTTATTTGAAAATATACTGGACTTTTATTTATAATCATAAACAACTGGAGGTCAAAGCTTAAGAAAGTAGTAAAGTGGTGGGAGAGTGAAGCTACCGTGGAAAGTGTTAATTTTAAAGCGCCACCCTGTCATCGAACTCGCAGAGATAGTTCATGGTCCGATCACAGTAGTGGTCCCACCAGTCGCCGTCGTCTGACGACATCGCCACACAGTTCTCCCGCCTGCCCCCGTCCGGCTGGCTGGACAGGAAGTGCTTGCGCCACTGGAAGTACGAGACTCGCGTCCCATCTTCAAAAAGGTACATGCCCTCAGATCGCAGGTCGTTAATGCCCAGCCAGACGGGCCAGTTCCCCGGGTGGAAGAAAGACTTGACGTAGTCGGCCAGTGCCTCCTGCTCCTTGCGGTCACGGGGCATTGCCATGCGGCCGCCGCGCTCCAAACACTTTCTGGACGCTCCAGCGTAATCCTCATAGCTGTTGTACACTAGATAACATTTGTATCCCATCCTGCGCCCCTTTTCACAACCTAAGAAACAGAAAAATAAAGGCAGATGCTTCATCAGACATTTACAATTGGAACATTTTTGACTTTATCGGCTCCTCGTGATAAAAAGAAAAAAGACACAGAGCTACATTAGCGTTTGGAGTTGAGCTTGTGTTCTGCTGATGAATGCAAGTCAAGTATTCACCCTCTATTGTTCTGTTTTCACCTCTACCAACACCTCAGGGAAATATCAGCCTCTTTAGCTGCTAATTGCTCTGCTATGTTCACAAGCTAGCTGCTAATTAGCGGCCTGCTGCTGCTAGACAGGATGCTGAGAGCAGTGAGAGTCAAACACAGAAAGCAAAGCTGCAGCTGTAAAACCAAAACAACTGCAGGGCTGAGGTGAACTGCAGAGTTAGTGATATTTAATTGGATTCATCACTACAAGCTGCCTTTAAAATTACATAATCTTTTGTCAAATAGCTCATTTATAAATATTGATTAGTGCAGCTTTAAAATTTGAGTTTTAGTAGCAGATACCAGAGTAAATTCTAATACTATCCAGAGCTGTGTCTGGAAACTTTATCTTGAAACTGTCTTTCAAACTCTAGTATCCACAACTGTCTGAATAGGTAGACAGTAATCCTTATGGGCCATCATGTCTTCTCTAATGTAAGATATTATATAGAGAAGACCAATAATCTTTCATGTTGACTTTCATTCATCAGAGATGAGTCACATAATAACAACACACCTTTTTGATACGAACATAAAGTGAGCCTGAGACCCAGATTTTGCCTGCATGTGATTGGTTCTTATACTACAGTACAATCATAGTACTCGACACTTCAACTCTCGCCTGTTTCATCATGTGCCCTGTTCACCATTCACCCTGTCATTTTCTGTACATGGTTTTACTCAGACAATAAACAGAGCTAAAGTGATTTCCTTGAAAAAATCTTATCTGGTCTGCAACAGAGCATTTGTAACCTCACATAAAGCAAATACAAAGTGGAGAAATGACTGAGTAAATTAGTAAAAGTTAAGTCACGGATTTATCTTGAATAATATCCTGATGGGAACATTCACAAATGGTTTACATGTACATTTTAAAACAGCTCGCTCTTTACTTTTCATCGATGAACGTCACGTTTCAAAATTAGACTTGCTTTGCTACACATGCTGACTGCCAAACCTCACCATCCCAGATGTCTTTAATCTCAGGGATTCTTTCATGTTTTCAGTCTTGGACATTTCAGTCTAAAAATATAATACCGAAGACAGAGGGAAATCAAAACAGATTGCCTGATATCTCCTTTTAATCGCGGATCTTTGTCTTATGTTTTTCACATGAGGCGCAAGAAAGACATCTGAGGGAAAATAACCCAGTTTTACCTTCCAGTCTTCCAATCTCCTTGCGGTTGTTCTTGCTGTGCTGGTAGACCTCCCGGATGCTGTCCTCCAGCTCCCCGACTTTAGCTGCCATGTTAGTGATGGGGGAACAGCAGAGACAAGGAGACATGAATGGTATCACAGTGAATTGTTCTCATGAATCCTCTGTAATGACAAATAAAACTCCCTGCCTCAGCTTGATAGCATCGTCTGGGAATATTAGCAGGGATCAAATTATAATAATGATCTAGAATGGAGCTCCTCTCATGGATTTTCTTTCAGTTTCATGATGCATCTCACAACTGCTTTATCACTTTATGGCTCAAGGGGGCGGCACTTTAATTCTTAAATTTTCCTTTTGAAAATCATACCGATTGATGTAAATGTGCAGCAGAAATATAGCTTAGAAACGTGTGTTTAATGTGGAAGTAGAAGTGGTCCATGAGGAAAGAGAGATGAGGATGTCGTCAGCAGGTTTACAGGGGAAAGGCAGCATCTTACCATCCATCCTGGACAGACGGTCCATCAGCTGACTGACTTTAACATCCAGAGTGTAGTGACCAACATTCAGCTTGTGGATCGCCTGGTCCATACCGGCCAGTCTGGATACTGTGGGGATAGAACACAGTAAGAGAATTCAGATGTATCATATCACAGAAAGATTACTGTGCAATTTTAGAGTACAGACATAAGGCTCATTTTTTATAATGTTTATATGTTGGTTGATATATGATACAAATATTAGGACCAAAAACCATAAAGTGCTTGACTGAACAAGGCTTTAAACATGATTTGTAAATGTACAAAATGACGTACAGACGTAGTTGTATGAGTTTTCAAAGTCTGACACTGGGCTGGTCGGCTCTGGTTCAGGCTCTGGAAGAATGTCTGGAACATCCCCTCTTGCTTTCTTCACCTCTGGCAGAGAAGCCTTTAAAAGACACGCACGCATACACACACACACACACACACACACACGCACGCACACACACATCACAATGATGTCACTGTTTGAATCACACTGTGAAGCTTCATTAGAACTCATTAAAAATAAGCCTCAGATGCTCAAAACAAGCTCATTACCGTTGTATCCAAAATACTAATTTTTAGAATTATTATCCGTTTGATCACTTTGCCAAACCCTTTTATCAACGATTGCTATAATTATTCTGCAAGAGGGAGTTTGACTAATTCTGATTATTTCGAAATAAGGAGCTCCATTATGAGCAAATCTCAGCAGCAGCAAACAGCCTTGGTAATGAAATGCTTGTTAAATCAGTAATCTACTGTCAGTCTTGAAGTTTGGTTTGTTACATTTGTTTGTCTGTCATCTCACTTTTTCTCTCTAAGGAAGAAGACAAAAAACACAATTACACAATAAAAGTGGAAATACGCTTTTAGTTTAATGTACTTTTACCCCTCAGTGCAGTTTAATTCATGTGTCAGAACAAGGCATTTGCAGCCAATATTTTGATCCGTGTCATCAACACCATAATAATCATGTAATAATAATAATGATCGGAATGAGCTTTATTTATAAAGCACCTTTCAAGACACACGTACATATGCTTTATAAGACAAGATAAAAAATTGAGGCTGAACAATAGAAAACAGTGCAAAGATTATTCAACATTGGGGAGAAAAAAAATCATAGTAGCAGTGCTACTAATGAAATAAAATAGAAAATCATTGAAATAATCGATAAAATCAGGAATCAGGAGAATCACTTTCTTTGATAATAGGTTTTAGAAAGCTGAACCCAAACTCTGGGCAGGCACACCTATAAAAATGTGTCTTTAAGAGGGATATAAACCACAGAAGGAGCTCGCCAGTCTAACCTCCACAGGGAGGTTGTTCTAAACAGAATCACTGAGATCAGGTCCACAGTAGCTCATGAGAGCGCTGTTTCAGACACTGGTCAGACATACAGTACATTAAGTCTTTGTAGAGGAAAAACCTGCTCTTCTGGGTGTGTCATCATTAACACTAGTCTTACCACTGCTGTTGCACCATTGTCATCCTTAACATGTCTGGTCTGTGTCATCATGACTTACAATGAATAAGCCGACGCCATACGCGGGGATACTGTATTTTCCTGAGATTTCACCACTTTTTGTCTGAATTTTAGCAAAATTATTCTTAATGTTTAATATTTTGTGTTTGATTTATCTAGGTCTGAGGCCCTCCTACACACAGTCATGGTGTAAACCATGAGAGCACTGCTAATGGGGTCAATGTCTCACCCAAACAAACAGGCACAATGGATCAAGATCAATAAAATGCAAAGGTAACAGCAACATTCTCAATACAAAGAAATGTAGTTTAAAGTCAGTTGACTCCATGGTTTAGTTGTAGAAAAGAGAAAGAACACATGCTGTACACATACAGTCCTGACCTGTGTTGGTGCAGCGTCGGACGTCCCCGTAGGAACACTCGCACCCAGAGAACATAAACACAGGAGAGCGAGCGAGGTGGCAGCCGGTCCCATTTTCTGCTTCCTAATAACTCTGCTTTTCCCTCAGCAGCAAAAACTCCCTCTGCACTTCTGAGTCACTCTCTCTCTCTCTCTCTCTCTCCACAGTCTGTTTCTCTCTCTCTCGCTCTCTCTCCACTTTTCTTCCCCTCCTGACCCTTGTGCTTCCCTCAGAGATGTGATCCAGAACACAGGCAAGCAGGAAAGCAGCAGGAATCTCCCATTAGAAAATGTGAATGGGAGCTGGTGTGCACACTCCCCTTAAAAAAAGCAGCAGGTACAAAACAGCAAAAAATCAAAATGACATCCCTGCTGTGTGCCTGCTGTCTCCGTCTTCGCCTCTCTTTTCTTGCCAAACAACAGGAAAGCTCTTTGTTTCTGCTCCCACCTCCCGTTTCCACTCTTTGTGTGAACACTGCACATTTACACAGGGGGCCAACGTTACAGGTCTCTGTCCTGTGGAAACCATCTACCTCCAGACTGTCAGCTGTTCAAGAACCAAGAAAAACAGCCTTGTTTTAACATCTATAATCTGGAGATACAAGGTTTTTCGCACTTAGTCAACAACATCAGCAAAGCACATTGTCTTCATTACCTGAATCGGTTTACAGTATAGTTTCACAAAACGATCAGAACTCAAGATCTACTTACTGGTTTTCAGAGCTTTCAGCTGTATTTAACGGTCTTCATCAGCAGATAGGATTTGCTCACTTGTCATAGAAATATACATCTGTTGACTTGCAAGCATAGTAGCTGATATGATTTGATCTATGGCACTTTTAGGACTTCTGGTCCGTGTTGGATTAATAACGTTTGCTAAAAAGCAGCCACTGTGGCCACAAATGACAACAAAATATTAAATGCTAAAACATGGTGTAATGGTAGAAGAGGTACAGAGAGGTCAAAATGTAAAAGTAAACTAAGTCCTGCCAATTACAGAGCAGTATCTGTTATAAGTTTGCTAACTTTAGCCGCTTTAAGCTACTGGTCATACCAGACCAAGTGAGGTTGTAGCAACAAAATAAAGAGTGTGTTTTAGTGCTTATGAATCTGGCTTTTCGTCTTTTAAAAGAGGGACGTTTTATTTTCATGGTTGCACTTTAAATGTAAAGTTTTGTCGCACTACTATTGCAGAGGTTCAGAATGAAGCTTCATTCTTTATGTCTTTGCCTGTTTTATCTCTGGCTTAAGAGGTGACTTCAGCTCACTACAGTGCAGCCCTGTATGCATACTGCAGTCATAAATTCAGTTGCACACACACACACACACACACACACATGCACAGCCGGTGTATTAATTTGGCCAAATATCAGGTGTGCTTGCCAAACTTTTCTAGTGTAATTAAATAAATCAATGGTAAGAGAAATAGGACTTCATGAGTCTGTTCCAGGGAAATGATGACATAAAAAGAAAAGAGAAAGACCTTATGTAAAAGCCTGTGCATGCATGAGTGTGTGTGTGTGTGTGTGTGTGTGTGTGTGTGTGTGTGTGTGTGGCTGTAGCAGGAGGTATGCCAGTTAAAATGCCACAAGAATTCAGCAGTTTCCAGGGGGAAGCGACTGAGGCAGGGCTCAGGGATCTGGAGACTGGGAGGAGCTCCGGCAGCGACTGGGACTGCTTTTAGCAAAGAAGGACAGATGTGTTTGAGTGTGCAGGACGGCTGCACATACACAGCTGCTCCAGGACATGACCGACTCCGAACCTTCAAACCTTTTCCAGACTACAGACAACAATGGTCTGGAAAACAAATTTGTGACTCTTGAACAAAAGATGTTCTTCTTATGTTTGACCTTGTTGATTCTCATGCCAGGAAATTACATTGAAAACAATCAATTAAAGCAATAGTCAATCGATTAATCAGATGATCCACAGGAAATTATAAAAATCAGTTCACACCAAAAATGATCAGTTCCAGCCTTCTTTGTCTCATTTGATATGAAATTTATTATCTTTTGATTTTTGGACTATTTACAGAACAATAAAAGCAATTTGAAGAGGTCATCTTGGGCTTTAGGAAAGTGCAGTGGGAATGTTTCACCATTTTCTCGCATTCTAAAAACAAATTTAGTCACTGAGTCATTGATTCGTCAAATGTGCAAGCGCATTATATTTAAAAGTACCCTCTCAGGTTTACAGCCGTAACTGTTTAGTATTGTTATCCACAAGATTACAATGTAAGAAATTGAACTGAAGTGAACTGAAGTGAACTGAAGTGTCTGCACTTGCATAGTCAAACATATACTAGGGCTGAACTGCAGATATTTCCCACGTTGCTCACTTATCATGGAGAATCTCATCAGTACAAAGGAATCTGAGTGACTCAACGCGTCAGACTTGCACAATTCTTCAGGACTAGGAGAAAATGTCAGTGTGGAACACAACTAACTGAGTGTTGGTTCTTTTTTGCTTTGTAAACAGGACGTATGGTTTTTATTTTCACTTTAATAGAGTGTCATGTCTGTGGAGCAGGCTGCTTTATTATTAGCCTGCTGGACAGAAGCTAACACACTGTTAACACAATAACAGTCCTGCTTCTGTCCCGTTGTAAGTTCAATAATACCATGCAATGCTTTTCATTCACACAAACATTTGTTGAAAAAAAATGAAAAATAAAATAGCTGGGAGGGAACACAAAGGAGCTATTCAGGGTCTGGAAGTGTTGGGTGGTGCTGCAGGGAGGCGGCTGCACTGGACAGAGGTGCCTCAGTTCAGCATGAGGGATGATGAACACAAACATACAGTACCTTGAAAGCCGAACACTGATATATATGTATATAAAATATGTACATATAAGCTATTTAGGTCCTGATTCTGACCAGTTTTCAAATGATTAATATTTAGTTCTATATATCCACACTGTAAATCACTGAACCGTAGTGCAACTTTAAGGGCAACTACACATCAAAGCTTGTTTACAGGTCTTGTTTGGGGAGTACTCATGAAATGAATGAATGAATGAATAAATGTCCACCCTTTGATTTTCTTGACAAGCGCTTGTCCGATTGACTTCAACACTTCTTGGATGACTAAGAATCTTCACAGACATATATGCAGGGCAGCAGGGTGGCTCAGTGGTTAGCAGTGTTGCAAGAAGGCTGTGATTTTCAATCTACTGACCAGCTGCCTTCTGTGTGTGTGGAGACCACAACTTCTCCCCGCATTTGCATGGGTTTCCTCCCACAAATTTTCCAATTTAATTAATAATAAATTAACTTAAAAGATATGTGCATTTTGATTTTTTTTTTTTTTTTACACTTTACTTACCTAATCATTTAGTGTCAGCAGTGCTGCTAGTCAAACTTTACTCAGGTCAGATTTGTATGTAGAGAATCAGTAAAGTGGGATCCGTCTCCAGTCCGTCTCTGGTGTTTCTGATTCATTCACCAGGTGGAGACACACAACGTAGACGGTACCCAGACACACACTTCAGTTAACTCTGTGTTGCTGCTGGAGACCAGCTGTTGTACAACCCTCGAGTCTAAGGTCATTTGTCCACATACAATTGTTTTTTTTACTGTCTGCTAGGGAGGAAATTGCCATCATCTTTATACCTTAACTTGTAATTTTACATTAAATGAATGACTATGTACATACATTATCTATGTCAGATTCTGTCTCACACAGTAATGCTCTTGCTTCCTTAAATAAATACTGCTGAACGGCTGCTTGGCACCCGAGGGAGACAGTGGAACGAGGTCTGATGACTCTGAACTGGGCCAATGTGTTGTTTAAACCGAACAGCACAAAGTTTCCCCTCAGCACCGGACGTCCTTCCCTCCTCCTTCCCTAAATGGCATTTTGGATCTGGTAGAAATTACAGCTGGAGGAATTGATGTCATGGAGCTGAGAGGGAGGGCGACAAGAATGCAAACAAGCAGGCAAACATGAATGAAAAAAAAAAAAAAAAAGGACTTGACCACCCTGAAGCAAAGACTTTGGGTTAACCGTCCAACTTTCGCTTTCTTTCAATTAGTTTTTCCTGTTCTTATGAAATCAAACCCGCTAATAACTGATCTTGTATTTGCAGCCATAACAAAAACCTCTGTTGTAACCACTTCTGTTCCCCTTCCTTGAGAAATTCTGCCGAAATTAGCTGGAAACCGCCAATCGTTATTTCAAAGGAATGGGCTTGTGTCCAACACATTTAAAAGAACAGACGAAAGTGAGAAACGGGTTTGACTTCCATTTATTTACTTCTTTCGAATCTGTGACCTCAAAATGCATGAGTGCAATATACATGTATAGCAGAAGATACAATCAGCGGATAAATATAAAATTCAGTAAAATAGTACTCTAGTCATGTAAACTCTGTGACACAAGTGTTATAAATCACTACATGCCTGCCCATTTACCTAAACCACAACATTTGAGTGCGTCTTATTTTCATTATCAATGCACACTAGGGTTTGCTCAACACTAGTTTGAGGTCGGGTGAAAGTTGAGAGGGGTGAGGTGGTAAGGAAGTTTGTCAGGCAGCTAAATCCATACAGGACAGGACATCTGTAACAGGTTACCATGGCAGCCCGGACATACAGCCCATGAGTTTTTCCATGACTAAGTTTGTGCACTTCCATGGCTATTCTTCCCTCCTGGTTTGATTTTCGTAATACCAAAGACAAGAACAGTCTGGTTTCCACTTCAGTTAGGATGAAAACCACCATCTAATTCAATGACTGTGTTAAAGCTGGAAATCAATTCCGCTGTATTCCTGTAAAGTGATGTAATGGTAAAATTTTTCTCCATCCAATCAACATCTTTACAGCCTCCATGATAATAATGCAGGAATTCCATAACCAGTAGGAACATTCTCTGTAGTAATTGCACTGTGAGGGCCAGGACTGCAGCACTGAGCACTACTTTAACTCTAAAACTCTTAGATCTATAGGAATATATAGGTATAAATAAAAGCACATCAGAGAGCAAAAGTCTTCATAACAAAGAACAAAAACTTAAAAATGGACTGAGGGTTTTAGTGTGTGTGTGTTGGCAGATGAAAATTTTACATGCTTGCGGTAGAAAATTGTTCTTGCTCGCTAGAGTGGCGTCTAAAAGTTCCAAGTGAAGGCAGCTAAGTCACACCATTACTGTGCATTCACACGGCAATTAACATGATGAACAGGTTACCACAGTTACAAGTGATATGTGGCCAATGTGTACAGTTGGTTAATGTACTGTACATATGAAAGAAATGTGCAACAGCTTGACTGTTTGCTGGAGTTACCCAATAAAAGCCATTGGATTTCCACTGTTTTAGTCCCCCGACTGCTAAGAATATGTTTTCATGTACCATAGCTATTAATAGCAATTGTAAAAGGGATTCCCATTTCTTGAGAAAACTTTTATTTGAAAGACTGCTGTGTAACAAAGATGACACAACTATCCTTAGGCAACAGTTGCAGCCTTCACTGTTTAAGGTTTAAGGTGTTTAAGTAATGTTATATAGGGTTTCCTGCTTTTTTTTTAGTTCACTTTATTATTGTGGCTAACTGGATAAACATTGTACCATTAAGCAGGAAAAAGTAAGTCAGGAGCATCAGCCCCATTTGCACTTGTCACTTAAAATGTGTCATATCAAAATGTGCCTGATGGCATCTGTCTTGGTTTTTCCTGGCTTCATGCAAATGAGGGTCAGCACAAAAGGTGGTTTAATGAACCTCCAAAAATGATCTGCACCTTTGGTTACGACAATAACAGTTTAGCTAGCTACCTAACAACTAAGTCAGTCTCTTTTGGTTGCATTTACACTTCTTTTTTTTTTGCTATTTGATAGCTATCGGACGTACCCAACGAGCATGAGGTGCTAAGTGGGACTGGGATCATAGTTCATTGATCATGGTTCCCCAATCTGTGAAACTGTGGGACCCTTCAACCAAGTTGATTGCAGTGTGAATGCACAGCGAGGAACAGCGTGCACATTCTGTGAGGTTCATTCCCTGCTTACTCTACATTTAGTGGGCAGAGGGGTGTTTGACATTTAAGAAGATTCAACCCTTGTCAGTGAGGAGAGGGGGCTCTTCTAATGGGGGGAAAATACACCAGCACACAGGTGGTGAGATAATGTCTTAACAAGCCACTGGAGATAATTACAAGAACATAATGTGGTCATTCTAAAGACTGTTGTTTCTTTAAATCTAGATGTGGATGTCTGTAGTCATGGCAGTGTGGTCCTTCTTTAGAGTGATGATGACGATGAATCATTCAGAGCGGTGACTGGTCTCAGCTGTGGTTTACCAGTTGTCTAGGAAGTCGAATCCAGTCTTCAGGATGCTGCTGCTTGTGTTGAACTGAGGAGAAGGAACAAGCGGACAGTGTGGGTGAGACGTGGGAGGCTGAAGACATTGTGAAGTGTACAATGACTGACTAATAGACACAGCTGCTTCTCAAATTTTTGCTTAAGTAATTCGATGACTCATTTTACTTGTTTTATTGGATTCTCTTCAGTGAGTTCATTGCATGATGGGATCTATCTAAGTGTGTCCCATTTCGTTTCCCTGTACAAAGGCTTTTAATCAAGTTTAACTTGTCTCGTTTTACACCAAGCCTGTTTTTTGCAAATAAATTCTGATATGTTTTCCCATTTGCTTCAGTTTGTTTGGGCCCGTGTGAAAGCTGTGAATCAAACTCTGCTGCAGACTAAACAACTAGACAGAGGGTGAAAAGGTTGGTTTGGTTCGGTTCCAATTGGAATGTGGTGCGGTTTGTTTTGGGTGTGAAAGCAGAACAAGCCAACCACAGGACTGTGTGGTATTGGATTTAAGCAGGAATTCAAAATCTAAACTACAATCAAACCCGATTTCTGATTGTGAAGAAATGTCAAAGAATCGGTTTTAGTCGCCCATATAATTGCGCAAGATCATTTGGTAACAATGGCAACATATGGCTGTAGCACATAATTAAACCAGTGGTGTATTATGCTTGTGTCCTACTCCGCAGTTACTCAAAAGGAACTGAGCTAAAAAGAGCAGCCACATAATAACCGTTACCAGTAATATTGCAATACAAGACACAGTTAAGTGCTGCACGACTCGCTGTCAAGTCTCTGGAGTTTCATTTCCATGTAGCGATGATGATGATACAAGACGCCAGTCACCAAAACATCCCATTGAATGAGTTACCTGTCAGTCCACAGAGCCTATTATTTACAGCTCCTCGTTAATTTCAAATTCAGTGTGAACAAAAATTGGACCAAAAGGCAACAATGTAATTTTTTTCTTTCATCCAGACCGAGTGAACTGAACCACAGTTGTAATAAGTGAACTTCAGAAGCTTGGACTCAGTGAAGAACCCATGACACTGTGTACGCTGCATTTCTGGCCACATCCAAATCAGTGACATCACGGCAGGTATTAGCCTTTCACTTTCCCTGTAGATATGTGGAATGTGATTTGAACTTCCTATAATATCCAATCCACAATATCCAAAGCAAAAGTAATACTTAGAAACTGTGCTTGTGTCATTCTGAAACCTCTGTCTATCTGTTTCAGAGCTCACCTGGGAAAAGGTGGGGCTGTTGGGGGAAACTTCCTCCTCTCTCTCTCTCTCCACACTGGCGGGGATGTTGGAGGGCTTTGACATCATGTTGGAGGAGAACACTTCATCCACGGTGATGCTGACCGACGGTAAGGTGCTCTGAGATCGCTCCCATCCCGCCACTGTCGAGGACACGCTGACAGGCGGGGCAGGGTTTGGCGAGATGGAGATGGACGCCGGTGTTGCACTGACAGCAGTGGGGGCAGGGGGCGGGGGAGCAGGAGGTTTGGGTGCTCTCTGCTTTGTGGCCCTGGTAGGAGGTGGAGGATGGGACTCTACTGCCTCAGGCTCCTTTGAGGTGACAGAGCTCTCCTGCAGAAAAATGGCATTTTTAGTGTCACTGATACAATTAATATTAGATTTTTATGGATGTTATTTGTGTTATACACAAGATAACACAAGTTAAAAGTTACAAAACAGCTCAAAAGCGGGGTTGTATAGTTGTTAACATTATATTTAGGCTTCTTGAACAGGCACTGAAAGCAATGAAGGTGGTTCATGAGGCTGTGCAGTGAAAAGAAAAATCGAAGTAAAAATAAAGTGCAGGAAAGAAGAAAAGAAAGAAGAGCAAAGTAGGGCATCCAGAAAAAAATCATTGTTGCTTTTTTTTTTACTGCAAATTGGCTGCATTCACCATCTGCTTCTCTGACACTTGTGGAGGCTTCACAGATGCCATTTATCTCAGCTTCAGGCGAGACTCTATTTCAGGACACATAGCGTGATAACAAAAGTGACAAGTGTTGGGGTGGGTACTTGCCTCCAATCTGTTGTTTCTTAGAAACTATCACAGACCAGAAATGGGATGTTCGCTCCTCAACATTTAAAAGCAGCCCAAAATATATGAACATTTTTGGCAGCCGTTACTTGAATTGACAACACCAAAAGATAGTAAGCAACGCAGTGCTTACCTGTCGGAGGTAGGAGGGGAGGGATTTCTCCCCTTTCTCAAGGGATTTGATCTGGCTGGGAGTCAGAGACTGGAAGTCAGCTTGCTCCCCCTCCAGCCTGGACCTCTCTGCACTGATCTTCCAGAAAGACGACTCTTCTTCTGGCCTCCGGCCCTCACTGACAGACACCTTCACAATCATACAATAACACACTTAATTGAGGTCAAGGTTATTCAAAGAGCAATTCCTATTGGGCGTGTGTACAACTCAAACAAGCCAACAAAGCACTAGTGATGGATACAGCAGGCTGTTGTTATGGGACAAACACTGTGATAATCATACATAAAACCCAATTTCAACAAAAACATTATCACATCCACACAAATAAATGCAACATGTACATCAATAGGTTTCGTTCAAATGTGTTACTTTATGGCAGATTTAGCAAAATCAGGTCAAATTTATCAAAGTGAGATTTTTGTTAGAAAAGGCTAATCATACCTTGGTTCCATGCTGATTGGCATGAGGAGCCTTTGCAGACTTTGGGTCTGCATGCGAAGCACAGATCCCCTGGTCTGCAGAGCCTGATGTCAAGCTGAACTCCAGCTGACTCTGAAACATGGAAAATCAGTTTTATAGCAGTATCGCACTTTAAAGAAAGATTCAGCTATGCTTATATAATCCCAGATATGTCAACAATAGACAAAGTAAACGAAATCAGCTGTGAACTTGTGAATGAATGATTATTTTTACCTTGGTTTCCCATGAGAAGGGGGCCGAATGCTCATCTTGCCAGGTAATATCCTAAAAAGAGACACATAAGCTGAAGTTACAGTTTCAATTTACACACAGTGTACTCAGGGGCTCAATGAATGGTATAATGGAACTTATACTCTTTTTAGAAAATAAACAAGTTATGTTATTTTGACTGTAAAAGCTTAGTGACTCTTTACAACAAGGAAAATAAAATAATTATACACCAATAAGCCAAAACATTATGACTGAAAGATGAAACGAACAACACTTATTAATCTTGTAACAATGGTGCATGTAAAGGTCTGGGACATATTGGACGGTAAGTGAACACAGTTGGTTGCTGGAGTGTTGGATGCTGGAGAAAAGGGCAGGTGTAAAGACCTGAGTGACTTTGACAAGGGCCAGATAGTCATGGCCAGACAACTGGGTTGAAGCATCTCCGAACTGCAAGGTTTGTGGGGTGCTTCTATCCAGCAGTAGTGATTACCTACTGACACTGGTCCAAAGAGGGACAAACCAAGAACTGGTCCTGGGGTGTTTGGGGATGAGCTGTGAAAAGTCTGATTTGCCAGGGGCTCCATCTGCAATATACAGGACTTAAAAGGATCTTGTCTTAACCTCTCAGAGCCAGATACAACAGGTCACCTAGCAGAGTTCTTGAAGGGTCCATATGTTGATGGGCCAGAAATGTTTTGGTGGCACTAAACAGCATAAAAGGCAGGGTAGGGGTGGTCATAATGTTTTGGCTCATCAATGTGAAAAGAGAAGGCAGTAAAATCATAATACAATAATACAAATGTTCATGTTCAGGTCAACATTTACATATGTTTTGCTAATATTTTACAAAATAAAAGCAGCAGAATTCCTGTGAGACGCTTGTAGTCATCAAATTATTATGGCCTTGTCTACAAATAATAGCCTACTGTAAAGCTATCCTACAGAACTGATCATTTTACTATTACATCTATCTATCTATCTATAATTAACCTGTACTTAGGCTCATGTAGTCACTATGACGTTTACCTACGTATTTTAAAGGCTACGTGGCTAGTTAGCAACAATGACGAAAAGGGCTATCCAGACCTTTAAACATACCCACAAACATATAAAATATAAACTCAAATGTGGTTTAAATACCTCCTCTCCGAAATGAACTATCTTCTGACCAGTCTGAATGAGCAGTTTTGGATAACAGACCACTTCGTCACGGTCAACTCTATGCATAGCGTATCGGGCTCGAATATGGGGATCCATCATCCAGTTGTCGATAGCGCTGTCCTGCTCCTGCGGCGTCATTTTCTCCCAGGACGAGCCGTGCTTCTCTTTGATTTTCTCCCTCTCCTGCATTATTTTCTTTGCCATGGAGTTGATGGAGGAGAAATATTCGAACTTCTTTTCCTCCATCCTGTGGGCATCAAGCCCCGCTACCGTCGCGGTGGCCATCTTTAGCTGCTGCCAGCTGTTGTTATTGTGAGGAAAAGGAAACTGGTGTTCGTCGCCGTGTGGGCGGTGGGAGGGACGCAATCAGTTTCAATGTGTGTGTTGACGGTGCCATCTTGTGGTCACTTTCAGAAGATTGAGCTCTTTTTCTCAATAGTGACTTCATCGCCTTCGACTTTAGCTTCATTTACCCTTATAGTTGTTCCTATGCATCATAATTTGGTGCTGAAAAAATAATGTTGTAATGTAATGTAAAGCTCCCTGTCCGCTAAGCCACTACGCTGAAGTTGGCCTCCGGTCGGTAGCTAAATAAGGGAAACAACTTTGAAGTTACATTGGGATTAACCTTTCTGAGGAAGGTTTGATGCTACCTACAACAAGGTAAAAATTCCCTAACACATGTCTTTGTAAAGTTACTTGCTTATGCAGACATGTTAATCTAACATGAGTGGTGTCTCTTGCCAACTGATGAATGTAAATATAATTTTCACTTCTAGTTTGTTATCAATTCATCATTCAAATATCTGAGTCCTTAGTTTAGTAGCCAACTGCAAAACCAAAATAATGAGTTACGGTAAAAATTATTTTAAGTAGTTGTGCTGAATATTATTATTATTTTTTATTTTATTTTATTGTTTTATTTATTTAATATGTTTTGTGTTGAGCACAAATGGAATTTTTTTGAAAAAAAAAGTTTTAAAAGATATTTATTTTTCTGTATCTAAACCAGTGATTTATTGGACGTCAAATGTAATTTCAATATAAATTAACAACATAGATTATGAATTATGTATGGGTATAATGAAAGAAACAATGAAACACAAACAGAGATGCACTAAACTCCAAACATGTTTTAATAAGTTATGTGTTTCCTTAAGGAATTCATCAATCAAAACAGTCATATTAAAAAACCAAACATGAAAAACAAATGATTTCTAATTAAAATATTTACAGTTCTGAAAGTCATCCTTGAACATTTAACCATTTTGGTAAAACTGAAAAAAATACATTCAAAAAGAAAAGTAGCACTAAGAGCCCTTAAATATTTCTTTAGAACAAACACGCCTGTAAAGCTACACAGTGGCTTTTGCCTAATACGAATTGGTACAATGATAGACAAAGGTATCTGCTGTAAGTAAAGTTGTATGGACAGGTCCCTCCGACATTCAGCCCATGTACTCACAGGCCACAGCAGAGTGACTACAGTAAATGTTAAAGGTCACAATTACCAATTGTCACTTAGGGGCTGCAGTATACAAAAGTGCCTCACAAAAAAAAGAAATAAAAATAAAACCACAAAAACCCAGCAAATTTTAAAAGTTGGCTTCATTGAGACTTCAATATATTTTATTCTTCTTGTGCATGTTTAGATATTTGATTACTCCCATTCACAAATAGTCAACATATACAGTATGGCTCCAAATTTTGATTTCTGCAATTTTTAAGCGTCATATAAATAAATAAATAACTATTGCAAATGTAGGCCCAGGTTTTATTTACCCTCCTGTTGCTTGTTAACTATGCAACAATTTTGCACACTGGATCTAAATGGAATTCCTCACGCTGTGCTGTGACTGGCATTATGGAGGCTAAGCTACTCTTTTTTAATCAGACCTTCACCATTGAAATGTGGGTGAATGGCAATAGCAGCAGCTGGAACAGTTTTAGACCTTTTTCTGGATGAGCGACAACAGGCCAGGTAGAAGATCTCTGCTACGTTGAACAGAAGAGAGACACAGGACATTACAAGCATGAAGATGATGAAGATGGTCTTCTCAGTGGGTCGAGACATGTAGCACTCTACAGTGAAAGGACATGGAGCTCGGGAGCAGACGATTCTTGGGTCCATGACAAACCCATACAGATAATACTGCCCCACAATGAACGCTACCTCCAGAATGATTCTAAATAATATGGAGGTCATGTAGGTTCCGAGCAGGTTGCCTTTAATCTTGACATGGCCTTTATCGTCAGAGTACTTGGGAAGCTTGACGATTTCACTGCCAGAGTGAGTTTGCATGTATTGCCTCATCTTATTCTCTTTGTGGATGACGTGGAGCACATGACCGAGGTAGACCAGCGTTGGTGTGGAGACAAAGATAATCTGGAGGACCCAGAATCGAATGTGTGAGATTGGGAAGGCGAGGTCGTAGCAGACGTTCTTACAGCCAGGCTGTTTGGTATTACAAATCATATTGGATTGTTCATCACCCCAAACCTGCAATGTTCATATGAAAACATATTATTATTACTTGCATATGGTCAACAGATGGACTGAGAGTTAAGTTTCTTTCATAAAGGAGTGTTTAATTTAGCACAAATCTTCCAGAATCTACTGCTAGCATCCACTGAGGCGCACTGAAGAACTGCTGTGTGCAATTAGTGGCTAAGTATTAAACAACCAGGCTACAAAATGACATTCTAGACATAAAATGTTGTGGTTGCACAAACATTTAATAATGTTTAAAGTTAAAAAGGATTTTTAAATAGGTAAAAGTATATGTTGTTTTTGTTTTCAACAGGCAAAATTTAGAAAATCAGACCAGAATTGTCTCCGGCCCCAGTGACTCTTTATAAAGTACGCAGACTGATGGAAAACTTCAAACAACCCTCGTTTAAAGATAAAGAAGATAAAGATCTTTAATAATAAGATTCTTAATAATGCAAAACCTGATTATTTGTTTTAAAGTTGAATGCAGCACTATCTGAACACTGGCTGGGTTTCACAGCTATTGTTCCTCAGGAACTGTGGATCTCCATTATGGTCACCAGAGGGTGTTATTTCATTTAAACGTCCTGGGCTTGCAGAGGTAATTCAGTGATGCACCACTTATGTATAAAGCTACTATGAACAAAACAAGTAGAAGCACACCTTCTCTGCTCCAGCTCCGAGGATCATGATCCTGAATATAAAAAGTACGCTGAGCCAGACCTTCCCGATGACGGTGGAGTGGGACTGGACCTTGTCCAGCAGAGAAGACAGAAAACCCCACTCTCCCATTGTCTCTGAAAAGTAAATATGTCAACTGATTAATAATGATTACTGATAATAATGATTAATACTGATTAATAAATGCGTGGTTTCATGAAAACCATGCAGAGTGATCCGATAGTCCAGTCCTCTGAATACTTGAGACACCAGTCATATGGAAAGGAAGAGACGAGAAGAGTTCTATTGAGAAAATAAAATTTTTCTGTTTCTCATTTAGCCATTATATGTAAGTGATTAATTACTAATAGTTGCAGACCCCACTACTTAAAACAATCTCATTCATGTAACCAACTATATCCAACTGTATCATATATCCAACTATTCATATAACAAGAGATCTATTGGAAAAAACCAACAGAACATCAGTTACCCAATTGTTATTTGCAGTAGTTGTCAAATCTATGTGAGAAAGGAAAACTTAATGAAAATGTAATGAATCTTATTTTTTCTCTAATTAATCATTAATTATTTATTCTCTTTTAAGTGACCACTCTGTAACTACATATAGCCTGTCACAAAAGTATAGATTAAAGCGTTCCATTATTTTTTAATAAATGGCACTACGTGATGTAATGGATGATAACTGATTAACGTGAAAGGCAAACCATCATCATCAACAGCAGCAGAACACCTTGTTTTAGAGACACAATCACATGCTGTAAAATCTCTAATCTATAGGTTGTCCAGAACGTAAAGAAGAAGCTGTAAAAGCATATTGCATAACAAAGACTTATCTCAAGGTATCTCACTATGTGCTGTATGTTTGGATGTTAGATAGGAGAGGAATTTATATTCAGCAGATGTTTGTATGAACAGCTACATCTAAAAATATAATGCTTTTCATAAAAGGAAGAGCACTTTAGTGTGTTCACAGTGTATTCTAACCGCACATCATTGCACATCATCTAATCATAGAACATGTTGACAATACATGGATAATACGGATTTTTATCCTGATGGATTAAGGACAGTGCTTCAGTCTGAATGGTCAAGTAGTAAGGCAAGAAAATATATTCATAATAATAAATGCCTATATCCATCTTAATATACATATGTGGCTGAAATAACAAGATGATGTGGTATCTTAACCCAAAAATAATAGCATTAAATTTAAGTTTGAAATCATTACATTCTATATTTCAATTTCAAAATCTTACCTTTGAATTTAAAAAGTTCTTCTTCTAGACAAGCAGAGCAGTCACCACCTGTGGTGTTGAATGACAGAGAGCCCAGTGCACCAAACTAAACCCGTCTATGGTACCTTGAACTTTAGATTTGATGAATTTGCGCAACGGCGTGAGCTGTCACGTTGTCATGACATCTGAAAATGATAAATCTCAAGTGGAGAATTTTGGGCTGAGCACTGAAAAGATTGTGCAGGTTAATGATTGGCAGTGCTATAAAGCAAAATCCAAAGCTGGTTTATGTAACTGTTCATTATTATCATCACTGTATGATTTTTCATCATATGTAGGCTATAAATGAGAAGTATTCACTAAAGCAGCCCTTGACTGCTTTTACATTTTACATTCAAATAGATTTGCTAGTTACATATCTACAAAGCCAGTAAATAAATAAAATGAGCAAAGAGACAGAGGCTAAAGGTATGGACACAGTCTGCACACCAATACAGACTAATCCAACCTACTACAATAACCCTGCAATGAATTCTACGTGAAGACTGAGCAGTCACGTTCATTCTTTGTTGAGACTGTGTCAACGAAAAGGTTTTTTTTTCTTCATACAATGTGATTTACACAATGTCTAAACACACCGAGGCACAGTTCACAGTTTGTTTAAGTTTCACCTTTCAATTTTCTATCTGATGTTAATGTCCTAAGCCTTATATGAAATCATTTAAATTATCCATGAGTCAGAGGTGGTGGCTAATATCTGACACTCTACCAACCACTCCCTATTCTGACGTGACTGACGCATTGATTAATCAATCAGTTGATTAGATTATGACCAGAAAATGAATCAGCAACAATTTTGATTATTAGCTAATTATTTAAGTATTTTATAAGCTAAAATGGGAAGCAACATCCCTGGTTTCAGCTTCTCAAATGTGGATGTTTACTGTTTTTCTCTTTTATCATAGTAAACTCAATATCTTTGGATTTTTGATTGACTGTTGTCACCTTTGGGTAACTGTGACTGACATCCACAGTTGGCTGTCATTTGTATAGAGCAAACAATTAATCCTTTAAACTAGAAGATAATCAGTAGACTAATCAATAACAATCATCTGTTGCAGCCCTACAGTATTAAAAGTGTGACTCATACTCTGTAAAAGTAAGTTGTTGGACTGGGAAGTGAAAAGTGTAAACCTGTCATCTAAAATGAATAGATTGATGAAAAAACTTTTTTTTATCCAACTTTTTATTTATTAATTTATTAAAAACAATACAGCATACAAAAAATGTTTTTCTACTTCATCAGTAGAAACAGACTCTTCACCACAATCATCACCATCATCGTCATCATCATCATCATCATCATCATCATCATCATCATCATCATCATTCAATAAGGAAATTATTTCAAGTCCTAGATAATGAACATGGGAATAACTTAAAGGACTCATGTAATAACCGAGCATAGACAAACTTCTGCTCACTCAGATAAATACATTATCAATATTGCACATTTTCCATTATTAGATTTCCATTTGAAAAATACAAAATAAATGTAAATTTCCAACAATGTGGCCCTTTAATATTGTTAATTTACGCAGACTCTTCCCAGCACATAATACCACATTATTAGACAGTGACGAAGCTTTTCTTTTATATTGTGTCATGATGTAAGAAATCAGTCTCTTAGATGTATTTGAGCCAGAAAGCACTGGGGGGATAATCTGAAACAAGACAAAACATTAATACATTAATGGTGACATCTGTGGTTTTTTTTTAATGACCACTCAGTAGTCGTTTCTCCTCTTTGGCCCCGTCCAGGCTTCCTCCAATACTGTGACTGCTCTCGAGCTCCATGTTCAGCTTGTTCTGCTTGAGTGCGTCCTCTGCAGTCGGCCAGCTGGGAGCTGACAGGCCGGCAGGGTTCTCTGCCGAGGTAATCTTGTGACTGCGATTCCTGGACCCACATCTGACCCGGGTGCAAAGCAGGTAGAACATCTCAATGAAATTCAGCAACAGAGAGACGCAGGCCACTACCAGCATAAAGATAATAAAGATGGTCTTCTCTGTGGGGCGGGACATGTAGCACTCCACAGTGAAGGGACAGGGCTTCCTAGAGCAGGGGAACATGGGGACCATGACGAATCCATACAGGTAGTACTGGCCCACTATGAAGGCGGCTTCAATGATGATCTTAACCACGAGCTGAGTCAGGTAGCTTCCCAGCAGGTTCCCCTTGATCTTCACCTTTCCGTTCTCATCTGTGTATTTGGGCCTTTTAAGCAGCTGGCGTCCACCAGGGCTCGACAGCAGCCCCCTCAGCTTATTCTCCTTGTGGATGACGTGCATGGCGTGGCCCAGGTAGACCAGCGTCGGTGTGGAGACGAAGATGATCTGGAGGACCCAGAAGCGAATGTGCGAGATGGGGAAGGTCCAGTCGTAGCAGACGTTCTCACAACCAGGTTGCTGTGTGTTACAGATGAAACCCGACTGCTCGTCGCCCCAGACGCTCTCAGCACCTGCACCCAAAACCATGATCCTGAACAGGAAGAGGACGCTCATCCAGATCTTCCCGATGACTGTGCTGTGTGACTGGACCTTGTCCAGTAAGCTTGACAGGAATCCCCAGTCTCCCATATTTATAAGTGATGTTCAGTTACTGATCTGTGATGAAAAGACGAAAAATACAGTAAATACCCAGGCTAATAAATAGTTCAATTGCTCACTTTGTTTTTTAATGAGCCTACACCACACCTTATTAACTAAAACATTAACCACAACTTATTATTTAATCAAAATGCCACTGTTGGAAGAAAAGGGCTCATTGATCTGTTTAATTTAGATGAATAATTTTTCTGTTTTTAAAATCGAGAAGAAAGAAGACATCAGAGCCTCCTGGACCTTCAGCTAGCTTTTCAGTACTTAATATCATAAATAAGTAATAAATAAACAAATAAGTAATCATTATTCAGAATTTTGAACAGAAGAAGATAAAACTCAGTGGCATTATATTGATGAGGCGTAGTGGAAGGAGGCGTAGAAATAAATAAAAAGGAAGTTTTCCTATAGTAAAGCTTACATCAATATTCTGTGTAACACAGTTAAAATAAATACATGTAAAAAAAAACAAAAACAAATCTCATGCTATTAATGTACAGATGAAGCAATGTAATGGACATTTAAAGTAAATTGACAACCCATCACTTACATACTCAAAAAATGTATATAAAGAAAAAAATCTTTGATATTTTCAGTTTGTATAGTGACCAATATTGACATTCGCTAATAACACTTTTCTTTGTGATTTGTCAAATGATCAATTATCTGTAGGAGAGAGCAGAAATTGTTGCATCTTACCTGCTGCTCTGGAAGGAAAGGACTGTCTCTAGGTGGGATAGATCACTAACTGAAGTTGAACCTTGGAGTTGTGGGTGAGGACAGCAGGACTCATGAGGTGGGGTGAGGGACCACATTGTGTAACACACATCTGGCTGTAGTGTCACGTTGTGCCCGTCAGCAGCAAAAAGAAAAAAAAGATTGACAAAGATGAGAACAAGAGGACGAGAGTGTAATAATTGACAGATGTTCAGAGACCCAGCTCTGGCCGGCTTCGAATTTTTGAAAATAAACAGAAAAGAAAAGGTGTGTAAATCATTAAAACAACTGTTTTTATTTAAATATTCAGCATGTATTTGACTGTGGTTATGATGAAGTATTGAAGCATTTTTGTGGCACTGTTAAATTCAAATCAATATCTAGAGATGGCACCATGTTGAACCAGTGTATCACTCACTCATTAACTTAGTCATAAATCAGAAATAATAATTGGTAAAAGAAGAATGCAGATAGCCTCCAACCACATGTATTATCATTAGTTATTAAACTACTTAATTTACAGCCAGTATCATCAGAGTGGGAATCATATCCCAAAATACAAAATCACACATTTTGGCACAGTCTTTGAAGAAATGTTATAAAACCACATGGACCCAAAGTTTGAGAAATTTAAAGGGCGAGTCACTTGACATTGGCCAGGTTTCCACTGCAGTTTTGTGCAACATGTTTTTTTTTTTTCTTTGGTTTTTTTTTTTAGAAATGTCAACAAAACACAACAGATAACAACAACAGTTTCCCAGCAGCTGCCTCTCGGTTGGAAATGGCTCCCTGGGACCTGATACGGCAAACGCCACAACTTGAATTAGAGAAAAGTGTTTCCATTTCAATTTTGCGAAATATTGCTTTGTCAGATGATCTGAAAACCTCCTCATGCAAGAGTAGAAATGTTTTTTTTTGTTTGTTTTTTTTTTGCGACATTTTTTTCGTAACTTGTTTTTAAGTTCACAATTTCAAATTGCGCATTAAGCAGGTTAATGGAAAGGCTCCTCATAAGTAAAAGTGAACACCTAGAATACGCTTAAAGGAACAGTTAAACATTTTGGGAAGATGCTTATTTTTTTTTTTCAAATAGTTGGATGAGGATATAGATACAGGTGTAGGTTTAATGTCTGTGTGTTGCATATAAGGCTGTAGCCAGACCCCTGTTAGCTTAGCTTAAGATACAACCCATTAATTCATGAGCTTTGGAGATGCAGACAGAGCTGAGCTGTCTGTTTCCCCTGTTTCTGGCTTGATATCAACCATCTAACTCTCAGCAAGAATATAAACTATTTCCTTAAAAGTGCTAGAAAATAATAGCAATTCTATTTGCTCTACTTGTTAATACTTTTTCTCATACGATCAACAACAAATGCTTTTAGCTGATGGAGCAAAGCATTATGAAATGTAAGTTCCATATATTTGCAGAAGCGTATTAACAGTTGCACGGCTTAAAACGGCATTAAAAGTTATTCTCTCTGCACACAATAAACTAAATGGGTTGTATACATTATAGCAACTGTTGCTCTATCTACAGTGTGAGAGATTAATGGCCCAATTAAAAATAAAAATCCTCAGAGGTTTAGATGGATGAGGCTGCTCTTAATAGGAAAACGACTGGTGAATTGAATGCGCTGTAATTTATTGAGGCAACAGAGTTTGAACCTTGTATATTACTGCAGGGCAACACTGGGGTTTTTTTTTTGTAATGTGCAAACATGACATCACCATGAGAAAAAGACAGTTGTATCACAATCACATTCTGAATACGAGACGTTTATTGAATCAAAATTGTAACGTTACACTGTCTTAAATCATTTCAACAAAGTACAAAAATCTTATCGACTATTTAAAAGAGAAAACATGGTTTGTTTGTTTTTTACTATGTCACAAATGTCACTTGAAGTCATTTTAAGCAACGCTGTGTATGAGACTGAGACTTGTTTACAGAAGCTGGCTGCCCCCCCCCCCCCCCCCCCTATCCTTTAGCCTTTATCCTGCGCACACACCCCCCTTTCCTCTCTAAAGCCAAAACACACAAATACTGGAACAACCTACAACCTATCACTGCCTCCACGCTTCAGATGTGAACCTCCCCCATCTTGTTCTCAGTTGGTACATTCTGAACAACCTTGTTCACCCCACCTTTGACCCCGTTTGCCCCCAACTTTTCGCCTTGCAGCTCCACCTCCAGGTTGGCACAGTTCTGGATGATCTCGGGCCGGCTTCTAAAAGCTTTCCTTTCCGAAAACGGAGGCGTCACCGGGGTCACGGTGTAGTCCTGCCTCCTCACCATGCACTCCTTCAACGCCTTCACGCACAGATAGAAGAGCTCAACCACGCTGAGCACAAGGGAGACGATCGCTGACACCAGCATGAACCAGATGATGACCGATTTCTCCGTGGGCCTGGAGATGTAGCAGTCCACCTGGTGAGGGCAGGGAAAGTGGACGCAGACATAGCGAGTCTGGAGGGTGAAACCGTAAAGTAAATACTGACCCACGATGAACAAAACCTCCAGGACTATCTTGGCCACAAGATGGAGGATATAACTACGAAGGAGGCGGCCGCGGATGCTGATTTTGCCACTGCTCTTGGTGTACTTGGGAACTTTGAAGGCCTTGCTGAGGAACAGACTGGTGTGGTCTTCCAGCTCCGCCTGCTTCCTCATCCTCTCCTTCACCTTGAGTTGGAACAAGAAGTCAGAGTTAGAAATTCTCAAGTAATCTGGAGAGAAGTTCCAAACAGTTTACAAAAATGTCTTAACCCTTATTCCATGTATTGCTACTGCGGCTCCCTCCTCAAAACTTCGATCCGACAGTGTAACTATTTGGCAATATTATAATATCGCTATTATTAATGAGTTAGTATAAGGCTCCTTTTACCAGTTATAAATACTAGTAAGTCATTGTAAGATTAATGAGTAGTAAGCATTAACTTGATCTTGCCAAATAGTGAGCCTGCATCAATGTATGAAATCTGTTATGACTTGTTTATAATTAGTTATTTATGATTGTTATTATTGTCTTAGTGTAAAGAGGCACCTACATTGGTAGACTACAATATATGGCTGAATAGCTGATGATAAGATGATTAAGCTGGAAGAGTAGTTTTCTGATACTGTTTTCTGCCACTGTCCTTGATAAGGAAACGATCTCTTAATCCCACTATGAATCTTGGGTACTGAAAAGCTATGTAACATTTTAAGCTGCATTCTTTAATCTTTTGCCACTAGGGGCCGGAAATACAACGATGAAAACTGACTGACGCACAGCTACCACATCTCAGGAAGCACATCTAGCATGCATTTGTGCGGCGTTCACCTACAGAAAGTAAATCAAATATTCACTTTCCTTTTAGGTTTGCCCTTGCTTCCGCTAACACCTGCGAAAAATATCTGTGTCTTTAGCTGCTAGATGCTCCGCAGTCTTCACCAGTGAATCCCTTCTGGTGAGGTGACAGGGAGCGTCATTTGGGTTTATCAGAACTTTCTTCGCAGGAAACAGCTACCTAAGTGGTTGTTGGGAGCGGCTCACTTAGACACAACCATACAAAATAGTGGTTTAATATAAGTTCAAATTTGATTGATGATTTATACAGTCTTTAAAAAGGCGTAGAGCATTATTTATCATATTTTAGTTCACCATTTTACATGGGGCTGAGGCAAACATCGAGGATGGGGGCAATGAGACAAACTAATATCAAGCAAAGCACAATATGGTATATATATATATATTATTTGTTATTATATATGGTAAGATCCTAACAGGATGTTTGGGAACCACCTGGCCTACGCCTTTGCCACTGTACAGGTATGGCATGCTTGACAAATCAAGCATTTACCCGTCACGCCATCGTACTACGCCCACTGCAGTGACACACCTTCTTCTCAATGTGGATCACATGAAGGACGTGGCCGAGGTAGAGCAGCTTGGGAGTCGTGACAGCAATGATCTGAAGAATCCAAAAGCGAACGTGAGAGATGGGGAAGACGAGGTCGTAGCAGACGTTCTCACAGCCGGGCTGCCGGGTGTTGCACACAAAGTCAGATTGCTCATCGCCCCACACCTAGATGAGATAAGAGGAAAGAGATGATAGAGGAGATGACTCAAGAAAGTTACAGGGTGTAGTGGGAATGGTGTTTACGACGTTGGTATGGATATCGTTTTGCAACATTCCCATTCCCTGTATATACTGTTTCAACTGTTTCAGCTGTTGTGCCCCTTTGATTCTAACACATTTCCCCTCTACTCCCCATCTGCCACTCATAATCTCCCTGGGAAGTGTGCCTTAATTAGTAAATATACTGTATTACCAGACCTTCTCAGCGCCGGCGCACAGGACCAGGATGCGGAAGACAAACAGCACAGTGAGCCACACCTTGCCGATCACTGTGGAGTGGCTCTGCACTTTGTCCAGCAGGCGGCCCAGCAGATCCCATTCGCCCATTTCAGCCGCCAGTTGTCCTGCTTTCTATTTGGGGAGGTGCGCATGATAAAATGAACCACAATGCAGCAAACCATAGTGCAGTCTGATGTACTAATCTCTGAAGGAGCACTTGCATTATTTAGGGAAGTATATATAGTACTATTGATTGACCAAAAGAGAACAGTAACACCTGTTGATTGTTATTCATCAGTCTTAGAAAGGGTGATACATAAGTTGTTTTGTAGTTGTAAAAGTCAGGACGGACAGACCTTCCCACGAGGCCAAACCTTTATCATTTTTCGCACTCTTGTGACTTTGCTGATAGAAGCCACGGCCGCTGATTTCAAGTCTCCAAAACATACTTATCTGCTGGAAACCGAGACCCTAACCTTGGTTAATACCAACCATTGCAAATCTTAATTCAAAGAATGTGAGACATTGAGCTCAACCACTTGCGCAAATACAGATTGACCTGCCTGAGAAGATAAGGCTGCCAAGTTTATACTGTCAACTTAGGTTTTAAATCAGTTATATGAAGTTCCCTTTTAGAATTTCTTTTACCTTCATTTTGTATTCACATTCACATTGTATCGTTTTGCTTGAATTTTATTTGATTATATAGTTTGACATCATATGGATCCAATCAAAGTTTTTATTTTTTTGTTTGTTTAAGAAACCATTGGACACTACTTATCCATATCCACATAGACATTATGCATTCACACTCATGTACTCAAGCACAAATGACATGTGCATTTATCTCCACTGAGTGCAGAGTGCAAAACTTAAGTTACATAACTTCCTATAACATAAACATATTCCAACACGGATCCATAAATGTTCCAGTCCATATACATTATCAACATCATTTACATTTTGTGACAAATTAAATTCTAATTATTAGAGAATTTTTTTTTTTTTTTTTTTTTAAATCAACTCACCATTTGAAAAATCCACGGAGAAAAAAAAGTGAAGGAAGAGAGCGATGCTTGCAGAGGATGATCAAAAGGCAAAAGTGAAGGAGGAGAGGAAGAGGCTGTCCTTTCTTGTCCTAATCTGGAAGGACACCATCCTAACCACAACAATGGACCTACAGTCCTAACACTGAACACTGAGAGGCTGGTAAAAGCAAAAGCTATCAAAAAAAAAAAAAAAATTAAAAATTGACTTTGAATGCAGACATTTAAAAAAAACCAATCTTGTTTTGTCCTGTTCCTTATATTTCATTTCTGTGGCATTGCCGCTTCATTGGACAGTGGACAGAGAACAGCAGCGAGAAGAGAGAAGAAGGCGACAGGGCAGATTTAAACCTCCACTTGCAGTTGCATGCACTGTTCACAACTGAGTCATCTACATTTCATATGTTGAAAAAAATGATAGTAAAATGAGTGGCGAAACAAATGCACACGCTTCTGCACATGAGAAGTTACTGGATAGTTTGTCGGGTTTGAAAAAGATGTGAATCAAATGCACTGTCACCAAAACACAACTCAACTAAACTCCTGTGGAAAAAAGTGTTGCAGCGCTGTCCTCCACCATCACCAACAACACCAAACTGGGGATTATTTTTCACTTTTATTTCTGCGTTACTGCACACCAAAGAAACTTTATTTACCCAAACAATCTCAACGAAAGGTCCATCAAGTAGCTGCTCTAGAGGTTTCTACAGTTTTTCGACATCATGCTATTGTAGAGGATTTTATATTAATCTGTTGTTTGCTTTTAATAAAACAATGTGTGCATTGTTGATGTAATCATAATCTGCTTATAACTAAGTGACTTTTTCATAAAACTTGCTGTGCAACGTTACAGAAAAACGGACTGAACTTATGATATTGTTTGAAGGCCACCTGGGGAAAAAACAACTCCTTATATGGTAAACATCCCGGAACAGAAGTAAGACAAAAAACGAGGAATAGAGTAGGGTATTGTCTCTCGTTGTGTGAATCTCTCACAGATCCACCGCCACGAGGGCTGTCCTGCGTAGGAGAGTCAGATAACACGAGGTGAAACAACACAGAGAACACGTGGAGGAGCAAAACAAAGAAGACAGCGGCATGGACCGATAAGAGAATCAACCCACATTGTATTATTTTTTTCTGTGTAAGAATATGAAAAGACTGGGTCAGGAAGAGGTAGGCAGTCAGACTTCATGAACTGGCGCAACTGCATGTTGTTGTCAGGGAGAGATAGTTTGGCCCAGAGCTCTGTAACGATCTCCTTTTTTCTAATGCTATATTGCTGTTAGCTTTAATAAATACTGGGATTTGAACTTTGAAAGAGTGTCCTGTTTCCTTCATCAAACCAACACGCGAGTTCAGGCGACGAACTCAACACTATTTAATTGAATATTTTCTTCAAGTTAAAGCGCGAGCAATATTTTGTGTTCACTTCATCAGATTCACTTGTCCACGTTAGTAAAGGAACTTGATGTTGGACTTTCCTTTAATCCTTTCACTTATTTGTATAATCCATAGCATTTATCAACGTTATCAACATCCCACAAACTGTGGAAAGGTGTTCCCAAGTATTTCAGGAAGGAAACCTCAGTGATGCTTTATAACATGCTGAATTTAAGTAAGCTTTTTGTTGTGTTTTCATTTTTTCATTGCTATTTTCTCTTAGTTTTTTTTTTTCTTTTAACAATTATTTCCTTGTGTTTTTATTTTATAGCCCCTCTACCTTTTTATTTGTATGTAAAGAAGCTATATGAATCTTAATTATGAAATGTTTCCACGTTTCCTTTATTTCACACTACTCACTACAGTGTATGTGGATGGGCTTTACCCACAGTATAGTCACAGCTTACGGTTTCGTGTTTAAATCCCATAGAAGCAGCCCATGTTTGCTCAGCAACACATGTTTACGGCAAACTGCTCCAAACGTGTGTTCATAGGGTTTACATACAGGCTCTGACCTGGCTGATCTAAGGGGGGGGTCATGGGACAAACTGTGGCAGCGGGCACGGTGTCTGGTCATGGATGTCAATGATTTACACCATCTCGATATTTTAAGAGAAAAACAGCATGTGTGGCCTTCAGCATGTAGATCAGAGTCAACATTTCTGAACACACGCTGGAAATCAAACGCTGACCAGTCAGATAAAAGGACTCAGATACTTTGACCATCATGAAAACTTACACGTAGTCACCATACATCAATTCACATAAAAGAACGGACAATAACATGGGAATGAAGGAAGAGTTTATTGGTCTAATTCTGTGCTATGATGGCATATATTTAGGTCAACACTTACAGCAATGCACAATAAGCACAATAAATATGAATCTGTTCCAATACTTCAGCAACATCTGCATATACTGAATGTGTTTCAAGTTAAGTTTCTCAACAAAACAAAAACATCACAACCTCACTCTTCAATGCATTTTATATTGACTACTGGAGACGCTTGACTCCTCTACTCTGAGCACATTCACCTAAAGTTGTCACTCTTCATTCAAGATTCAAGAATGTATAACACCCTGCAGGCACATCTTGGTTTTATCTGAACCTTTGATTTGATTAGACCAGGAAGCCAGGTAAGCTTAAGACATATTTACATTGGTAGAATGTATTCTGGTCTATACGTCAGGTCACAATCCAGAGAGAGTGTGTTAAAAATGTGTCATTTCCACTTTCAAAACTTGCAAAATTACACTCAAACCTGATTATAGTCTTTTCACAATATTAAGAATAAGAAATTAAATCTATTATATTACCTGTATGAACAGTCTGTCTCTGTAACATGATACTGGGTTTAGTTTTTGGGAACATAGTGCGTGCAGCGCGTCAGTGCTGGTAAAAGCAGTGCAACCCGGCAGAATGGGAAAGTCAATTTACACAGCTTAAACAACTTAGAAAAAACACAGTGAACATCAGAGCTTCTTTAAATGCATCCAAAACCCTTTTGGCTTGAATCAGATCCCCCAGGCTGCAGGTTAATAGCAGATAGAAAGAGTCCATGCCCCCGACTGTCATAATATATTGCCTAAATTCATATTTTATGTAAAATTTTTTACTCATCTGTTTGATTTTGCTTTATTATTGCCTTCTTCAGACTTTGTCTTTTTTATTTAACATTTGAGGTGAGGCCTTTGATATCAAATTCACTTCTATATTCTGTTTTTTCAATGTGCAACTTCCTTGAATACAAAAAAGAATTGTTCAAAATGTGAAATAAATCTCTTATCCAACAGTCCAGTGGGTTGAAACTTAATGGAGGCTCATGCTATAAAAGTCCAGGCACCGAACCAAATCATTTCAGAGTATTATGCTCCAATAATAATCATCTGGCACTGCTGGAAATCACGACGAGAAATAAATCAAAGTTCACAACCTCAACTCAAAGTCAAACTCAGTTTCAAACCTCATGTCTGTGCACTGTAAAGACATTTATTATCTGGTTTCTATAGTAAATTTAAGACTTTGTAAGATTGTAGGCCAGAACTAAAGTAATGTGTGTATATTCACTCATCATTTCCAAATCCCACCGCAGATTACCTAGAAACTGATACCAAATCGATGGGAGAGAATTCTGATAATTACAGTCCTCAAAAGTTATCAAATTGCCTCACTCTTTATTAATCTCAGAAGAAACTAAAATAAAACTCTACACAGGACTCCAGTAACAAGAAGATCAAGTTACCAGGTTAATACTTTGTGAGGAGAGGAGAAGTGAGCTCTTAGCTTGAGCTGATGAGCACGCGTGATCCGAGAACCCAGATCCACTCTGGAATACACCTCATCAATCCATACTGTGAAGAAAAACAACATAAACGTATTGCTGATGATAAAGATTTGTCATAAACTTTATCCTAATACAATCTGACAGCGTGACGCGGTTTGCACCGACCTGCAGTGTATGAGGCCAGTAGCCGGTGGTCCTATTAGAGACACCCAGGGTGGAGATTGCGTGGCGAGCGTAAACGTCTGGTTTTGGAACAAACCAGCCCTCTCTGGATGATGTTGATGAGGATGTTGATGGCTGTCGCTCGCTTGAGGCTATCTAGATACACATACACACACACACACACACACACACACACAAACACACACACACACACACACACACACACACACACACACAGCAGCTCTATATCAAGAACTGACACACATACAGTTACCAAAGTAACTGTATGTGTGTCAGTTCAAAGTGACTTCACCTATCACCTTATATTAATATATTTTATTTATGGAGTAAATTTAAAATGGATAGAATAAAAAATGAAGCTGAAGCTAAAAATGTTACAGTAAAGATAAGTTGGTAAAAAAGATTATAGATTGTTCATGTATGTAGAATAAAATCGTACAGACTAAAAGTAACACTTACTATTGAGCATCTATTAACTGAGATCTACCCCCTTCCATTAAGTTGAGTCTATCCCTTCTTCACACTGTCTGTGAGTTTACAGAGTTAACTGAATATTTAATTTAATTAAAAAACAAACAAATCTGTTCTCATATGGTCACAATACCATCAACACCACACTGATGTGCATATATACACAATACAAGAGTTTCTTAGTACTGTTATATTGCTGTTCTTTCTTTATGAATGGGGTTGGGTAAGAGTATTGAAAATAGAGAGTTATGTCAGTGAAACCAAAATGACTTTTTGAGAAATAAAAACATTTTTCTACACATTTTTTCATGCAGCAAAAAAAGCAAAAGTTCTCAAATGTTAAATGTTGTGGAAACCCAAACAGCTGTACAAACACTTTGTATAAATAAATGACATGATGATATGATGCTAGCTTTCAGTGCTGGACACATTTTGGTCAGAACCATAAGATGTAGTGAACTTTGACATCCAGCCACTCTTGTTAATGATGACATCAGGTATCTTACCTGGAAAGGAATCAGACTTTGAACAAAAATCCCTCTGCCACTGTACTCAAGGTGAAGGGCTCTTGAGAAATGATCCAGGTAGCCCTGAAATGTCAGGAGAAGAGAGATGCAGTTTGATGTTAGCCCAGATTTTAGTCTGAAAAGTCGTTCACTCAGCTTGTTTTGATGAGATACTTGAATAAATAGATCTTTTTAAGCCTTCATTGATAATGGTTATTTACAAAGGGCTCTTCATCCGGTAATAAATCAAAACATCTGCTGTGAAAAGGGTCAACAGAGGCTATGAGTATGTTTCTTGGTGTGTGTGTGTGTGTGTGTATGCATAAGAGGCTGTTATAAGCAGCGTTTTGTCTCACAGTCAAGGCCGTGAGTGTCACTCTTCCAGGCAGAGGTCTGCAGCAGGAACCCGATGATATATTAACCACAGCACCTCTGCTGCGATCCACCATCCCCGGCAGCACCAATCGAGCCATCAGAGTAGCGACCGCAACGTTCTTATTCACCAAGTCCAACAGGCTCTGCTCAGGCATTTCTATCAGGCTCTGGGGGGAACTCAGAGACTCATCCACACAGTTCACCACGAAGCCGATATCTTTACCCCTCATGGCTTCTTTGATGGCCTTGCTGGCTGCCTGGTCCAGAGAGAAATCAGCTAGGACAACAATAGTTTCCACTCCGTAGCTTTGGGAGAGGGATGCAGCGGTGTCTCTAACAGAAGTGTGTTCCTGAGTGACAAAGATAATGCTGATGCCATGCCTAGCCAGCTCCTCTGCATACGCTTTGGCCACAGGCTCTGACGCTCCTGACAGAAGAGGACAATATATATCAATGAAAGTTGTTTCAGGAAGAAGTGAGGATATAATATTACTGAGAGCTACTAAAGAGTAACATAAAAACATTAAAGCTGACTTTATTACTGAAAGCTGATTGGTTGATTGCCAAGAAATTAAACACCAAATTTGAGCAAATCATTGAAATATATTTTACCAGTAAAAAGAAAGAAAGTGAATTGTAAAACGAATATTTGGTTTGTTTGCAAAATTGCTGAAGTGAACCTGGTATTTTTTTCACAATTTTTTCAAATTTATAGACCAAATAAATAATGGATTAATCAAAACCATATTTGATTAATTTGAAGATCATTATTTATGAAGCTTGTTAGTTGGGCTCACTACATTATCAAGTCAATGTGATATCCAAATTTCAGTCAAAGAAATGTATTATATTTAGGGTTGCATTGCAACAAGGTAAATCCTTCCTGTGTGAGACTTTGGCCTTGGTAGCGCTACTTGTGGTGTGTTTTTGCACAACCTTGACATATTACACATTTTGTGAAAGCTCTTTAGTCTCCTGATTCAATCTGGGCATTTTAAGATCCATATCACTGCAACAGCTGTTGACACAGAACTGGTTCAGACTTGTGGCCATGTCTCCAAAGTGTTTTCCACACAAAAGGTCTTATATTCAGTTTTTATGCCAAAAAAAAAAAAATAAAAAAAAAATGGCCAGGCAAAAAAGCGAACAAAAAAAACCCTTACATTTCTACCATGTTTGTGAGTATGTAATTTTGGTTCAGTATTCTTTATACTCTTTCTGATCTTTAGATTGTAAAATTAAAAGAGTTATCTTTCAAAGGAGACCAGGTTTATGACTTTAATCAAAAGGGCTGAATAACAATAACATTTTTATTTTCGTTAGATTAATTTCAGGCTTGTGCACAAAAATTGGGATGTCTGATAACAGATTAATCTGTCAATTACTGTCTTGATTTATTTATTGATGGTCTATAAAGTTTCAGAAAATGGTAAAAAAAAAAAATGGTTCCATGGAATTTCGCTTTTTTTCTTGACTCATCCCTTCAGCTCTGAAAACAACAGCTGCCCTGGTTTTGTGTGATGCCCAAATCTCGCTGACAGAAATAAAATTACAACAATAAAATGAATGGAATGATCTGCCCTCTGTGACGCAGACCTACAGCATGATGCATTCTCATTGTTTCTGCTGCATCCTTACCATAAATGACAGCCCAGTCACCATATCTTTGGGTCAGCTTCTTACACGGGATAATTCTTGGCAGGAAATGCACCCTGACCAACGTGCAGCAGTCTCTCAGCAGCATCAGCGCCCTGCTGGCCGTATACAGCGCACCGACAAGGGCCAGGGTCTCAAAATAAGAATTGCATGACCGAGAAATTTCTCTGTACAAAAACTGAAAGCTGTCAACTGCCGCCATAGTTGACACTCCTGTGATGCGGTTGCTAGTTTGCTAGCTAAAGCGTGTTTAGTAGATTTAACGTAATGATTTCTGAAAGTAACGTTAACTAGTAGGTCAGACCTGTGAATAAAACATGCCGCCGTTCCTACATAGCAAATTTCTGATTAAAAAGGTGAGATTTGACAGATTTCTAAGCAGGCAAACCTGTCACCTGTAAAAGTAGCCGGTGAATGGAGCAAAACATTAAGTCATGTGACAAAGTACGTCACACAAGCTGCATTCATAAACCCATGAGAAAAATGGTCGCGAGTAAATCACACTTACGAGTCATGCTGTATATAAGTATTACACTGGTCATGGATGAACTCTGCTTTAAATTATCAACGTGGTTTTCAGTATCAGTCATATTCTTGTCATATTAAATCTTTGGTCATTCTCATCGTGTACATCTTACACGTAAAACCCAAATTTCCAACGCTCTGTAAGCCGGCATGTACTTTCTTTTGACATCCCACAATGCATAGCAGTTAACGCTAAGTTGTCGTTTCCATAGAGACGTAGCTGTCGGTAGCAGGATGCTACCTGGATGAAAAGCCTTTAATAGTCCAAAAACAAGGTGACAAGCTGATTTACAACATTCTGCATGTTGTATCTTTCTGTTTAGGTGGTTGGTTTGTGCTGCCGGGAGGTGTTTGGTTTTCGCTCGACTGCGATGTAAGCTAAATTTCGGCAGCTTTGCAGTAGTTAGCTAGCTGTGCTACAATGGTGCATTTAGCCGCGTCAGGCTAACCACAGAGAGTTAGTTTTGTCTCCAGAGTAAAAACGTAAAATATCACACAGGCCTCTTGAATGTGTTGAAGTAATTCAAGTGGAAACAACTGTGATTATTATTAGACTTAAAATACATTACTGTCACAAATGTGTAAAATTAAACACCACCTTTCTTACCATAGCCACTAGATTCCTATTTGTCACACCTGTAGGTGATTAACATGATTGGCAGGTTAAAAAGACTCCTTTATAGCACATGGATGAAGATATAGCTGAAACGTCTGACTCCCCTGGGTTGAATATAAGAACAAACCGGTATATATATAAAATTAAAAGATATATTTGGATATGTATATTTGCTGAACTTTGACTGAGGTTATGCACCCAACTCTCATTTTGTCTTTGGTTGAGTGCAATGTTTATTTTCTTCTATCTATTTGCAAAGAAAAAACAAATGATCATCTCATAAGCTGCTCCATATAATATATAATTTAATTATTTTTTGCATTGTACTTTGTTAATCTTCAGATGGCTTTAAAGACAAACTCAAGTAACACATCCTCCTTCCTGTACTTCAGTTATCTGTGACCTGCACTACACAGGGAATTGCCCCCTCACCTGCCTAGGAACCCAGATACCCTATTCTGTTCCATCTTAAGGGCCAGCTGTAGAGATGTCTCAGCTGACAGCTGAAGATGAGGTGGAGTTGCAGTCCCTGCTCAAGCAGCTACTGAGAAACATCAACGACAGGATCTCTGGCGCACCATCAACTGAATGTGCTGAAGAGATCCTTCTTCACCTGGAGGAGACTGACAAGGATTTTCACAAGTAAGGCCATCAGACTCAGATAGTATGGCATTAACTTTAAAGGTCTGGTTTAAGAGGAATTTAGACTTTCTTCTATCTCTGTTGGTTGAGACGTTGTTCAAATATATACAGTAAGTCTGATTCTGTCATTTCTCTCCTTTCAGTTATGAGTTTGTCAAGTACCTCCGTCAGTATGTGGAAAGCTCTCTGGGGACTGTGGTGGAGGAGGAAACCAAGATCCTGACCAGAGGAGATGGACAACACTCAGTTGGCTCAGGTCATGATACCCTGATCCATGCTGTCACCCGAAGGACCAGAGACTCAGCTGAGTGAGTGTAGCACAGAAAAGTCTTTGAGCTTCGTTAGCAATGTTTTCTCCAAATCTTCATGAAAATATTTTTTTTACTAAAAATGCAATGAAATCAGAATTCCTAATATAAAACTCTGCAGGATTTCTCAGCTCCACTGTTTTCTATGCTAGTTGCATGTGCAGCTGCAACATATTCTGTAATAAGAAACTAGCCAATACCATCCACTGCCTTTGACTTAACTTTACCTGTTGGTTGAGGGACAGCTATTTATACACAGAAAATCTCCTTGATATGTACAATATAGTTCTCATTTTGTGTCCATGTTGGCAAACTGCTAAGCCCCCAAGTTAAAAGTACAAACTCTCAGTGTATGTTGACTTGTTAATTTTTTAACAGGAATGGGTTCAGCAGGATTATTCTAAAACAAGATGACATTAATAATACACTAATATTTTTTTTTTTGTCTGTGACAGGTACCAGCAGATGATGCAGACCTTGAAAAACACCATGATCATGGTTGTGGAGTCTTTAATCAACAAATTTGAGGAGGACCAGATGAGGAAGGAGGAGATGCACAGAGAGAAGCAGCACAGTCAGTCAAACAGCCAGTACACAGACAACTGCTCCGACAGCGACTCGAGCTTTAATCAGGTCAGAGACACATTTTATTTGTTTATTGCCTCTTAAATTTCATTGATTACTCATATAAAAGGTCAGTATAGTATCTCTACTGTATCCTAGAATGCAGGAGAAAGTTTACAGTAGATCCACTCAGTGACCTCTGAAATTGCTTGTGTCCTCCTATAAACAATAGAGCTCTTTTGAATTTAGGTTTATGGTGGATCATATTTATTTTTGTTGCCTCTCCCTTTTCAGAGTTACGCATTCATCAGACAAGAACAGCTACAAGTCTTGGCTGAAAAACTTGACTCCAGCAGACCCAAAGAGGTACAACATAGAACGGCTCACTTCCAAATGAAAAGTTATGATTTGTACATTGCTGTTTCATGCTTTCTGTCAGTACACTGAAAAGTCACGTGTAGCATGTTGGCATAGATCAGGGTCGCAGGATAAATCTGAGGGGTCGTGAGATGACTTACAGGATAGGAACCAGAAAAAAAACCTAATTTTAACCACACAAAATGATTTGTATTCTATGTGATTTTCCTCTTATCTTTTCCATTTTTCTGATGATACTTAACCTTTTCAGGCCTAAAAATAAAACAAAGAAAATATCATTCTTTGTTTGACCACTAGACATTAGCCTGATAATCAGACTGAATTTCCATTTTGTTTTACTTCATTTATTCAGCCCAACCTTGTGACCTTGCCCTTACCAGTCAGTAGTGAGTAACTTATCTAGTCTGTCATTTTTAAGTTGACGTAGAAGGGTAACTTACTGTCTTTCACAAAGATCAAAGAAATATTAAGATTTCTGTAAGTGCAGAAAAAACTTGCAAAAACCTGCACATCTGTGTCTGTCTCATGCATGCTTGTTGTCATTTTTGACATTTTTTCTGTCAATATTTTTTACAGATGTATCTAGGTAGCCAGCTAACTATGAAGAGGACAGCACTACCATTCTTGACCCTGCCTATAAAACTCTTAGTTGATTGTTTCAGGTGAAAATAGCTGTCAGGACACATCCACCAGACCTAACTGAAGTGCTGAACAAATCTACCATGTGGAAAGATTCAAAACTACGAAACAAGCCTAATTGGACATCCAACCAATGATGAGGGGTTGCAAGCAGCCATTGCCTTGGTTAAAAGGGTCATAGGCTATAAAGGTTTGGAAATGCTGTTTTAGATGTTAATGTGCTGAACAGGAGAAGTGTTGTTACTGTGTGTAGGTGCGTTGGGAGGCTCTGCAGGTCCTCTGCTGTGCCCCTCCGTCTGACGTGCTGAGCTGTGAGAGCTGGAGCAGCCTGCGCAGGAAGCTCTGTGCAGCTCTGACCGAGCCCGACCCAGACATCAGTGTGAGTCCTGAGCAGCCTCATACACTCAATACACGAGCAATCAGTGTCCTGCAAACTCACATTGTAGTCACTCATAAATGAATCAATCATAATCCTGTAATTTCTATGAAGATTTTCAGGCTTTTATAATTGCTGATAACAACCAAAAACGAATTTATGTTCAGTTGTTCAAAATGCAATCTGCCACACCTGCTTAATTGAGAAGAAAACAAGATAACCCAAATGATTGAGAGATAATTGGTAACAAACATGACCTCTGTCTCTGAATAGAGGCTGCAAATCTTTATTGTGATAATCTTGTTTCATTTCTTCTCATTTTTTTATAATCTGACATTTATGTCTCATTGATTTTATGATTGTGTGTATTCTCCTAACTTATGGCCTCCCCCCTCACCTCCCTCAGGATAATGTGCTGCTGTTCTTTGCTAAAAGCTTCTCCTCCTCTCCTATGAATGTGACACGAGAGATCTACACCAGCTTGGGTAGGCCACTCTGAATAGACATTACTGGGTTTTAATATGCATGGGCAGCAGCGTTATGTTGGAATTGAACAAAGCAAAGTATTTTTTATTTATTTAAGATTTTTCCAGTCCCAAAATGAGAAAAATTACTGCTTGTGCTCAAGGAAACTGTCATGTTCATGTAATCAATACTTGGTTAGACAAGTATTCAATAAAGCATATCGCTTACAGTTAGATAGAAATGATACATTTAATCATAACTGTGCACAGGATGTTGGAGAAGACAGAGATCATCCTGACCTGTAGATTCTTGAGGGCCAGAGGAAGCAAATTTATCTTTCAAGTTTGGCTAGGGAGAGCAGACACAGGTACTCTATTGTACCAGTGTGGAGGTGGAAACTTTACTGATAGGGATGAGCAGCTCAGATAATTAGGTGTTTTCCTAGCAACTGCTATAGTGGTCAGTCAGTAATATTTTAGATTTAGACCAGTCAGACAGCCCTGTGTGTGATTGTTGACCAATCAGTGATAATGCATTCTTCTAGGAAGAGCATAGAGTGAGAGGGTTAAAAAAAACATGTCAGAGAAGAGATTCTGGTTCTGCAGATCCTCTGCACATCAGATTCGTACTTTGTACTCCCTGTTATTAATAAAAATTGTGCGATTCATTATTAACTTTCCTGTCCTCCTTTGTCTTTGAATCGACTCCTATGAACCCAGAAGTGAATGTTTGATAAAAATCTGTTGAAAAATTGAAAAAGACAGAAGGAAATCCACAACAGTAGTAACTGGAGTATTTTCAGTTATCTAGCCAGGCAGACACAGTTCTCCTGTGTCTGAAGTTCCACTTCTCAGGTTTCTGCTTCCACCGCAGTACAGTGGAGATGACTCCACAGAAAGAACTTACTGACAGTAGAAATCATTGGAATTATTGTTTACTGAATCAATAATTCAAAGGCTTCAATGTTGACAGTTTCTGTAGGGTCTGTCTAGTTTTACAATTAAGGTTTAAGGAAGAATATGTGCACTGTAAAATTATTGTTTATGCTGCTTTTTATTTGTGTATATATATATTTTCTTTGTAATAAGTATATTTGACCATTTTCAGCTAAAAGTGTGGAGTCAAGTTTTCTGTCTCACAAGCTGAGCTTCCCAACGGGTTCAGCTACCATCGACATTAACAGACCTGAGATCATTCGTCTGCTCAAACAGGTACAGTATCTTGTCTCTTACAACATGCAAAACATCATCATCAATCACCATGCAAACACATTAAAGCTTTTTCTCTCTGTCTTGTTTCAGATTCGATTGATGAATGACTTTCAAAAGGAGGTGACAACATTTTGGATCCGTCACCCAGAGAAGTAAGTAGTTGTGCCCAGAATGAATCCACAGTTGACAGTTTTCTCTCCACTTGTTTGGCCCGTCATCATTCACTTACTATCTCAGATGCCACTGATTGAATTATGACAAAATGTGATTCAACATAAAAATGCTGCAGTTTAGAGCAATGTGGGATTTGGTGCACATATTTTGGCCTCCATTCTCTACAAATTTGCCTTTTAAATATACAGTATTCTGAAACATGATTTATTCTGGTCCAAATGTAGCCTACTTATCTTTTAGGTCTAGAATGATGATACCTGTTCACTATATTTGTTTTTACCTTGCTTTTAGGTATATGGAGGAAGTTATAGAGAGCACCTTCTCCCTATTGTCCTTCCATCATGAACATGGCTCAACCTCTCCTGGCATAGAGAAAGCCCTGGAACCAATTCACTTACTGGCCTTACTGGATATTAAAGCTACCTGGTTTAAAAAGTGGATGGTGTGTATTTCAGCTTAACAGGTGTTTTTGATTTGGTGCACAATTCATTTTTGCCCACACTATTGTTTTTATGTATTTCTTAATAAGGTGTTTATCTCTTTCTCTCTTGTTCATATTGCAATCTGTATTTTCTTTTCATCTTTTCTCTGTGTTGATCTATTTACCTCTCCATATCTCAGCATGGCTACTACAGTCGGACTGTGGTTCTTAGACTCCTGGAGAGAAAATACAAGTCTCTGGTGAGTGATTCACATAATAATCAATATCTCTCACTAACTCATTTTATACTTCTGAGAAGTGTGGCTCTGGAAAAAAAAACCCCAACAAATGCTCATCATGAGTATTTTCAGTAAGGCATTCAAACCTGCGTCCCCATGTAGGAACCAGAACCTACGGCATTGTGTATCTTAAAAAGATAGAACTGTGCACAAACAAGGGAAAGGTGGGAAACTGGAGCAAATGTATTAATGCTTGCAGGGAAGTTACTGTTTGAGGTGCATGATAATTTCTTTCCAGCTGGAAATGTTCTTCCTTTCTGCATTTTCTGGTTTTGTCCTTGGGCCTCAAAGAGAAGCTGAACTTGCTCTTCTTGTTCCTGCCTTTATTGTACCAGGGTACCAGAATAAAAACAGACGTTGAGGAGGGATGGTATTGTGCAAAAGACCTGCTGCATTTAACTCATACACAAATACATAATTCACATTGACTTGTGCTCATTGTGCAAGTCGGTGTAGGAGTCTTTGAGACAAAGGGGCACAAAAGTCGGCTAAGTAGTTTGGCATTTAAGAATTGATTGTATAATCCTAGACCTCCCTCTCAACTCTGCATCTGACTTTAGAGAGGATTACTTTGGAATCACCCCTGAAACTTTCTCTAAAGTAATCTTAAAACTCTTGATTAAGAGACTCAATAGGAGGAGGTTGCATTGACTTTCTGACTAAGTTCCCTAGTAAGCCTGTTGTTTCTGGCCTGTTCACAGCAGCATCTAAATTTGGCTCGACAGAATAGGAGCTGTAACTTCAGTCAACTGATCAAATATTTGCAGCAACCACAGCAATATGCATTATTTTAATTCCTTTCTTTATTTGTTTTTTTTTTAGATTGTTGCAGCTCTTCAGCAGTGTATCCATTACAGTGAATCCTGTGAACGCTTCACGAGTGAGACCACTGATCTCCAGTCAGTGGAGCAGCGGAACAGTGGTAAGTAAAACATTCCATAAACACATGATTTCCCTTAACAGGTTCATGAACTCTATCAAGTGCATCTGAACACCAATCTTCACCCTGAGTCACTGTGTGTGGTAAACATCAGCACTTTTGCAGTAATGCTGAAACACACCAAAAAATAATAGTCAGGCTGAACAACTGTGAAAGCCTAATGAGAAAGTAATGCTTCATTTGAGGCCTGTGGGTGTTAAATGTATTGGACCTAGACTTTGCCGTCATCATTTATTCAGTTTCTGTAAAGTGCACACGTTGCTCCCACAGTTATAAAACAGTGCAGATAAAAACATTAGAGAGAAGAAACAAAAAACAAAGCAGACAGGAAAAACTGTTTAGAAAAATGGAGAGAAATTAAAAATGTACACTCAATGGAAGGTAGATAAAGGTAAATTAGATAAGACAGAGGCATTTATACAAGCATAATAAGCCAATATTACAAAAAATGAGAATAATACAATTTAGGGCACTGTTTGGCTCAAAATATACATCATATAGTTAAGGTGCACAGACTAGATAAAGTTAGGATTGGGTTCAGTTAGCTGGTTCTGTTTTGAATCAAGTTCCTAGATGGAAAAGTCCCTGGATTCTCTTTGTTTTGATGGTAATGACTCTCTTATCTAACCTTTTATTGCTCCTTGATCTTTTTTTATCAACAAAGAGCAATGCTTAGACTGCAGGATTCTCATGTTATCATTTCAGTAGGGTGTTAATAAGGTGTAAAAGTCACTTTACAGCTAATATTTCAAAGTGTCAAATACATATTTAATCAATATTTCATATCTTCTGCTGCTCATCTCATTTTTAGGTTGTAGCTGCAGGTCGTCAACATTAGTTAGGCCACAACTCTAAACAATTTCTGTCTCCTCAGCCAGCAAAAGGTGATTATACTGAACATGTTGAAGTTATAGTTATAAGTTCAGTTACTTTCAAACAATGAAATTAAATCCAAAACGAACATGTAGACATGCAGATGACGTCTTACAGATTTAAGTTTCACATATTTTTTACAAAGGTTTGGAAACAGGAAAGAGTTGGTGGTGGTAATGCACAAAGAAGTGCAGCAGAAGAAGATGAATGGAAGCTAGCACACATGGACGTAAACAGTGCAGGATTTAAAATATTGGATTTGCAAATGTTTTATGAGGAAGGAAATGTGTTCAACACCTGTTTGATCTCAATGATGCACAAAATGCATTTTGGTGAGTAACACTGAAAGTACACTAAAATTTAGTTTAGAAGAAGATTTGGCAGGTGTAATAAAATACTATTGAACTCCGGTCCTAGGAAGAGTACATTTGCTGAAGAAGACAGTGAGATGTTGCTGAATGGGAAAAGCTAGTAAATGGACCTTTTTGAGTTTAAGAATATTTTGCTGTGCTACTGTTCCCAAGGTCAATAATGAACCTCCATGCCAGTACTGCCTCACTCCACTGACAATGGAATACTGTATGTCATTACTGAATTCACTGTAATACCTTGTAACAATTGGTGCTTGAGCTTCTCAAAATTTAGACCACATTTCCCATAAATCCCTCTACTTTCTCTCCGAGATGGTTTGTTTGTTTACAGTATTTAATCTAGTTTAGCACAATTAACATTCAGTGTAATAACAAACAAGTGCGACACATCCTGTTGCACATTTAAGTGTGAAAATTCATTAAATGAGAGTGAATACAGAGGTCGATGGGGTGTGAGGGAATGTCGGTCTCAGTGTGTTATCTCCTGTAAGCCAGCTGGCTCCTTGAGACTCGACATTTTGACTTTGTCTTGGATGAGCAGAGATACACCCCCTGCCCCCCACCCCACCCCAACCCTCACCCCCCACTCATACACTCCCCTCAAAAGAGTTTTTTTTTAGCAGTGCTTCTTGTTGGTTTTCTGTACCCTAGAGTCACTGCAAGGTTGCCACCTACTTTTTTCTTTACTTGTCAATCTCATTCTGTTACAGAAGCTGTCTGTGCACCATAACATCACAACAAGAGCATTCACTGTAGTTTTATGGGTAGTAGTTGACATTTTAGAATATCAAAAAATAATTTTCACAAACTCACACTTACCTGTGCTTTATCATTTTATATTTTTCTCTTGAATGTTTTGTGCATGCCAACTGATTCTTAACACATTAACCTTTCAATTTATGTTTGAAAACTTTGACAAAATCCGTTTGCAATTAGATACTACGATGCTTTCCTCCCTCTGTTTTTTCTCAGCTCTGCTCATTCTTGCATCTTCGAACAATATCAACAATATTTGGGCAACATGGAAACTGGAAAGAAGTCTAGACAGTTCAAATTTAAAATTTTTATTTTCTGTTTCTATTTTCAGTTTTAGTCCAAAGGAGTGTTTATTCAGGAAAGGAGCTTGAATATTGCGTCTTTGTCCACTCCCTGTGTGTCCTGGGGAAACTCCTCATCTACACCAATGGAAGAAAACTCTTTCCCATCAAAGTGAGGAAGCGCAAAGGTGCAAAACTATTTCTTTAAACACTTTTCAACATCTGTCACTACATGTGTGGTATATCATTCAGTTTTTACTCCACTAAAAGAAGTATAAAGTTTGACTGTAGCTGATACTCTATATTGTCACTCGCTGTCAAAGACATTCACTAGTGAATTAAATGAATGACTTGCAGTTAAAAGGATGAATAGATGTCTTGATAGTTCAAGGTTGCTGATTTTACAATAAAATAGTTCCTCCAGTCTTTACAGCAGACAATCTCATGTAGGAATGTGTCTGATTAGCTTGCACATGATGCCACTCCCTCCAGTTCTCCTGTGCAGTGATTTCATCCGCTTCACCCAATCTTAATCAGTGATAAAATTACGTAACATTATTGATGCATTGTCAGACCTTTAAGAGAGACTCATTGTCTGCTGTTGCTGCACTTAACCTTCTTTAATTAGCCATTATTCACTGTCCTTCCATGTACGTCTGGAGACAATAAAATCACTGAGGTTGGAATATTTTATGTCCATCATAAGGCCACTCTTAAGGTGGAGTCTCACTGATGAGTCTCACCACACCTTGAAGTCAGTTTCTCTCCACTATGTGTCATAGTATGTATCACTTCCTGAACCAGTTTCCGTTGCAGTTTCAAGTTGTCAGCACATATTATGTTATATGTTATATAAGTTTTTTCCCTCTATTTTAATAATTTTTTTTGCTTCTTCTCAGGCCTTATTTCACATTTTTTCCACTGTGACAATTAATGTTTGTTTAAAATTTTATCATTTTACCGTCATTGAGTAACTGCTCTCTCATAGACTTACACAGAGCTGTTAAAAGAAATTAAAATGTGATTGTTTGTGGTCACATTTTCTTTTACATTTGGAGCACCATTTGCATACAACATCAAGGATTTTAGTAACTTCACTCAGTTCAAAAAGTTCAGACATTACTATTTGTTTTCAGTAATGTCACAGCCTGTGCTGTTTGAAGAATAAACAGATGTTGACAATTCATTGACTGTGCTTAGCATCAAGTACATTTACATCATATGATGTAGTATGGGCTATGGAAGTAAGCTGCATTCATCATTTCTTTTTCTGAATCATCGATTCATGATTTAGGATATAAAATGTCAGAAGATAGTGAAAAATGCTCATCACAGTTTCCTCGAGCCTGAAGAAATAAATTGTCTGTTACTAAAACCTGTCCCAGAAATATAGTGTAATTGGGATTGTTCTTGGGAATTACACACCAAGATGACCCTCTTCTCCCAGGCTACCAAAACTTAAATTTCCTTATAATTAGTAACCACTACTTTTAGTGTTCCTGTCTCGTCACTGAATCACCAGAATCATTTACTTGTCATATCTGTGTTTCAGAGCCAGTAAGTCTGATGGACCTGGTTGTCATCCTGATTTACATCATGTACCAACACCCCAATCCTCCACACAGTGATGCGTCACACACAGGTGCGTCCCATACGCTCACACACAGACATAAACAATGACAATGGTTTTCGGCGTCTTTCCAGACCTTGAATCTGGAACCAGGGACTGAGGGAACATGGTGACCCTCCCTGTGAGGTGTAACAGCATTCCTCAGACCATATCTTTTATCTCTTAACCTTGTACTGAGTCATGCAGTACTATGGTTGTCTCCTGGAAGACCTTGTTTTATTGCCCCATTCATTCTCATGAATTACACTGCAGCAACTTTGCTGCCAGTGATCAATAGTGTTCCCTACCTTGACTTTGTCAGAGGATCATCTCCTTTGGCTGCTGCAGCGAGTCATGCTGAGCAAGTCATAGATTTATATTAATATTTTACCTGTAGTCTGATGAAGATCACACGTAGCACCCGGGAGATTTTATTCTGAGCAGTATTATGATACTGCAGAACAAAGTCAGTGGTAGAGGCAAAAGTCATGTATGTATGAGTTTTATTTTTGACAAGAGACAAGATATTTGAATTTCAAGCTCAGCTGGGCAATGTTATCAAACAAACACAAAAATGATTATGCAGACTTTTGTAATGTCCTAGCAATAGTATTGATCTTAGAAAATATCCTCTTTTTTCCCCAAAGTTTAACTTCAGTTCAATGATGATAAATGTATCCAAAATGTTTTTAGGGTTTAAGTATTAAAATATTAAGTAACTGTGTCTTGTCTACATTTGGTCTCAAGACTATGATTCGCAACTGAATGTTTTTATTTGCTTTGTAAAGTGTCCTTGGGTGTCTTTAAGGGCGCTTATATTTATAAATAAAATGTATTATTATTATATTTATCATTTACATAGATCAACAGTGTAAATCATGTAAATGTACATCTGCACTCCACATAAAGCCTGCAAAAATTGAAATAACTTCAAATACATAGATCCAGTCAAGAAAAACCAGAAGCATCCAGCAGCTCTGCTAAAAGCCACTTTGACCAGACTAGATTTCCAGGATCCTGACAGACAGGGAACAAGCAGGACGATGTATTTACTGTCAGTCTTAAAGTATATGAATATTATTGAATAAATACACATACATGCCATTCAGTTGGAAAAGGGTCATAATTTGTTTTTGTGTTCAGACTCCTTGTCACCCAGCAGTCTTGTGATGGAGGTGCTGTGGATGCTGTGTGAGAGGACAGAGTGTGCTGCAGAATGCCTTTACCAGACTGCTGTCATAGAGACGCTACTGACTCCTGTTATAGCGCTGCTCAATGGACAGCAGGTCAAACACACACACACACACACACACACACACACACACACACACACACACACACACACACACACACACACACACACACACACACAAACACGTATATAAGCAGGTAAACTACATCACCCTTCTTTATCATTTTTTTACTTTCACTTAATTATTCATTTTCACTGTTCAAGAAAACATTAATGTATTATGTATGTACAGTATATTGCAGTACACCCTTTATATCACAGATATGTTGGTATGGGAGTGCACCACAAAGCCTTATACAATTATCAACCCAAGGATATGATTATTGGGAGTTTCAGTTGTGACTTTTGTAATTGTCTAAATTCTATTTCAGGGACATTTTCTACCTGCTAGATTAAAATTCTGGGGAAGACAATGGTCAGATCTAAAGATGTCTGACTGTGACTCAAAATAACCATTACCTCAGAGTTTTTAACCTTGATTCCACCACCATATGTGTTTGTTACAGTCATGTTAGGACAGTTATTGGCCAGCCTCTCACAAACTATTTGCAATTGTGAAACCATTGGTTATAAAAATTTTCTCAGTTTTCTCAGTTCCTATCATTGTCAAAGTTAATGATGTCATTTCAACCTTCAATATCCGTTCATCCCCCCTGAGAATCCACTTGTCTCTGAAGATGTCTGGTAATTTTGTCTGTTTACTCTTCTCGGTTTGCAGGCCAAATTAAAGTCTCCCGCAGCAACACTGACTCTCATTGCTGACGTTCTGGCTCGCATCGCAAACACTGACAGAGGATTAGCTCTCTTCTTATATGAGAAGAATCTCCTTGTGGCCCACAGTGAGAGGTGAGACAGTGTGATTGAATGGCGATTAAATACACAGTGTCATTTTGTATTTTTGATAGTAATGAATAAATTACATTTCCCTGACTGAGCCAGAAGACTTCAATAGAGCTTTAAGTTTGCATAACCAATCCTTCTGGTTCTGCACAGAGAGCAGATTAGACCCGAGGATGTTGCTGGTTTGTCAGTCAGTGCGATTATATCTTTGATCAACTCCAGTGTAGCTACAGCAAAAACTCAAAGAAGTATGTTTTCTTAAAGTTATTAAGGGTCACTCAGTGTCTCTAGGTTAGTTTGGTATTCTGTTTTAATTGGCTGACCATGATGTTGACCTCAGTGTGTTCAGTCTGTCCATCAGCCTGTTGTTGTGAATTAGCAATAATACTTTCTCCAAGGCTACTGCAAGATTTGAACATTAAACTTAGTTTTGCCTAATGCACTTCAGAGTGTCAATCAATTTTGTATGTATGCAACCTCCTCCAATAATGTTGTGCTAATGAATACACTAGGGATCCCAATCACTGTGTTTTTTGTTACTGAAGGAATTAAGTTATGGAGTCCAGACTGTTAAATTCAAAATCACAGAAAAATTGAATAAAAATGCTGCTCTAGAGTATCGAGTATAGGAGGGAAGGACTTAAGTACACCATAATTCCTCAGATGTAGACATTGAAAGTCACAGATTGAGATCAAGACAGAACTTGATACACCTTGCACATTGCAAAATTTTGTAGCACAAAAACTCTTATTACATATACTAAAATCTTTCACTTTGTCCATTATCTCTCTCCTCTGCAGAACCTCTGCTGGTCTCATAGTTGTACAGTTTACCCTGAGGCTGCTGGATAAGGAGCTGTCATCACTAAGTGAATCTGACACGTCCCGTACATTATGTGGAGCTTTTATCTTTGTCTGTAGACAGATATACAACACCTGTGAGGGTTTACAGGTCCTCCAACCCTATGGTCTGCACAAGGCTATAGCTGCTGCATGGAAAAAGGTACGAGCATCTGTCGATGTAACGTGTCAGAATGAGGACACAGTCTATGACTAGCATCTGTACTATTGTGTGAGATGTGCACAAAAAAACACTGCTTAATATATGGGAAGTTCTTTGCTCTTGTTCTTTGTTTCATAAATTGCACCCAGGAATTTGCTTAGCTGACTCAAAACAGTTTAAAATTATTTGAAACATCAAAAACAACAAATATGTCAAAAACCAAATCATTAAACCCATTGGAAAACAATTTAGCATTATAATATTGGTAGAGCTGTTTTGAATTGGTTGTTTATTACAGGCAGACTGTGTAAATTCAGAGAGTTAACACTTCATATCTGAATCCTTTTTTTCCTACAATATCTAATGGAGGGTGGTCTCCATCTAATGATTAGTTTCACTGGGTAGAATACTCCTGTCATGTTTCATTTGCATGATGAATGCAGTGCTCTCTCTTTATTCATTCACCACAGCAAAGAAGAGCACCACAATTTCTTGCAAATGGGGGATTTAACCAACCATTGTAATCTGCTTCCTTTAGTTTAGAATACTGCTTCTGTCATAACAAAGCATCAGAATCAGAATATCTTTAGTAGTGCCGTCTGAACTGGAAAAACAAAACTGAAAAAACAAACTGAAAACAAAAACCAAAACCAAAATCAACTCCAAGCCAGTACTGGTACAGCACAGTTTCAGAGGAAACATACAGAAGACCTGTGGTGACACTGCTTCTACTAAGTCGGAGACATCATTAATGTCTCAGTGGTAGATTTTTCTCAGTTTATTAAGCAGTCCTACCACACATTTCACCTCATTGTTTTCCAAAACACCCATGTCAAAAATTAACTTGTTGGCATCGGTCTACATTTTCCCACTCACTTCCCTCTGACTCTACCCAATCTGCGTTAAATATTAATCATCAGCCTGCACGTACTGCACAGACACAGTGGACAACATGTACTGTATCTGATCCAAGCAGACATATATACTACAACCCTGACCTCAGGTAAACAGACACCAACACGGCCCTTAATGTTTGTGGAAGGCACAGTCAGGAAGGATGTGATTCTAATTAGTTCACAGTAGGGAAAACACAGTTACCAGTTTGATTGTCTAGAATGATTTCCACTGTTGTCAAATGGTGTTTAGATGGTTTATTAAATATTCTTAGTATTAATACACAGTCTGTGTATTATTAGTCTGCTAGAGTAATGGAGACTAATTCAGTCTGCCTTAGTAGTTTTGTAATTGTTAAAGATGCACCAAGCTCTAACATACTGTATGGTATAAATGTCAAACCCCAGCAGCGGGGTCTTCACTATTTATTGCGTTTTCATCAATTATAGATATTAACAATATCAAGACAAAACATAAAGGCTAATTGTAGACCAACAGTACAGCAATTTACAGAGTACAGTGAAAGTCACACTAAGGGAACAGAAATGTTAAACAACTGGTTTTCATAATTTTCTATGTACCCTCAGAAATAGTCCAATATGAATCTGTATATTAATTTAATTTTGGCAACTGCTTTAAGTCTGTCACTGTTCTAGCAGCCTGATGTGAATAATTGAGCTCACACTTATTCACATGGATGGATAAATAAGTAATACTTTAACTCATATTTTTTTACTTCCTTATTTCTAGACTAGTTCCTTGTCAGAGAGAGTACCTACTCCGGTACCCGGGGCCACTGCTGGAGCATCCACCCAGGAACTGCAGAACATGTGAGGCCACACACACACACACACACACACACACACACACACACACACACACACACACACACACACACACACACACACACACACACACAGACAGAGGGTGTGTTCTAT